GTGAAACATTTTCTGGTGGGGCTCAGGAAAATGCTAATTTTTTTTTGCAAATTCTGATTCAAAATTTTTTTTGCTATAAACTCATCATTTGAATCCAATATGAATGTATGTAGGTTTTCATTTGGGACCCATGCTCTCTAGCAGAGATTTAGGATACTAAAAAATCCTGGTTACGCCACTATTACGGTGGTCCTTTTTTGATCGACCTGGGTGAATATGGTCATCCTAATCAACATACTATTAAAAGCATGGTGTTAAATGCATATTTTAATCGCGATGTTGTTCGAGCTAGCCACATCTGGAACTATTGTAAACAAGGTACCGGCTTAACTGAATTTGGTTTACGTTACAATGATTTAAATTGTTATAGAAATGGATTACTAATGTACACAAGCATTTGATCGAAAAGAATTATGTTTCATTTACGATCCATTTCAAGCATAATTGATATTAAAACTTTTACATAAAGGTGATGATGGATTAATGAACTCAATGATTTTAGACAAAAATGATTTAAAGTTGTATAAAAATTATACCCAATTTAAAGATATTGATGGAAAAGCATTAAGTTTGCCGAAAAATGTTTATCCATTCAGACGATTACTGAACTGGCATGCAAGATGCGCTCATGAATATGCAAAGACAAAAAAGTGGATATCGACAAGTGATAACTTTGATTGTTTTAATGATTTATCAGATTTAATATCACTTCCGGGAGATGATTTAAACGAAGAAGACATTGCTTAACATTTGATGAATAATGTTTGATATCCTATTACTTGAAGAAAAACATAATCTGTACTCGTTTTTATTGATTTAATAGAGCACGTATTATTGCAGGAATCAGAGAAGCTCTGAAAAATACTGCTTCCCATAGACAATTTTTACTATGCGATCTGTTTCATGGTATATAGATATAAAAGGATGTTCAAATGAACGAGATACAATCGCACTAGAGGCTTTATTCGGAAGCAATGAATAATAAAATTTCTTGTCGGCTGATTTTGAATTGTTCTACACATATATGCATATAATAATAAAGTGAAACGAGTTGAATAAGAGTTTTTGCAAAAGGTTTTCAAAACGTTTTTCAATTAAATATCAATGATTTTCAATAGAAATTAAGCAGTGAACACACAAGTATGAATGTTTGATACCGTTTATACTCAGAACAGCATAGTTTACATAACTTTTCACAAAATAGTGCTAAAACTTACATAATTTCAGTCAACAAATGTTATGTGAAAAATGAATTCTCCTTATAATTTTTTTGTTTCTTAAATTTACTGCTGACAATTACTCAAAGCAAAAATGTATTGATTCGCTTCTTGAACACATCTGCAAATATAGTATAGCTATTTCTGTTTTGATTTATCTTGAATCATCAACAAACATCCTCGATATCATAAGTATTCTTACATACGCTACCAAATGATCCTTTATAACAAAAGTAGCATTATATAGCATATATGAATTAGTTTTGTCGTTTAAGCTTGAATTTTTTGTTGCCTCACCATACATCGTATAGTCAACGAATAAATATACTGAAACGTATATATATATATATATATTGTTAAATCCTATTATGTGGAAGTTCGTGCGCCAAATTTGCAGAAAAAAAGTCGCCAGCTTGAATGACAAATACTGACTATCATCCATGTCGATGATTCCGGAGAAGGGATACTATAGAAACCGGCAGGGAAATCACCATATCAAAGAAGAAAACACTGAGCTGGATCATGGAAGCAGTATTCCGGCAGGTTCCTGTTGCAAAGTAGAATAATTTGATTGGAATCTCACGAAAAATTTTCCTGACGAAACTGATCCGTATAGTGATCGACCTAGGCATATAACTAAAATACTGGAATCGCCATATTTGTGAAATACAAGTAGCATTATTGCTTTTTCTCAAATATCTAAAATGTTAAACACTTCGAACATATTAAAGCGACAGCTGTATGAAAATGAATGAGTAGTTTCTGTAAGTAACAGAAATGAAAATTATTATTAATGATAGAATAGAGCAAGAAAGATTCTGTTATTTTGTTTTAATAGAAATCTGACATCAATAGCAATGAGTCAAGATAACGGTAATCTAGATAAGTTGATACATGAATCGAAACTACATATTAGATATATATATATATATATATACTATTGATTTTTTTCATCTGTCTGAAAACAGAAAATAACAATAAATATATTTATAGATATCGAGTGTTTATCTTGGATCTATAGAACAAACAGAATTACTACAAACATTTATTTCATATTCTCATCAAATCTTAATCAATCATTTTCATTTTCCTGAAAATGACCTTTTTCCTAATAGAACTATGTCAATCAGAAAGCTGAAGTAAATAATATTCAAAGCGAATACTTCCAAAACAGTAGAATTGATAGTGCACGTCTCTTATAAACATAATGATCTTGTTGTTATTTGCATTTTATATTCATAAAAAGAAATTATAAACAGATAATAATAGATCAATGTATACTTAAAAAAGTGTAAGTGTTGAATATATGTGTTTATTTAGTAAGTGTCATCAAGTCGTATATCATAATAAATCGCTTTTTTCAATGCCATTTGATCTTTAAAACAACCTTTTATTTTGGCTGATTTAAAATATGAGCTAAGATCCGTTTCTTCAAGACAGAAATAGATAGCTCTTACTTTTGAACTTTTTAAAATGGATTGTAGCGTTGCTTCTCGTATATGACCAACGACAATTATATAATATTTACGTGCTTTCATCATATCGATCTGATTTAGTATTCTTTTGTCATTATCGGATGAAACAAGATTAGGAAATTTTCTTTTCAGTGTCTTCTTCAATCGAATGGATGCTGGTGTTGGTATTGGTGAAGCATCTAAATAAATTAATGCAGCATCTTCAGGTAGTATTATAATTTTAGGGAATTTATTATATCCATTTGTACGTTGTCCATTCCTGTATCCATGAACTCCTTGATTATTAGTTGAGTTTGTTCCACAACAGCTTCCCATGATATTGATTTCAATAGTAAATTAGATAAAATCTAAAGTAAATTAAATTCATCATTTCTAGGAACTCGAACAATCATAATTCAAATATTTAGTTTAGTTTTGTTTACAAAGATTTCTAAAGCTAGATACAATCAGAAGAACAAAGAATAGAAATTTTCTAAAAATAATCATTTGAAATAACAATTGAAGAAATTTTAAAAATAGTTATGAACACAGTAAAAGTAGTATTCCTCGAATGAAAAATTCCTATTTTCTTTGTGTTCAGATTAATGTAAAGTAATTAGCTCACATCAATATAGAATTAAATGAATGGGTTGATCTGATTTTTACTTGTGTTATTTCTGTGTTTCAAAATATTTTTATTTATAAAAAAAAAACTTATTGAATTATCTATTTTATATAATACTGAATGATAAGACAAACCTTTGTTTTAGTGGTTACTATGTTACTATATTGTTAATTTTGTGTGGACCATCGCTTAACAACACAACTCAACATAGAAGTAAACGTGCACTGTTGCTATTATATTAATGTACCATTTTAGAATCAAACAAAAGTAAACAATGCCGGATTCTATAGAATTTAAAAGAAGACATTATCGAAGCTGGTCGATTTTTTTTTGTTAAGTAAAGTGCACTTAATACATCGAATATACAAGGTAAATTATACAGTAATATGCAGTTTGTACATCCAAATCTGTACATCAGTTTTAGTTACCATTACCATAATTTTCTTGTTACTTGAAATTTGATCAACTTAATCGAAATGTGTTCTGTATGTTAAAAGAAAAAATTGTTTGATTTATTTTTCTCTCACTGCAAACAGATGCTTTTCGATCGAATTCTTTCAAATGTTTGAAGATCATTACTGTAGACAATTGTTGGTAGCGACGAGATCTGTCAAATACTAATGTGATCTTCATCATTATCTAATAATGACTTTCTTTTAAATCATTTACAATTTAACCACTCTGTTTTCTATTGTTTTAATTTCACGAAAACCAAATTTATGAGCGTTTCTACAATTGTTTCTTTTTGTCTTTGAGATACTACATCAATCAAAACAAGATGTTCAGAATCAGGAAAAAATGAATTCTTCAATAATCTTTTGAAAATAAATTCATAGTATTACTAGTGAAATATTGTTGCGAATTATGTTAGTATAGTATTATTATTTAAAAATATTGATTTTCGATCATAATTATCTAAATGATTTTTTTCTATAATATATTATGTTTTGAATAAATTATCAAGACTGAAGCTTTTCATATAAATATTTACTAAATAACTAATCAGTGATCATCTGCAACTACAAAACAAAACATATATGAATTACTATTATTGCATATATGTATAAATGTATCACACGAAAATGATAACACACAAATTTCGATTATGTTAATTTGTATTAATAATTACTTTTTCGTAAGATTTTGGTTATTATCTATTCACTTTGTTTTTATTGTGGGAAGAAAACAATGATGAATTAATCATATGAATATATGTTCGCTCTTTCAACTAAATTTATCACGCAGATATCTGAAATGTAAAATCATACATATGATAAATAAATTCTTATTAATTAAAAACTAATCATATTTAGTGATTCACTCTAACAAAAACTTTTATTAAATTTTTCAATTTATTGCATTTATAAGGTTGAATAGTTATATACTTTTGAAAACTAAACATTGATTTTTATCACTTATATTTCAACTGCTACCATTTAACATATCTGATAAAAGTTAGACATGCTTTAATTTTCTTCTTTTATTTAATTTTAATTTATTTAAAACTTTTATAAATTGTGACGTTTCGTATCTTGATAGTGACACGGAAACAATACGGTAATAGTAATAGTTAGCTACGGATTGAATTCTTTTCCGTATCACTATCAAAAGTATGACTAAAGAAATGAAAAATTTGTTTATATGTACATATGTCATTTGTCTTAAATTTTTATGTCTGATGAAATATCTTATCGACATACGAAACGTCACAATTTATAAAAATTTTAAATTTAAATTAATAATTAAATTGATTTAAATTTTAAATAAATTTAAATAAAATAAAAGCAGACAATAAAAACATGTTTAATATATCGACCTTTTTAACAAAACAAGAATCTGGCATAATTCTTAAATTAAGTATTTTCTTTCATTTGATTCACTTTGTACTTTGCTTGAATCCATTTAACGTATAATAAAAAATTCTGATGAACTATTACATCGATCTCATAGTTATGAAATAGTAGCAATGGGATTTGTTTGTAAAGTTGATACATGAGTCGTATGTTTATATATATATATTTCAAATCCTATATTTAGATTTAAGTCAACTCATCGTTATCCGACTATCTGTTCCATAGTGAAATCATGAACTCAAATGATTTAAAAACAATGAAATACTAAGCTAAATTGGACAAGTTCAAAGAAATATTTTGTTCAGTTCTAGAAAAACTGCTAATACAATTGAGATAAAACTAATTCGACATTAAATACAAAATTTAGCAGTGTCATTTATTTAAAAAAATCTCAGAATGCAGATAATATTTTCTCTAGAAGAATAGTACCAACGATGTTTCAGATAAAAACAAGAAAACAGGATCATGCTGATTGTAATTAAACCATAAAAAAAGATAGTGTATTGCATCAGATTTCACTGACTTGAGTTCAATTCGGTTTCGATTTAATTTTAGAAAGAAACTTACGGCTATCGAACAGTAATGGCGTGCCTATATTGATTTCTTTTAAAAATATCAAAGAAGTTTTCTCTCTATACAATGTCATAGTAAAATGAATAGTCTATTTTTCTGTATAATTTGACCATTCTTTAAGTAGTGATGTAAAAATAAAAATTCTATATCATTCTTTTCCTTTTGTTAATGGTAATTAGATTAGGTTTTGTTTTAGTTTTTGGTTTTTACCTACTTTTTAAAATTCTATTCTTGAATAAGTCTGACGTGAGTCTGCTTAAAAAATTTCAAATTTGGTGGAATTGATGTGAATGATACGATGATTCTAATTACATGGCTTACGAATAGTATACTTCGTTATTTGTGTCTCTCATGATTGAAAAGGACGTTACATTAAAATTAGAGGCTACTTATTGTTGTCTTAACTCAACATACGCAATATTTTCTGCTTCTTTAATCACATCACAAAAAATCATCTACCAAACTTCAGTATTGTTGAATTTCATCTTTTTATATACAAAACATAACTTCGATAACACATGTCATTTACTGTTACGCCGAAAATTTGTCTAGTTATTCATTAGACAGATATCAAAAGATGACTTTTATAATTGTTCGAATTTCTTAAAAGATTCAAAAGCATTTTTATGAGAACAATTTTCGATTTTGAGTCATGCTGCTATGATACTTCAGTCAGCTAATAATTGTATCAAGTTTCAAATTAATAAATACCATAAATATTAATGTCACTAGCATATATTAATTATGATGAAACTAAATGATAGTGTAACAGATATCGATGGTAACAGAAACGAGAAGCGAAAGAATTTTACTTGAATAGAATTGAAATCAACCAGTTAAAATGTCTTGATCTCACTCAAAAAATAATCGGTCAAACAAATTCTTTTCCTAAACATATCAATATAACAATTAATTCTTTAAAAATTCGATTTCATTAGTCTTAATCATACGATTGAATATTCAAGCTAGTATTATTAAAAACAACATTTAATCAATATCAGACAATCATTTATTTAACTTAGCTCAATAGTTTAACAACCCGTATGCGTAACTGCGAAGGTCCATCAAATATTTTAATTATTCATTAAAGTATATCGCAATAAAACGATATTTATTTAACATTGTCTCTTTTATAAATCTAAGAAATTATTCATAAGAATAAAAATGAAAAATAGGAATAAAAGACTGACGCATAGAAGCTTTAGTTTATGATAATGAATTATAAGTTTTCTTTTCTTGTCAACTCCAAGAGAACATTGAATATAGGTCCATTCTTATAATCTTTATATGGAAACAATTGAGTATTCTTCTTTTTCCACGACCACGTCGTAGGATCAATCATGCGCACTATTTGTGCACCCATTTTGTTTGTATAAATATGTTTCGTTATTGGATTTGTTACTTGAACAAATGCATATCGAAATCCTTTGATATCGCTCGCATAATCACACAGAAGTCGACGTAATCGACTTGCTACCCCTTTACGTGAATGTTGAACACGTGTAGCGCCTACGCTAATGTGTAATACTAAAGAAGGTACTAGTTTTTGATTGAAATCCCAATTAATAAATTGATTAGCTTGTTCTTCAAGTAAATCATGATGTGGTATAGTTGATGGTATTCCAAACTCATCATATGGATGATTCTGATTATGTACAAATAGATCGCCAGCTGTAATAGCACCAACAATTTCATTAGAAATACGATGTCTAGCTAGAAATGATAATTTTTCATCAAATAAATCCATCATGATTGGCCATGAGCGCCCATTGAAAAATTCATCAGCTGAAATTTCATCAAAAGCTGCTATTGGATTATATTGAACAAATTCTTCGGCTATCAACCGAGCACAGATGCGCGCATCGCTTTCATTGTTAATTAATTCATACGTATATTCTTCGTTATGTTTCATTGTACAAAAGAGCAACCAGAGTATTCGGTATAAGCGTAACTTAGACTATTTATAGTACTGATTACTCCTATTTTTACCGTTCTGCACTACACAACTATTTGTCCACGAGTAGTTTATTACGCATTTCTTCGCTTCTTTCACCAGAAAAAAAATAATCGACCTGATTATTCAGGCCAGTGTCAGTTTGTTCTGTTTTTTCTTCTTCTATAAAATAGTTGCACGCAAAAGAACACAAGTACGACGTTACAAAACTGATTGATCTGAAAATAGGCTCTCTCGAGTGATTGGTGCAACTCGGAAGTAAACTAGCTTAGTTTCACTTAGTAGTGTGGAAAAATGAGTTATAGAATTGATCTATCAGATATTTTATTTTCATCCAAACTATATACGACAATGTTGAAAATCATCCAAGATATGAGTTATTGTAATGGTATTAAATATTGTCCAGAAACCATTCAACATCTTTGTTCATTCTTTACGATAAAATTCCTATTTTGCATTTCAGCAAATCAATAAGCCAAACTGATCAGTGTACTCCTATACAAGATGATCGCCAAAGAAAATCTCTTTTTCCAATCATGACTGTAAATTCTTCTTTTTAATTTGTATGGTTCTACTTTTAGGGATGTAGTTGAAGCTGCACAAATGGGTTTAGATTACATCTAATCTATTTTTCAGTTCAATATGATTTTTATGATCTACATATAATATTTTTTTTTGTTTCTTCAACTCATTGCATTATAAGATAAATATAAAATAATAAACATAACCAGTTTAATTGTGTTCTTACGATCATATTTTCTTGTAAAAATCTTTGTTACATCTGATGATGGAACTAGTATCCTATTCATTTTTATAGAGAAATCGGTATGCTGACATATAAAACAGTAGATCTACTGTTTTATATATGATATAAATCATTGCTGTTCGTCGTTGAGTCGAGTCTTATCGAATATAGAACGCTAACTTAATATTTGCAGCTAATTAAGTAAAAATAGCCATTAAAATAATTGTCACACAAAATTGTGCGAGTGGATGAATTTAAAAGAAAATAGTACAATATGATGTTCGAAAAATGTTTTTTTAATTGTCCAACGTTGAACAGTGACCCTCGAAAATTGAAACATTTTTCAATCACAGAAAATAAAAGACAGCTAATGTTGCAACGTAGGTTTTCTCGTGTTGAGAGAATTCTAATGCTATCATAAGTAAAAGATTGAAGCCGTGTTTTGATGATTTACTGTATAAGAAAAATCAATTGTGGATTTATTCCTGTTTGATCATGTTCGAATATTAATCTAACTTAACTCAAGTGGCTTGCACAAAAACTACCTTAGCAAAATCCTTCTTTATATTGAAAACCGATGTACAATAGATTTGTCATTAATATATGAAACAATGTTTTATCTAACAAGATTTGCTAAAAAAAAACATAATCTTGAAGTTTTCATGATTTATTCTTAAAAAAATTAAAATTTTAAATGTCTGGCACCTCAGATGAAATTATAATTTTTAAAATCATATTGCAATTTTGAAATACGCATCCGGAAACATCCAACTGTAAGTAGATGCTATTTCATCGTTAATAGAATTGTAGTGGTATACCAAGTCCAAAGTATCTTGATAAAAATACTTGCCAAACTTGTATTCGAAACTGTTAAGAACTGTTTCCTTTAATTCGAGCAACTGTGAAAAAATTAAAGAGATATATAAACTCTTGTAGGTATTGAACATAGTAAAAAATCGAACTTCAAAATCTGAACGATGAGGGTGTGATGTTAGAATAAAATAAGTATGATACGATATATTTTTTATTTTCAAATATTTTTCTTAGCACTGCTGAAAATAAAATAGAGAAAAAACTGAGGATGACATAAATCTTCACATAAAAGCAGCTGACTTATTTCGTTTGGCATGCATCGCCATTTTCAATTATATGTCGAATTTCTTGAGTAACTGTACCCGTGTTGATATATTTTTAAACTTTTCATGGTACACGTCTTTATTATCAGATGCTGTTTCACAATCGATTTTCTATTAGAACTGTTTTTTATTCAAAACTATGCGCCAAGGATGAACGTTTTCCTTTTGTATCCAGTGGTGTACTGAACTAAACAATTATCTGAATTTAATTCGAAACTTGTCAATATCGAATGAAATCATGTAGGTTTCTGTACAGACAAAGAGACAATAGCATGCGATTGTTCGCTGAAAACAATTCTCATTTTTATACAATTCTAAAAAATTTTCCATTCGAATTTGTTTCCGAAAAAAATTAAAATTCACTTAAAAACTCAATTAAAGCCAAAAAAAGAAACATGATGCTAATCATCAATGATCGAACACTAATTTAATGTCGTACTGGACATTGGTATTTAATTTGGAAAATCGAGATTTTTCTTACAGATATACCAAAAAAGAAATGAAAAACAAATCTTGCTACTTAGTGCACTCGATTTTTTTCAATAAACGACAAGATTGAATATTTTAACAATGCCATCGATTCAATTATGCTTTAGTAAATAATTCATTCAAATATAAGCTCAAACAAAAAAGTTCAATATGAAATTTTCTTTAGTTTTCATTTTTAAACAAATTTCAAATATGAGAAATATCTTTTTTTTGCCTATTTCTTCGAAATCTTATTTCAATTATCAATCATTTCATCTAGAATTGCTGTTTTCATCGAATAAAATTTATTCACGTGGACAAGTCGAATTCGGTCAATATTTCATTTCTTTTACTAATCATAATGTTTTTATTTTTCATCTTCTGATAAATTCAAAAAGACAAATAATTCTGTCAATTGCAAGAAAATTGATGAATGAAGTTGAATAGGAGATGCAGATTGAAATCGATACGGTCACATCAATATTCACAATGATATTTACGAAAATCTGATATAATGGGTTCTCCCAATCGCTACTCAATCAATTTTAAAGTATATTCTATTTTTGAAAATAATTAGGATCAGCTTAATTCGGTACTAAACTTTATAGTTCATCGATCCTTTTTGTTTTCTTCAATGATTTAGCTTTCTTAAAATTTTGGTCAATCTTTTTCTGTTGTCCTTCATAGCAATGATATGGAAAAACAAAAATTCTGTTGATATTTTAATTAATGCAGAATGACTTTCTTCGAGAACACTATGATGAGAATTAGGGGTGGACCATTAACATTAATTTTATATTAATGTTAATGTTTCTCATTAACCATTAATATTAATGCTTAATGTTTTCTGAGAAAAACTTAATTCATTAATATTAATGATTAATGAAAAACATTAACATTAATTTTTAAATTAATGTTTTCATTAATCATTAATATTAATGAATTAAATTTTTCTTAGAAAACATTAACCATTAAGATTAATGGCTAATGGAAGTCATTAATTAATGTCATTAATTAAGCTCCGTTAAAAAAAATGGTCCACCCCTAATGAGAATCCTATTTTTTATTTTTTTATCGAAAGAAAACAAGCAAAATGTGGAGTATTGTTTGATTTCACGAATATGAATACAATCTGCATTTAGCATAAAGCTGTGTGGCATCTATCAAATCGTTAAACATGAAAATCAATGATAGTTGGTTAAAAAAATATACCTTGGATATAGTAGGTTTTTTTGGCTCTTTCGTTCTGATAATAGAGTTTTTCAAATTTATTTTGTTTCTAGATAGATACAAAAGAATAGATCTTTTTCAACATTCACTTCTGTATATGACCAAGTCGAAGATATTTTGTAATTTAATGGCAAATTAAATCATTTTTATTGAAGTATGATTGACATCATTACATCAAACTAATGAATATACATACGTTTTGATTGTGTATTATCATTAGCATAAGTTGTAACAAAATTAATAACAGCTATGTTTTAGTTTAGGGTGAAAATAACATAATTGTAGCTAGAAGACTAGAAATGCTACGTTGTCGCTGTTTCATCTATTCTGATTTTTATGTCTGATTAATGATGCCATCAACCAAAGAAAAGCGACTTTCATTATGTAGTCATAGATTATATCAAATAGAGATTAGCACCGAACAATTATATTCTGAAAAATAGATAACGAGCACACCTTTGCTATCTATCAAAATATTTCTTCCAGTAAACATATTTATCCTGTATTTAATGTGTTGATTTGAATCAATCTGTGTTATCTATTAAGAGCGACACAAGAAAAGTATCATTCATGATACATAGAATTCTCCTTAACTCGAACAATTCAAATGTAAATATTTCTTTATGAATTAAAAAGAAAATTCATTTGCTTCACTTATGTTTAATAGGTAATAATGAGCCTCTCAGAGATGTACATAGAAGACTAAACTGGTTTTATCTGATTTTTGGACGGCTTAATGTTGATTTCATTGTAATTCTTTAGGAATATGTTCCAAATCAGAATATAGTCCTCGTAGATACTTTGAAAATATATTCTGTCTATGATAACGAATGGGTAAAAGTAAAATTTATTAAACAAATACTTTTTTTTATCGAACTCTAACAAAAATAAATAGTTTTGCATTCAAAATATCAACATCATTTTGATTTCACATTCTAAATAGGTAAATCAATTGTCACCAATGGAAAGTTGATTGAATCTACATGATGAAAATAATATTAAAAAAGTAATTTTGACCGAAATAAACGGCAGCTGTTAAAAGATTTTATTTTGTCAGTTTTTCTAATCAAACTCAATATAGGACTAGTAACTTAATGGTAAATACCAAATCAAAACAGATCATCAGTTAAATGCAATTTTGAAAATAGCATTCAAGATAATCAACAAATGATAAATCAATTTAGATTGTTTTGATTCTGAATATTTCTTCAGTGAATGTGAAAGTTGAAAATGATCAATGTGCGTCGCTCAGCATTGCATGTAGACCTACGACAGTTCCATATTAGTTCCGATCTTCGGAACTGTCTCACAAGTTCTTTGATCGGAACTGAACTGTCTGAACAGTTCTTTGCTCGGAACTGAACTGTCTGAACAGTTTTTTTCTCGGAACTGAACTGTCTGAACAGTTCTTTGATCGGAACTGATCTGTGTCAAACAGTTCTTTGATCGGAACTGATCTGTGTAAAACAGCACCGTGATCATCTATATGGGCAGGGCTGCAACAGTTCTCGATAAGGAACTGTTTGTTATGCCACAGTTCCTGAAGAAGAACTGTTCTGTGAAAGCAGTTCTCGAAAAAGAACTGTTTTGTGGAAACAGTTCCCGAAAAAGAACTGTTCGGAGGATATGGTTCCCGAAAAGGAACTGTTGGGAGGATATAGTTCTCGAAAAAGAACTGTTATGTGGAGACAGTTCCAGAAAAGGAACTATGTATTGGGTACAGTTCTTTGAAAAGAATCGGTTCCAAGAACTGAGAGCTGTCGTAGGTCTAATTGCATGTCGATTCAAAAATAAAATTTCAAATATGCTTTTTGTTTTTCGTCATAATCTATAGCAGAAGTGATACATGTCAATAGTTTTAACACAAAAGCTAATTAGACTTTATTTGCTTTCAACGTCTTTTTGTTTTGAATAGAACGGTCATTCAACAAAGAATAATGTTTACTCATAGTTTATATTATCAATAGATATATATTTTATTCAAATGTAATTTATCTTGAAATAGAAAAAAATTAAAACTTTAATACACAGTCGCAAGAATTTCATTCATAGGCATGCCATCTTAAAATGTTTTATCGCTTTCTAAACTACTTCTTTAGAATGGTTCATTTTCTTGGTTTGTTTATGTGGTATGTCAAAAAGAGGCCATTTGAAGAATCAATCGCTCTTGTTAAGTAAATGCGCAAAAGCTGAATACCTAACCAATGGTGCCGTTAGAATACGAAAAGCTCCGGATGCTCGTTGAAGATGTTGATGTCCATTTAAAAACTTACTGCTTGTTAGTAGAATAAAACAGATAAGAAGAAAAAAAGAAGAGAGCAGTAGTAACAAGATTTGTGCGTAAGCTTGACAGAGGCATCAGTGCTGTAAAAATTTCCCATGCAAGAAAAAAACTCCCATCGCATTATTCAAAACAGATTCATTTTTATAACCAGTAAGAAAATCAAAAGCAGCTACATAAAGTGATGCCAAACTAAGCCAAAACGCTCCGTAAGAACAAAATGTCAAAGCGCCAAAGTTGTTTCCATCACGATATTCAGGATAAACAGTCAAATTTAGAGTGGCTCCACCATTAAAGAGAGCAGCACCCATGATAACACCCATAGATGCTTTTACTGGCACAGCTGCACCGGCCAAATACATAGAAACACAAAATGTTGTTAAAGCAAATGAACATAGACCGAGTGGTGTTGCATCAAGATCCTGAAATGCGGGACCATGTGAATTTGCATTCGTTGTTGGAGAATATTTCATTGATTCTTGAAATCTAAGAAAACTTTCAAATAGTTTTCGATTATATTCATCCATAGGTATGGTTCGTCGTGCCGTATACATCATTGTGTAGGAGTCAATTGAAAATGAAATAAGAAGAAAAAAACTTGACCATGATTAAATAATCGAATAAAGTAATCAACCGTATGCAGTCATTATCCTTAAGATGAATTAAACATGTTGATTGTATCAATCTATAATTTAAAAGAAAGAAGCCAATTTATGAGGGCTTGTCTCCACACCCATTTCGATGGCAAGCGATGTGCATCTCAACGTAAAAGTTACAACGATTAATGAAACTAGATTTGATTTCGATTTCTCATTAATCATGATTCGTCTTTAAATTCAATAATAAATATTTTCTGTTTTTGCCTCCTCTGAATCGTATCGTATGAGTTGATATAATCTGTTTTTTAATCATGCACGTATATATTGTGTGCACTAGACTACAGCTCGTGTTTTACATAGAAAACTTTTGACAATATTTTAGTATTATACATTGTGATTGTCACCATGAATAGTAAACATCGTTCAGACGAGAAAAAAAGAAAATTCACAAGTCAATTAGAAAAGTTTTTGCAGGATTACAATTTGAAGTACAGTAAAACAATTTTTTAATTTCCATAAGACCATTGTAGAAAAATTTCTATTGTTATTAAACAAAACACTTCAAGATTATGCGACTATGGAGTTTTAAAAGGCACTTATCGATTCAGCTCTCTTCTTTTCGATTTATGCAATGAAGTGTTTATTAAAACGTGAAGAACGACAAACAATTTTATTCTTAATATTCAAATTTCTTTCAGACTTTTCAAAAACTTTTCGACTCTCCAAACGATAATTGATTAATTGGTTTTTATCTAAATCCCGATTTTAATATCATGGTATGTTTCGTACTGCTCTTTAATCTTCTCATTTTAATGGATCTTCGACTATTTAATTATTTTTCTTGAATTTTCGTTTTTGTTTTATCATACATCACTGAAGATCAGCATTTAAAAGTTGAGCGAGAAAACTGAATTATACAGTTCACAGCACAGGAACTGGCAGGTTTATGAAGCTTTTTTTCATGTTATCAAAGATTAATGTAGAAAAAAAACAACAGGTCTCTTCATAATAAATTTTAGCTGTTGTCGAAGTTTTTATTATGCAAAAACAAAATACTTTCAGTTTAAATTTCTACATGACTCCATTCACTAAATCCATATCCAGTTAGATTCTGTTCTAAAATCACCCAATTATCTTCATGCTTACCATATAAAATCACTTCGTATTGAGAAATTTGCTCAAAAACTTTCAAGCCTAAACCACGACCACCTGGATTATCATTGCTCACTCTTGCTTTGTATTCAATATTAATTTTGTATTGGTCATTCCATGCTTCAATTTTATTATGAATAGAATATTTTTTTCCATCAACAATTTGCCATTCTAATGGTTTCAAATGAAATGTATTTCCACAAAGTGTTCCAATCTCAATGCGTTGATTTCTCCAACGAATAAATATGTAGCCAATATATTCGTTTTCAGTTACAGGTATATGATAACTTCCTAAAACTAATGAAAATTCTTTATCAACACGATGAAATTGTGCCCAGATCCAATTAAAAAGATTTGTTGGCCATGCACCATAGTTATGATCATGATAGGCGGTCGTATTGATCGAAAATAGTTTTGTATTATATTGAATAACTCCAAATACATGAGCACTTGGCATATAAGCTATCCAATCCAGTTCTAACACTTGTGGTACTTCTTCCTTTTGTCTACAGGCATAAGACTTTTGGTGAAATGTTAACGACCAATTGAGTTCACCATTTCTACTACTGCCAATTATTTGATAGGTCGTTTGATCTAAGACCTTAATGAAATTTTCTTTTCCAATTGACACAGTTGCATTTTCTTTGTAAGCAGAGAATTGTTCGAAATCATAACCATCTAAAACATTTGTTGGGTCTTGACCAGTATTGTTAGCTACTGAAGTCCATAACATTCCAGCTATTCCAGAAGCTTCTAAACCAAATGTTTTTGCGGGATCCATAGCGCTATAACCAATACAAAATCCGATATCTACTAATGGATCATATAAAGCAAAGAACCACCATTCTCGATACAAAGCTGATATCAATGGGTCTTTGCTACGAATATATTGATAACCATCACTTTCCAAATCAAGGGTTTCATTGTCTGCACAAATACCAAATTTGCATTCTACTGATGCTATTAAAAATATTAAGGTCAAGAAAACGACTGCTACTACTACTACTTTGTAGGTCATTTTTAGCACATGTTTTTAAATATGATATGAAATATAATGATGAAATATTGTCTTTTTAAATACTAAATAAAACTACAAGATAAGAGATGCATCTATTTGTTCTGTTACTTTTTTTTTTGAGTATTTGACTACAAGAAAATATTTAAAATTTTATCATCTTTTGCAAAATATTATAAAAAAGATAAGATCAAGCCGAATAAACTATGATGTATTTACTTCTCGAATTGATTTTAATAAAACTTTTCATTAAAGAAAATATCACTTTAGATCTAATTGCGATTCAATTATTTCTGAAAACAAAAAAATTAATTGCAGGCTTTAATTATCTACCATTTCAGCAACATTTGTTTATACATGTCGATGTTATATTCATAAGTCGAATGACTATTGAATTGGTGATCTTCTGTTTCTTTTTTCTGCAGATCTATATTCACATATCTCGTCTGATTGTGACAGTTAAGTATTGTACAGCGTAACAAAAAGAATTTTTAGGCTCAAGAAAAACAACGAATTGTAAATCTTGATTACTTTAAAATTTTGAGAGTGTCGTCTTGCTTCACTTGATTTCTTCTTCCCTCTATAAGAAGAACAACTAAATAGAAGAAGTAATTAGAAAAACGTTTGCAAGAACAAATGATTAGTTATTACCTATATCAGGATACATATTATTGCTTAAGATTGTAGAGAGCAGAGAGAAAAGTTATACAAAAAGTCAACTGTTACTAATTATTTTTTATCAATAAATTAATTGGTGAAATCTCTAGAAAATCAGTTCGAAAATAATCTTTATCAGGAGATCTATCACAAACATTTGATTTAATATGATTGCAGTTAGAAATATATATACACATGTCACAGTTGACATGAGAATTCAGTTGAGGTTGGAATAATAGATTTAATTAAAGATAGAGAAAATAGACACAAACGAGAGCGAAGAAAAGAAAAGAAAAACAAATTTCGAAAATCAAAGTGCAAATAAAATTATATGAACGATATGGAAATTTTTTTCTGAGTTAGATTTAGCAAACTATTTTCTAATTGATCATAAATAAGATTTCTTTTTTAAATAGGTGACCAAAACAAAAAAAAAATGATTTCTTACTTTTCATTTATCTCAACGCGCTCTCATATCACTTGTATGAGTCATATAGTAATTAATGTGGGTTGTTGAACTGATACTTTAATATTAAAAGCAAATGAAATACTTCGTTGATTATGACAATAATGTTGCATCATCGAATAAATACTTATTTATCCGAAATTTACACTTTAAAAATTTAGTAGAATCTATTAATATCTAATTTTTTTGTCATCATTTCTTTATTAATTTAACTTTTAATAATTGATACTCGTCACTATGAAACAGACAATGATGAGACATAAATAACGAAGTTTCTTTTATATAAGCTTATTTTTTTAACGAAGAACGATTGTAGATAATAACACATCAAATGGACTACTCATATAAGAAACTTCTTTATTAATTTCATTAAAAATTAAAAATAAAAACAACATTTACTTTCCTTTCATATAATTCGATATAAAATCTCATTCCATTTCCCATCCCCCCTGTTCGAGGCCCATACTTCGAAATAACGATAGCGAAAATCTCTTTCTTTCTTTTCTTCAAATACAGAACGAAAGAAAAAAAATCAATGTCCCTATGTCCCAATGTCCCGAGCATTCAAATAGATATAGCGAAAATCTTTTTCGTTTCTGCAACTAGAGATAGAAGCAATCAATCTCTCTATTTCCAAAGAATTAAAAAACTCAATATCTGTTCGTAGTCTTTCTTTTTCGTCATCAAACCAACAAAAAAGCAAAACATGAATTAATTATTCAAACATAGTCGTTTGTTTTAAAACTATGTATTCAACCGTTGTATTTCATAGAGCTCATTAACAAAATGTTATTTCTATAAATCACTCTCTCATTATATTCATACAATAATAAGAATTCTAATCTCAACTGAATTCTAAATTCTCCTGCCACATATACAACACATGAAAAAGAACTCATGCTCTCGAAATCGGTAAAAAATTGGCGATTAATCGCGATATATTGAAACGATTATTTTGAGTATCGCCCTTGACCTTACCCTAATCACAAGCATTTGTTATTAGATAATACCATGGTGTTGAACAACTTCAAGTAAAATTCAAAGAAAAAAAAAGTAATGTGTAACTTCTTCTACGATATGATAGCCTCGATATGTTCCTTCTCATCGAACTTTTTAGTTCTTTATATAATTCTAAATAGAAATCTATTACAATGTTTTCAAACTCAAGGGGTTATATGAATTTCGGCCCACGGAATTTTCGGGCCGGACTTTCGGGCCAATTTTATACAAATTCATTAAATTCTGAAAAAGAAACGAATTTTTTTGAAAATTGGTTTCTAGATTTGCTTTAGTAACGAGCGAAGCGACGTAGTGCTGAGCGAAGTAATATAGTGTTTAAAACAACAATTATGTTACTATAGAAAATGGTATGGCGTTTTAAGATACATATCGTTTATCTACAACAAGCGCGAACGAATCTAGGTAGTCTTAATATTGACTTAAGGATGCACTTTTCTTTTAGATGTAGAATTCGACGAACATATCGGACGATATCACAAAATAAAGTGATTATCGATCTAGTTGCAATCTAAACATTTGTTACGCTGTATACTTTGTGTACGTTTCAAGGTCTGATAAACAACATAGACTAAGAAATTAACAGCTATAGGAAAGAATCTGACGAGAAGAAAAGTTAAATTTGATGCAAATGACGATAGTGATAGAGAATAATAGATCAACTTTGTGAATCACGAACGATAAGTGGCGAAGTAGGCATGAAATAACACCTATGTGAATTATACAAACAAAGAGAGAGAGAGAGCGAATACATTAGAACAGTAGAATATACAGAGAAGAAAGCTAATCAAGAACAATAAAATTTAATTTGAACAATCAGACAGTGTACTAAGCAAAAAATTAAACGATTTCAGAGAAAGTAACATAGATGCAGTTTCGATGTGAATAAAGATAAAACTATTAATTGTCAATAAACTTCTTAAAATATCATTCTGAGAAATTGGAGAAGTTCAATAGACAGGCATTTTACACTTCGACGAGGACAAATACACGTTAGAACGCTTTTAACTTTTATATTGTGAATTTACGCATCATTGTATTTCGTAAGAGACATATTAATTGAAGAAGAGATGGATTTGGTTGCAGGATATATAATGTAAAATTCATGTATTATTTTATCTTTACTGACATAGAAAGCTAACCATATGCATAAAGTTTACTCAGGAAGATGTTATTGAACTGCAGTATATAAATAAACGGTCTACAACATTAGGTCGCTTCGCTCGGCACTAATAAATCTAGAAACCAATTTTCAAAAAATTCGTTTCTTTTTCAGAATTTAATGAATTTGTATAAAATTGGTCCGAAAGTCTGGCCCGAAAATTCCGTGGACCGAAATTCCGGTCTCCCAAGTATTTTTGCTAAATAAAAAGACGAAAATAAACGTTGGGAAGGTTTTAAAGTTCGTGATTTTGAACATGTAAGGCATTAGACATTATTTTTGACAAAAAATATTATACACGTGTTTGAAAACAAAGATAAATGGCTGAATTACGTGATTTAATAAAAGCTGAAAAATTTTATTTTTATCAAATCTTGAAAAAAAAATCTAACTATCAACACTAAAATTGATCATCTTCAAAATATAATTAAATTTCAAGAAAAATAAAACCCCACAAGAAATTCTTAATCAATTGTCAATTAACCTTAATTTATTAATGATAGTTATTAATAAAGCATACCATTTAATTAGGAAAAAAAAGAAACCGTTCACACTTCGAATATAAAAAACAATTCATTTTGTGTTTTAATCTAGATAGAAGTTAGTAAGTCGGCAACTTTTTTTCTTCTTTTTTCATTTTGTTTTCTTGTGTATCTCTTTTTTCTAATCGTATTCATAGACGGCAGAGCCATTAGGCTAGGGTAGGCTCAATTCAATGTGAAAATTTTCTGATACTGTTTAGTTTTCCTGTTCTTCTGACAAATGACGTATAGTTGCAAGATCAGTTCAAGCTTTTTCTACTATCCACTCTTGTCCACTGAGATATTGATTGGAATTCGTTGGCGTCCAGGGGTACCAAATCTAAATTTTAGAAATCAAGAGACTTTTATACAAAAATCGGTGGAAAACATGAAGATGTTTTGAAATTATGTTAAAAAAGAAAATATCAGACAGTTGTCTTTTAGAGAAGCAACGTGGTCACTGTCGCAAACTTTGTGATTTGTCTTCTTCAAGTAATGAGAATAATTATATCACACATGAAATAAACAACAGAAAGAGGCAATCAGATGTACATCTGAAAATTTCAAATCTCTGTCTGTAAATCTATCTATTTGTATCTGAATGCAATGCCGAATCCATGGTTTCAGCCATCAGAAAAGTTAGAAAGAGACTGGTCAGAAGAACGCTGAAAATTACAGAACTGAACGATTTTGTGGCTTTTTTATTTTTTTATTTACGCGTTAACTGTGGCTGGTAAAGCCCTGTCAGTACTTTATAGTATGAGTTAAGATGGTTCACAGTATAGTGGAATATAACAAATAGATAAAAGAGAAAAAAAAGAAAGGAAAAAAAAGAAAGGAAAAAAAAAGAAAAAGAAAGGAGGACGATGAAACACTAATGGGAAGAGACGAGCAAATAACTTAGAGAGGAATGGTAGACGACAAGAGATGAAAAGGTTGGTTTATACCTGGTGTGAGTCGTACAATTTAAAAGCTTGGGCCACGATGAATGAAGTGGGAAGTGTAGCGAGGAGCATATTAGCTAGTATAGCCGTGGAAAGGTGTGCATTAAAAATAACAAAAAATAACAATTTTGATGATAAGATTGACGCATAAGAATACGATTTTTTAGTATAATCACAGTAGACGACTACAAAATAATTAGATGAGTATCAATAGCGTATCTATTAGAGCATGGTTGTTATAGAAAGAGTTCGTACGTGGTCTCGTACAATTGTATTGTTGGAGAAATTCTTATTTGAATAAAAGATATATAGAGGGGATTTGCACTGCGTGCAGAATGTGTATCAATAGAGGCAATATTATATTAAAACCTCATATTATCAATGGGTAGCCTCTGGAGACATCTTATCAACGAAAAAAGTCTCAGGAAAGAGCTCAAGGGTCAGTATTTCAGACATTTCAAAGTTGATGACCGATGATTGACAATGGTTAGACGCTGTCCATTGGAGGCACTTTTCAAGGATCGATGTATGTTCAACAAAACGTTTCGATTTATGTATGCTTTTAATAGGGTATTGAGATTGTAGCCATAGTGATCGAAATGCGTTGAGATTTGCTTGTTCAAGTAGAAGCTCACCGTCTTTAGAATCAGTAAGAGCTTCTATGTATTTATTCCAATATTTCGTGCATCTATCTTCAAGAGATGGCTCGTCTGTGGCGTACGCAAAAAAAGTATTTCTCCAATGCATACAATGCATGATTCTTTTCAGAGTGGTGTAGTAAAAGTGTGAGAGATCGTCACGTTGCTTTTGTGTAAATAGTGGAAACAATATGAATAAACTTGTAAATAGAGGTAGGATGTACGTTAAGAAAAGTATTTTTCTCAGATAGGCCGAAGTAGCTCCGAGCAGTCTAAACGAGTTTACCAATGCTACACGTTGCCTAATTTTAAGTTTTGTCTTATTGATCATAGTATTCCAACCTAGTTTGGGTGTAATCCAGTATCCCAAGTATTTAAATTCACGAGTCCACTGAATGTTCTTTTCGCTCATGTATAGGTCAAATTTAGGGGTACCAATTGCGCGGGCAGACCACAATCCTACCGTTTTTTCATAATTAATTGGTTGGACGGAGAGAATTGAGTAGAATTCGAGCGCATCAATAACTGATTTTAATTTACGTTCCAGGTCTAAACACTGTATGTTATATTTTTCTCCTATGCGACCGCTCACTACCGCAGCTAGATCATCGGCGAACATAAAACTCGACGCCATATTAAGGTAGTTAGTCATATCCGAATGGTACGTGATAAAAACAGTGGGTGTCAGTATTGATCCTTGTGGACCACCGCGATATATACTGAACCACCTTGATTTTTGACCTTTGATTTCGACATACGCTCGACGATTCAGAAGCCAGTTTTCGATCCATTTCAAGAATGGTGTAGGGATACCCATTCTTTTCAGTTTACCGATGAATCCATCAAACCAGAGTTGGTCAAAGGCTGTTTTGAAGTCGACAAATATCGTAGCGACGGGTGTACTGTTTGCCATCATTGACATGACTTGCTCAAGAAAGAGTAATACTCTTGTTTGAAGTCTGAAATTTTCTCGAAAACCGGATTGAGTATCAGGAAGTAGACCTTTATTATTGATGATATTTTGAAAGCGCGTTAAAAAAGCTTTTTCGTTAATCTTAAGAAAAACATCAAGTAAGGAAATAGGACGCGTGAGAGATGGTGTGCAAATGGGATCTTTTTTTGCCAGTAATAACATTCTTACATCATTCCAAGCGGATGGTGTGATTGCTGTAGAGAATGACCAGTTGTAGAGTTTTTTCAGTAAGGACCAGTACAATGATGGAAGAAATTGAAACATGAAATTACTTATCCCATGAGCGTCGCAAGATCTTTTTTTACTTCGCTGTCTTACTATATCGATTAATTCAAGTGTTTGTACTTCGGGAATTGTATCATTGTCATTTTCCTCGATAGAGCAAGGTGCATCCGTGTAAGGATGCGGTCTAATGATGTTATCGTGCATTTTGAAAAAATCTTCGTAGTAGTTAGCTGCAGCGTTTGCCATGTTTTCTGGGTCTTTTGTGATTGAGCCATTTGGAAGGATAAAGCCATGTATTGAGGTTGAAGCCGGCTTGAAGAATTTTTTCGTTTTAGACCAGAAGGAGACAGATACGTTTGATGACTTGTACATTTCGTTCAGATTTACGTTGAACTGTGACGTTATGTACGACCTCAATAGTAACTTTGATTGTTTTTGGAGATTCCTAACTTCATGTTTTAATTCAGTATTTTGAGATCTTAACTGCTGAAATGATTTCGCTCTAACATAAGAGAGGAAAGTTCTAATTTCTTTGGGGATGGAGATTCTGTATCTTTTGAGTGGAAAGCTGATAGTACATCTTGATATTAGTAGCGATAAGAATGTGACATAGTCATTATAGACGTTATCTAAGTCGTGCAGGTTCCAACATTTTTCCCAATAATCGAAGACATATTCCGTGAATAACGTAAAAACTTTCCAATGAGTGTTGTACCCATTTGAATTTTCTTTAACTTTTAACGGTACTATTGATATTGTTGGCTTATGGTCACTAGTTGTATTACCTTTATAAGTTTGAATATCAACACGGTGATTGTTTGAAAAAACAAAATCGATCGTTCGATCAGATCTTAGCGATGTTGACTCCTCTGGAATGAATGGTGCTAAAAGAAACGTATCAGCCCATGTAAGTAGTGCTTCAGCTTTTGTGCCATCGTTCTTAATGTCTATGTTGAAATCACCAAACATCAAGCAGTTTTCGTTTATATACGGGGAGATATCATTCCAGTTCCAAGTTCTGCTTTCGGTTGCATAAACCCCGAGAATTCTTGTTTTACTACCTTCGTTATCAATTTCGGTCACGCAAACATTAGGTATAGAACACTTGATTTCCTTCGAGATTATGCTATTCTTGATTAAAATCATGACTCCGCCATTGCTATTTTCACCTTTTTGAAGATACATCTTATAGTTTAAGAAGACTTGTCTGCAGTAATGTGGATCAAAGTGACCTATTTCTTGTAGTACTATTATGTCGAAATGCAAGGTGGTGATGAGAAGAATAACTTCGTGAATACGCAAGTCGAGACCACGTACGTTAAAGGATAGAATGCGAAGAGAATTTTCGGTGAAAGATACAGTAGGTATAAATCTTCTCCACGTTGTCAAACATTGTAAAAGCGTGGGGCTACCCTTCCACTCGCATAGAATGTCATAAAAAAGAGAAAAATCAAACTTAGACAAAACGGTTTCGGCATATGATAACATAGATTCACGAATGATAGATTTAGAATAAGAACAACATGAGAAAAATGGTGATGCGAAAGGAGATAGAGACATTATAATTCTTTACCGTCAATAATACATTTCAATTTTGCACGATTGAGTTCGAAGAGTATTTTTGCATCGGGATCAAGCACACGGCCTTGTTGATCATAATTTTGATATGATAAGATTTTGGTGATTTCATCGAGAAGAGGAATGATGAACTTTATTAATATGTTCTCGTGTCTTTTAAGCTTTAAATCATGCTGAACGATGTTGGCTTCGGTAATTTTGTTGATGTTCTGAAGAATACTAACATCCCGTCTTATAACTTCGTCATTTTTATTTTTTTCTTCCATAAAATTTTCAAATTTTTCGTGCCATGATCAGAGATGGGCAGCTCCGACCATTTCTCGCTCCAGCTCCGCTCCAGCTCCGGTCCGAATAAAAAATAAGCGCTCCGACTCCGCTCCCGCTCCACTCTGACTCGCTCCAGCTCCGCTCCAGCTCCGGCCCGAATAAAAAATAAGCGCTCCGACTCCGCTCCCGCTCCACTCTGNGAAAGAGCTCAAGGGTCAGTATTTCAGACATTTCAAAGTTGATGACCGATGATTGACAATGGTTAGACGCTGTCCATTGGAGGCACTTTTCAAGGATCGATGTATGTTCAACAAAACGTTTCGATTTATGTATGCTTTTAATAGGGTATTGAGATTGTAGCCATGGTGATCGAAATGCGTTGAGATTTGCTTGTTCAAGTAGAAGCTCACCGTCTTTAGAATCAGTAAGAGCTTCTAATGAGTCATCATTGACGAGTTTTAATGAATTACTAACTAACTGCGCTGTAGTGTACTGATTTTCATTTAAATTGATGGTACGTTCGGGGAGCTTGAACGGACTTTGTTCCGTTTCCTCGTTATTGGTCATCGTAGCTAATTAATTAGTATATTAGCCAGGCGTTCGATGATCACGCGCTGACCGAATGGTATATATCGAGACGATAAAGATCAAAGAACGTAAAAGAATACGTGTATATAGTACGGTCGAAAAAAGTGGAATGAACGAACGATTTTGTGGCTTTTTGGAGCGTCTCTTGCTTCGAATTTAGAACGAATTTTGCTGGAAAAATGTTGACTTCTTGATCGGTAGCGATAGAAATACATTCCAACCTTAACAAAATCAAGTGAACTTGAATGATGTTATGTTTTCTGGTGCTCTATCTGCTATAATAGAATAGTCATCAAAGAGCGCTCAATATTTCTTCTTTCGAGAGTATTAGACGTTTCTGTAATCAAATGTATTTTATTGAACAAGTATTCTCATATCTATTCATTTACTGATGAAAAGAAAGTAAGCATAAGAATGTAGAAGAGTAAGATAGACAGTAAAAGAAAGACAAATAGAAAATGAAAAGTAAGCTTTCTAGAATTTCATTCTCACGATGTCGATAGTATGACTAGATTTTTCTGGCAAGATTTAGGAGCTAATTGTGAAACTTTGTAGCACTTTAATAACTGATTATTCAAACTTTCGTTTCGGTACAAATAAGGTGATTTTGGGTACAACTTCTTTTGTCATTTTTATAAAGATCTTGTGCCATTGAACTTTGATTTGCAGCAGAAATTCGAAACAGGCACAGAAAAGATATCGAAGCTCATCTTTATGAATTAAATACATTTTCACTATCAAGAAAATGAGCTAATAGACTCTTGTCTCTAAGTATGACAGCTATTTTTTCTTCTATGCTTTTTGTCGATTCATATTGTCGCTAAAATCGAATATGTCAGAGCTGAAAAATCAGAAAGAATCACGAGAAAATCCTAAAACTCACCTACTGAAATCAGGATATCTTTTTTACCAGAAGAAAAATCGAAAAATCAGCAGTCTCCTAATCAAATCATATTCGGTAGGCCTGGTCAAAACATTAAAATATTTTAAAGTTATCACACTTATATAGAATTGACATCTAGTATAGTAAATATATAGTGCGTACCATTATAAACAAATAAATAACACTACTTTTCAACTCGCTCCCTAACCTGCTTTGATAAGAAAGTTCAGCCAACCCTAGACTGAAATCGTTCCGCCGCCTATGATCTTATTCTATATATTTTGGAGAGTAAAAGAATAAACCAAACCTGTACTCTCTAGAAGATGATGATGATACGGTCTGTATTATGAAATGCTGTTATCTTATGTTCTTTGTATCACATTGTGAATTAATGTATTCAATAGATTTTTCTTCCAGAAGGTTCAAGAAGTTTGAAAATTATGGTAAAGAGTTGATTGTTTGTTTATTTCAGTTTCAATTTAAGCTATTAAAAATGTCTCCATTCTAGTGGCTAACATATACGTTGTATAAATTTCGATTAACTTTGAATCTTACAAGAATATATTCATTAGTGTCAAATAACATCGAAGAAAGTCAAAAGTGAACTTTTGATATATTTGAAAAATGATAATGTCCATATTAATTGAGATTACATGAGTTGAGTTTTGAATTTCTTGCTTCATACATAATGAAAAAGAAATAATCTTGCTTTTATTGATGTTACATAAAAACATTTTCTTTTTAAGAGAACATTATTTTTTTGTCTTGTAAGTAAAACAATATTCATAGAAAATATCGTTTTTTAAACAAAGGCCAAATTCGGCGCGTGTTGCATGATTTTCTTCATGCTTTGACAATCAGCAGCCACATCGAATCTACAAAAAAAAGAAGTTTTTTGCTTATGTTGATTTGACATTAAATAAATCATACGTTATATGAAAGATTTTCTTTTCATTGGCCTCGATTATGTTGACAGCATTGACCTTACATATACCTGCCATATTTTCAATAGCTAGAATTAAAATTCGCTATTAAAAAACAAAAAACAACAGTAACATACTAGCTACAGCTTGTAAGTGAGCATCTTCTGTGGCAGTGGTGATCTCCAACACGTTTTGTCGTTGGCTCTAAGATAATAACAAAATTATAAACTATTTTATTATGGCCATTAGATATGATTCCTATTTTAATTTTTGAAAAGAGATAATTTTGTGGAACTCACATATATCTTCGCAAGAAAAAAGTGAGTGTAAATTTAAATCAAAGTTTTTGCGGCTTCTCCTCCCTAGATCTTTCCCATTACAGAACTTAACAACAATGACCAAAGATCTTTTGCGGCTTCCCTCTGCCCATCGTAGACACTCCTTCATAAAAGAATAAACTACTGAACTTCTAACTTTCAAGAATAATCAATTTTAGTGTTTTTTAATTGATCGAGATATATGAAAGTGCATTGGGATACTGTGTGATGTATAATATGTGTATACAACAGGCTTATCTCTCAGTCGAATCGATAGTTACAAGAATAAAAAATAAAAAATAAAAAATAAACCAAAAAACAAAATAAAAAAAATAACGAGCGAATACTAGCAAGACAATGATAATAAAGCGACAGTAAGAAAGATACACGAAATAAAATTCTATTTGAGATGCACAAATGAATAAGACAGATGATTTGTTTAACAATCGCTTATTCTTGGAAAATAACTATCTTCCATAAGAAATTATTCCCTTTACCCAGGTGAATCAATCCGATACTGAATCCCATCGGATTCTATGTGGTCCTACCATCCGACGAGATCCCGTTGGATTCCTGGTTGAGGAATCAATGTCGGATCCGACAGTCGTTTTTCCAATGATATCCGATTGTCGGGACCAATGAAATCCGAAGCATTCCGGTTCCGATTGACGATTACTGTCGGATTTTATTAGTTTCCGATATTAGGATCCGATATCGATTCCGGAACCAGGAATCCGACGATAATCCGATAGTTTCCTTGCGCCTTCCGAAGAGCTCCGTTGGATTCCAATAGGAACCGATCGGATCTCATCGGATCCTAGGCTAGGATTCATTCTCCTGGGGAGGATGTTGTTTTGGCTAGTTTATTTTTTATTTATTGTAAATGCTAATATTATTTCTTTTTTTTTGTTGTTATGTTTCATAAGTTATGAAAGTGAAAACAGTGTTTTTTGAATACGGTAGCACGAATCATCAATAAAATTACTGGTTATCAAAATTTAATTGAAAAATTAGTCATAAATATTGAACCATTTTTGTATACATGTAAAACATATTATCAAGAAAAAAATGATATTCATGCGTTGTTACATTTCGATTCACTTCGGGTTGGAGTGAACGAACTAAGGCGTGGATGTGGGTATGCGATGGGATCGTGAGCTGGTCTCGGATTCGTCCTATATTTCCTATATTTAAAAAAATTCCTATTTTTTCTCCTATATTTCGATGAATTTTCCTGTATTTCCTATAAAAATGAAAAAAGGAGAAAATTGCTAAAAACGCTCTTGTTTTAGTATAATTTTCGTGTTTTTTAAACAAATCTATTCGATAATTATTGATTCTTTTGTATTCTTAGAAGTTTTTTTTACAGAGACTCTATTTTATTTACAATTTCTTTTCACATTATCAAACGGACTAAATGAAAATAACTGACTATTTTAAGTAAAGATTTTCAAACAAAGTAAAAATAGTCTTTATAAATAGTTGTGTGTTTTTTAAAAACTTTATTGTTGCCTATCATATGCAGTTACGTAAATGGTTTTGTTCAAGCGTAACGCTGTAATCTTTTTTGGCACACTTTGTTTTTCATTATCTTGGAAATTGTGTGAGTTAGAAAGTTCGTTCAAACGTGATTTGATGCAACTTGTCATGATATGTTTATGCCATAAAATGACTATTTTTGGATTAAGTCTCTTGGTTATAGAGAGGAGTTTTGGTTGTTTGACTGTGACATAAAAAGGCTCTTTTCTTCAGGGCCACTAATAAGCTGCAGGTTCTTCTGGAACTATTTCTTCAACTGAAACACTTCTCGAGTTAGTTTTGTAGTGCTTCTTGACCAGGCTTTAAAACACTAAAATCGTTTTCTCCAAGCTATTTTTGCTTAGATAAAAAGCGCAAGAAAACAACGTGACATTTTTAGTAATGCTGAGGTACAGTTTTTCTTCACCAATTTTGAAGCACTTAACATGATCAGAGTTATTTGATTTTTATTAGTAATAGTCTTTTCTTTGTATCTAATTGTTATACACAAAAACGAAATTGATACATCTGTATGGAAGCTCATAAATGGTAAATTGAGTTAGAAAGTGTATAAGAGTTTACATTGTCCTTACGTTAGCTACGAAAGTCAAAACAAAATAGGCCAGCTTGTAGAGACTAAAATTCTACAAGCAACGATCTGTCATTGATATTTTTTGAAAACATTTCTTGGTTAAAAAACTCAAAATGCGATTTTTGAAAATTTTCATACTCGGTGTGAGTGTAGGTTGATGTGAGTATAAACACAATACAAACCATAACCCACACCCTGATTTATTTTGTATTAGTTTATTAATATGTAAATAAACATATTTCGATTGAATTTAATTGTGTCTGACTCATTTAATTTAATTTAAGAAAGAATTAAAATGAAATATTGGCAAAAATTTCGTGCATATGTTTAAGTTGATGCAGGAAAAGTTTAAAACAATGTTTAATTCGAATATAAACAACGAATTTTCGATATCCTATTTTTTTTTCTGATTTTTTACACCTTTTCCTGTATTTTTAAAAAGTTTGATCCTGTACTAATTCTTATATTTTCAAAAATTTGCAATCCGAGGCCAGTTGATGGGTATTATGACTTGGAAATCATGATATCCAGTGTAACGGTATTATGACATCTATGGATTAGCGACGCTTACGTCGCGTTACTTGTTTTAGATGATGAATACATAGAAATATCACTCATCGACAGTTATTGTTCTACAGGAAACAAACTGACAATTGTGTTTTAAACAACAAAGGTCTGTGATTGTTAAGAAAGGATACTGTATTTTTCCGACAATAGCTAAATAATCCAACAGATTATTTGGAAATCAAAACTAGAAACTCTAATTTTTTGGTTTGAAACTATATTCTTTGCACTGTAAAAGGCGAAACTCATGTTAAAATGAGAAATTTATTGCTTGTCTTGGTAAAAATAAAATTATTTTCTTGAACACTAAACACTGTCGATCAAGAAATATCCACGAAATCGTGATTTAATGTTGTCAATTTATGAATACTATTGTTCAGAGTACGATTGACGTATTCTAATTGTTAATCGGCCCTGAACTCTACAATTGATTCAACAAATTTATCATGTACAACAATTATGTTCAATAGAAGTCTGCTGTATGGATAAACAATCTAACGATGAATGAACCAGATACAAGACTCAATCATAGTATCTTTTTGCTACTTCCTATAGTTAATGATTTTTGTTTTGTTTAGATGAAATGTTATTGTTTGACTCGATGATCTAATTGATCAAAATCAAATTCAATCGTATTATATGAATGACAGAGAAACAATCATTACTATAATTAGAGTAAACTACCGTATCAAACAGTAGTTGATTTGTTCATTCTCGTTTTACAATCACTGTTCTTCTTAGAATGAAATAGAGTCTAGAAGACAAGACAAGGAGCAGCCACATATTAATCTTTGCTATAGTAAATAACAAGACAATAATGATTGATGAGGCATAAATGAATATCATATTTCAGTAAATAAAAGATAATGATACTAAGATCTAGTCACGATATTTATTAGCAACTCAAGAACTATAAAAGTCAATTTTCTATTGATTATCGACGAGTAAGATTCATAAAATATTTCATTTGATTAATAATAATTAGTCGAGACGAATAAATATATATAGTAGTGCGATGATGAACATGAACTGTACGAATCTCTTTCAACACATTTAATTTAAAGACTTTTTGGCAATCTATTGAATGAGATAAGTAAGCATGATTTCGTCGAAGTAGTATATCATCGTTTATTTGATAAATTTGTAGAAAATAATCCGATGTCTTCTCGTCTTGTATCAGTTATTTGGTATTTTAAGTTACTGCAATTGACTTTATGAAATATGAGATCACACTTTACTTCCTCTTCAGCAACATTTGATTAATAGAACTGTATAAACATTAGGCATGCTTTGTCAAGTCGAATATGTTTGAACAAGGCACGAATGTCTATGAAAGGGTACTACTAAATATTTTCAGCATATGAATTCTTCACACATGTGTATCTTATATAATATCAAAAACACAATCACACTATAGAGTATGTTGGAATTTCTTCTGATATAAACTTTTTTTTCTTCGCTCATCCAATAACTCTTTCTATATCTTTCTTCTGTATATTTAAACGGGCCACTAAATTCATATACGTATATCAATTGTTTCAAGTAACAGATGCATTGTCTCTTTTGCTTTTTCTCTTCTCAGGTATCAAATAAAGTCGATATTCACTTTCGTTTGCTCTTATTCGAGCGAAATTTCATTCATTCGAAATCATCTTATCACAAGTTAGTTTTAAGCCTTCGGTCAAAATTGCTATATTTATTAGTCAACTTATATGAATACACATTCTTTTACTAATCTAAAAGAATTTCTCAATACTACCGCATTTGACAAGTTGTACTTTTCAGTTTTGTCTCTATTCATATTTATCTGAAGCATATCTGATGTTGCGATCAATTACTACTCCACTCACGATTAACTAATTACTTATAATTTTACTGTTGGTAGCGACTTGATCGGTATGAAATATGAAGCATTCATTTAAAATGTTTTTTTTTGCATCTTGATTGTTGTCACTTCAATCAGAGAACGTCTAGGAGCAATAATACGCGAGACATACACGTGCTACATGCAATGTTCTATTTACGTAGATTATAATTATAATTATTATAAATCAACGAAGCCTACTGTCATATTATGAACAATATCATTTCGATATTCCGAAGATATTAACGTCCAATAAATAAATGATGATAAACAATTTTTTCTTTTGTTTTTGTATAAACTGCAATCTCACACATATCCATGTGATATATCACCATGCTCGATTGCACATATATCGTTCTCACTTTTTCTACTATAATGTCGGTCAAACATATATATTTTTAACATTCACGCTCATCTTCGATCCAATCATCCAGATGTCATCCTATCATGCCTTTTCTATTCAATTCCTAACCATTTGCTTACAAATGATTTCACACTTTGAATAGATAAACGTGTAAAAGTTGACACGATTTAATGAGATATTTTCAATCGATAAGACATTATGTTCATCAATTGAACACAAAAGAAGAAACAAAAAAAATAGCAAATGTACGGCATATCTGACTAGCTTTAAAAAACAGAAGAGAAAAAAAATTACCAAAAAGAAATACAACTGTTCTAAAATAAAAATTAAATAATAATCGGTGGTCTACAAAGACATTTCGGCGGATTTAAATGATTCAATGACGTTGTGAATGGAATTTCATGATAGAAATGATAGGGTTGCTGTTCTTGACAACAATTTGATTGTAGTGGCGAACGACAATAATAAAACATCGGCGTTATTGTCGATGCTGATTGTTGATTCGTACTCCCATTGATTGAACGTTCTTCTATCGAACATAGTCCACCTATTTGTGTTGTATCTGACCCAGTTGTTTGATAATATGAATCTGTGGCAATTGTTTTTGATGAATTATGAAGAAATTTATCACGTTGTTTTATAATAAAAATAACAACTAATAAAAGTATGAGCAAAACAAAAACAATGCCACACGCAACGCCAGTTATTAAATATTGCATATCATTCAGGAATGATTTTTCAATAGATTTTGATGATGATGATGACGATAAAGATAACACTTTTTGTTCAAATTTGATTTCTTGCTTAGTTGGCGTAATTAAATTTCGACATAATGATTGTTCATGAATTTGAAGGCATAGAGAATAATTTGTTGAAGATTTTAATTTTTCAAGTAGAAAATAATTTTCACTGGAATTTAAATAAAGTATGGGTAATTTATAACCATTTTCATAGACCATTAATTTTAATGGAGATGATATATAAGACCATTCCAGAATAGCTGTTTCAGAATCTTTTAGCCATGCATTAAATGATGAAATCATTTCATATTCAGTTGTTAACTCAGGAACATTTGTTGTCGTTACTGTACTTGTTGTTACAATTGAAATATGTTCACATTGAAATTCATGTTCTTCTAAAGAACCGATTTGTTTACTAGAAAGTTCTTTTGGTTGTGCACATATCCATTGAACGTAGGGAACAAGTTCAGATTGATAGTGTGTTAATAACCAATGATATAATGGTTTAATGTGACAATCACATTGGAGTGGATTTGAGCTAAGATCGAGTGTAATAAGTTGTGAGAGTTTATTGAATGTTTCATTATTAAATGGCAATGTTGTTAAACGATTATTACCTAATTCAAATTCACGTAATGTTAATGGATATGCTGAAGGTATTTCTGTTAATTGATTACGTTGTAAATCAATCGCAATTAGTTGTGACATTAATGAAAATAAATTATCTGGTTTGATTTCAGTTAATAAATTTGATTGAAGTTTTAAACGTTCAAGATTTATTAAACGAGCAAATGCCGGTAGAGAATTTGATGTTAATGAACATGATTGAAAACTTATATTACGTAATGATGATTCAATACCAGAAAATGTATCGGTCGACAATGGTAGTAAAGGATTACGATCCATGTTTAAATGTTCAAGTGAACGAGTGAATTTGAATAAACCTATGAAAACAAAAAAGAAACAAAGGTTTGCATTAGAAAAATAAATAGAACGAATAAACATGTAAAATGTCATAGCTATGTATACTAGGCTTCAAATTGCAAGAGGCCAATTATGATATGTTCTCTGTCATATGATTGAACTTTTTTTTTCCTCCGAACTCTATAGTAATAGGAGTCAATGGACGTAGACTGTTTTTAATCAAACAAACGCACATTTTTGTCATTTCTTTTTCTTCAATTGGAATAGACTAATTTCCTAGTCATTCAATCAAGTGTTCAGACTAATATATTTTTTTCTTAATGAAATTTATCTGTTGTATTTTTTCTTTTACAAAGACATTTTTTAAAAGATACAATTTCAATTATCCTGATGATATCAACGAATCAATAGGATATTCAGAGATTAACATGACCTAAATCTCTGATGGAGCCGAATTTAGATAATGTAGTTTTTGTCAGCAGCGACAGGGCGAATTCAATTGTCTTCCTAATGGCACTACTATTACAAAAAGCTTCCTTCCTCGTACTAATGTATTCTCATCTTACAAAAATATATTAAATCCTTTTTTTAGAAAATTTCAAAAATAAAATCTAGAAATTGTTTACCTTTCGGTATTGTTTTGATGTTATTTCTTGCTAAATTCAATCGTTTAAGTTTATATAAATGTTGAAAAGTATTTGAATTATTTAATAAAAAATCATTACTTTGTAATGATAAAGTTTCTAATGAATTATTTGGTGTTATTAAATTTTTATTAAATATTCTTATGGAATTAAAATCAAGTATTAATTCTTTCAATTGATTTGGTATTAAACCATTAATATTTTCTGATGTTAAAAGATTATTTTGTACATTTAAGATTTGTAAACTAGTCATATTTGTTATTGTTAATTTCATTAGACCATTATATGATAAATCTAAATATCGAAGATTTTTATTATTTACATTTGTTTCATATTGGTTGATGCGGTTATGCGATAATGATAATGTTTCCAGTGTTATTAAATGATTTATTACTAATGATATACGATTATCAAATTGATTATGATCAAGATATAAATGTCGTAATTGTTTTTCAATCGATTGAAATGCATTATTTTCAATTGCTTGTAAATTACAGGATTTTAATGATAAAATTTCTAATTTTTTCATTTGTTCAAATGTATTTATTGATAATATTCGTAAATTTAAACCAGTTAATGTTAAACTTCTTATGTTAGCTAAGTTCGTTTTAATTGCTTCTGGTATTGTATCAACAATTGATGAATCAAATTCTAATGTTAATTGTTCAAGATAATTTTCTAATTCACGAAATGCATTTTTATCGATAGATTTTAAACGATTGCCCGACATAATTAAACGTTTAATACGTAAACTCTGAAATGCATTTGCGTGTATATGTGTTATCGCATTATCGGATAGAATAAGTTCATCGAATGCTAAATTAAATAAACGATGAGATGAAAAGTCTGGGATTTCTGAAAGTGATTTTCGTGCACAATGAACATAACTTGAACCATCATCACGAATTCCTGATTGACATAAATCAAGAAGATTCAAGGCTAATGTAGGAGTTAGAAGAAATATGAATAAGATTTGTAATGGCATTATCTAGAAGACAAACAAAAAATAATCAGCAATACAATCTACATGATTATCAGTGATTTACTATCAACTCATCATTAAATTATTCCTATTTGACAATAAAATATAAGATCTATCTAACTGAATAGACGTTTAATTTTTTTTTGTATACTTACCACCATCGTCTTTTCGTTAATTATATGATAGTCCATTTTATCCTTCCGCATCCGGACATCGAAAATAAAACTTAACAGATAAATTCCACATTCGATAAATGAATGCCATTGTTTACACAAGAAAATATGCAAACAAAGTGTTTCTTCGTTGTAGACATACCTACATTCGACCACTTCCTATCATATACGTACGTGTATGTACGTCTTAGCAAATACACATACACAAGAGCTTTTAGCCTTTCGGACACACGAATACGACGAGTGATGCTGATTACATCACGTCTTGTACACAATACATACACTTCTCATTCGCTATTAAACCCTAAAAATAGGAACAAATAAAGCTCTTTATTTGTATACAACAAGAGAGAGAGAGGGGGAGAGGGAGAGAAAAAGAAAATAAGCATCTTCACGTGCCAACATTAGATTGAACACGGTCATAATAATCGATCATTTGAACCGACAGCTATAATTTTCGAGATTTAACTCTCACACCTTTTTGAGTAGCATGTACACACATATACACGGTAGATGATACTTATCATTAATATCTATCTCTTTTTGTGATCTGCACTTGATCGCTTCGTATCACCATTTGTCTTCTTCATCTTTTTCTTTATAGTCTTTAATCAAAAAAATATATATGTATATACCGACTCATACAACAACGTCGTTCTCTTAAATCAGAGATGAATGATGAGTTTGATATGAATCAAATTCATTGTATAGACACATGCCAAATCATGTGTATAAATAAAATGAAAAAAAGTTTGAGCATCTCTTTCGTTGTTGTTGTTGTCTATTCTGGGAACTTTACCTTCACAAACTACAGCTGTTGTTACTGCTGAGAGCCGCCTCCGGGAAGAGACAAGATGAAACAAATATATATATATATATATATATATATTCAGACAGATAGTAGATAATGCTGATGGATCTTACTCACTCAACACTTAAGTGAGTAGAGAGACATATCGTAACAAGAGAGAAAAAAAACGAATACAAATTATGACAAATCGATTCGCCAAGTTAAAATAGAATATCATTGATGTGTTAAAAAACATAGTAGCTGACTTCTATTTCTACACTGTTTTTTTTTCTTCTTCTTCTCTTTTAAACTTCATGTTTCATTCTATCCTCTTCATCGTGTATTTCATAACGGAAAAGATATAGCCCTCGTAAATCACCTACTGATCTCCGGTAACACGCCGAAAAGGAAGACTTATCCCTACCTTTTTTTTACTCATCTTTTGTATAGATATATGTCATAGAAAGAAGGTCATATATTCGCCACAGCCCAACATGGGGTAAAGAGTTACAAAATGACGAATGAACGAACGATAGAAAGCAAGAAAAAGAAAGAGAATAAAAAAGAACAAGAGCGCGAAAATTCTCACTGATGCAGAGTAAATGAACAAATGCGAAAGAGAAGAGAAACTTCTAATCCTTCACTTATTATATGTAGAAACAAGAGAGTGTCATTCTTTATCGCCTTACAATTAACCTCCTCTTTTCGACTTTGTTCATCAAAACGACCGACAGTTGCGCGTTCATATATATATACATACATATATATTCACAAACGTATCAATAGCTATGCTAATTGAAAAACGCATCATCTAGAACGAGAGGAAAAAGGCGAACTCATGTGTGACGAAAGCGAGAAAGACATGGCGGATGGATTACACAGACATGAGCTAAATGGATTTTCAATCAGTAACAAGGAAACAAAAAGATGATGGCGGTCATTCAATCAGTTAACAAGAAACTCTATTTGTATTCGACACGTCACGATTATGTGACATTTCCCATAAAAGAGAGAGAGGAAAAAAGAAAGAGAAATATTCATGTAACTCATTTGTGCTAATCGAATGTGTTCAATACATTTATGCATAAGAATAGTCTCTAGTGGGGTAGTACCCCAACGATTTCCTTCTTCTGCTGTCTCGCTCTCTCTCTCCGGTGCTGTCCAGACGATGGCAACTTTATTTTTCAATTGTTCTTGCGCAGTCACAACAATTGTCGTCTATAGTAAACAGTTAAAAGAAAAAGAAATCGGGGTACACACACACGACAATTAGAGAGAGTTGTTATTGTTACGACAATGAATGCATACATATATATGTGTATATACAAACTGAAAAGAAGTCTTACTGCCTATTAGACGAATGAAGTGCGATGACAATGATGACCGAGGCTCAAAGTGTCGAAACTATATAAGAGTCGGTCATGAAATTCAATTGAATGAAAATAAAGACGATGAAGTCATACAAGAAAAATGATGTATGTTTGTATTTGAATGTCGAACAAAAAAGAAAAACACCAAAAGGTGTCGAGATATTTGTCTGAATTAAAAGCAAATGCATTAACGTGCGATAGATACTATTAAAAGATTGCGAAGCTAATGTGTTATTATTTCACGTTCAAATGCTACATATTTTTCAATTAATTAAATTTCATCGATAAACATTTCCTGTATTTTTTTTGCGAAGATCTAATTTGTAAAAATCATAGAGTAGTACATACTTCGAATTATACCAATACGATAAAGACAAAGTAAAATGTTTAAGTGCTTTACCTACTCATTGTACAGATGGCTCCCTTACTTACCTTCTCAAGAGTGTGCGCGCACCAGCTGTGTGCCATTCATTGACACCCCATTAATGTCCTTCCCTTTCTCGCTCGTTCATTTAGATCGAAATGTACAGGAGACAAAGATTTGCAAATCTCTTTTTCTCTTTCTCGCTTCTTTTCTTGGCCGAGGGTCATTTGTATATATATGTGTGTGTATATATGTGTGGCAAAATCAATTCGCATTCCTAATCATATGTTGATGGTGATGACACGCGTACGATAGCACATTCAGTTTGTTATTTCTAGCTGCTATGTTCATACTCCCCATACACATCTGCAAATGTTCATCATTGCATTCAGATAGAGCAGATTCACAATTAAGCTCTTGTTTTATCTCAAGGCTACTCTACATTCTTATCTCAATCTTTGACCACCACATGTATATACCATGAATGTTTTCACAATGATGAAAATGACTGACAGATCTATTTCATCTTTTTTCTTCTAATAGAGAGAAAAAAATCTTCCTAAGATAATTGAATTTCTGATTTTCAATCAATTAAAATAAAACCTCACTCGATGATTGGCATTTGATTAGATATCAACACTGCAATTATCACTGTACGTAGAATGATTGTACAAATATGTATAGCTATATATATATATAAATGAATAGAAATAAAAGAATGAATGACGAGCCATACGAACGTACAAGACAAACAATAGCCATACCAGTTCAAGATACCAAATGTCATTCTATTCAATTACAACACATGCCAACTCCGCCCCTATAGTTTTCTTCCTATTTTTCTAAACACATCTGCCCATTGTCGCCAAGCTTATGCAATAATGACGAAAGAAGAAACTCTTGTCTTCAAGACAGATGTTTGAACGACAGCGATCATTAAGAAAAGAGCGATATACATCAAACATATATCTACCGGTAGGTGGTGATGAGAGCAATTGAATGGCACATACGCACGGCAAGAAGCCATGCGCTTTTTCTTTTTTATCCATTTTTCAATGCTGCGACGACAATGACAATGCATACATTTTTTTACATGTTTTAAAAGAAAAACTAGAAGCAATAACTAACTTTCACTTTTATTTATGTTTTCTTTTTAGTTACACTAGAATAGTAATAATAAAGCTAAGATTATATTATATATACGCCTCAAGCAATCATTGGCGGCGACATTCAGATTACTACTAATAATCACTAGGAATATATTGCGCGACATAGACGACAAAAGAAAGGTTACATTTTAAATATATATAATTGAAAAAAAAACTCAATGTGACATAGCGTCTCTGTGTACACAATGTAAAGAAGCTCAATTTTGAATACTATCATAGAAGCAAAGAGGATCGATTTCATTCATATATATATATATATATAGCTAGCTATAGCTCGTATAGATATGTATTGAACGCCACGAAAAAGAAAGAAAAGGTCAATTTCGACAGATTACAAGTCTCCTCAATCAATCAGCTTTGAATATGAAAGATAAAGAATAGACAAAGTAGACAAACAGACAACAAAAAAAAACGTAAAAGAGCAGATCTCAAGAGAATAGTGGTGTCGATGTCTGACTGTCACCTGTTTGATTGTGCATGCATAACGAATGGATACTTACTCATCTTGCTATATAACGAACCGACAGTCAGACAGACAGACAGACAGGTCTACATCAGACATGCATACTTGTACAGAGACGCACAGAGATAATTTTCAAAGAGAAAAATACTTGATGTGTTCATGAACAATGTATTTTCTCACTTTCATGAATGTGTCATAGGCTTTTAGAATGAAACATGACAGCATTATTTATTAGAATAAAAAGAATGTTTTTTAGATGATTGATTTCAATGACAACGGTATTCAATAGAAGAAATAGAAAATATCAATAGAAAAGTTTAATATCATAAAATTTCTTTAAGTAAACATTTTTGTTGTAATTATAATTGTTATTATAACCTCTCTACTATGAAGATATCTATAGTCACAAGGGAGTATTTTCAAATGATCGATTGCTCTCTCATTTATTATGAGTATACTGTAGGTTATTGACCATCGTGATTTCGCATATGGCCACAAGAAATCACTATACGAATCATTATAAACTGCTTCTCTACGAAAACCGAAATTTTTAAACAAATAAAATGTATTTTCTTTTTACTCGGAAGAAGCATGATCGATTTTGCACAGTGCATTAACTGTTGATGGGAAACAGATTGATCAGTGGATATCAATTGAATATGTTACAAAATATATTTTATAAACTATAACAGTAAAAAAATAGTAGCACTAAATTATTTTATCACAATAAACATCTATGACAGTAGTATTCAGCAAAAAAGCTACAATGTTTCTTTTGTATTAGAAAAGAAATTTACACAAGAGAATTTGTAGCATACTTTCTATCAATAGTGTCGCAATCTTTACATTAAATAATGATGAGAATATGAATGAAAGTTTATTGTATTGGTTTTATGCATTTTTATTCCCGAAGGATAATATTAGTTACACATAATCTATTTTCTTTTCTTATATTCATAGAAAAAAAAAATGATCATTTCAGATGAAAGAAGTGTAGTTTAAACAATTTTTCATCATTTTTAGTTTACTTGAGAAGAAAAAATGCCATCTTCACTTATTTATCAATTACAATATCATTTGAGAACAGTGCTCATGAAAGTTGTGTCTAAATTGATTTTTTTAATGATACAAAACAAGGAACGCATTCTAGCTATTCTCATCGATCAATTCTTTTTCTTTTTCTTTTATTTTTTAAATAATAAATTGTACAATTGTATTGTTTACTGTAATAAAAATTGTACCAGGCGGTGTTGATGATGTGTACAGTAGACGGCGGTATTCCTAAATAGCCAAAGAAAACATTAAAGACATCGAGAAAAACAGCAGTGCAACATATGAATTCTCTATTGTACTCCTCTCAATTGAAGACTAAAGAACAAAATTACACATATACAATCATATTGTTGAAAGCGACAACTTGTTTAATGAAATGGAAACGAATATGAATAATGAATAATGCATCGATCGCTTAACATCAGCAATATATGACATTTCATTATCAAAATAATATCGTCGTTTTCTTTTAAAATTACATATAAACGATAAATTTAGAGAGAGAGAGAGCCGCTACAATGCAGTAAACCAATCTGGTTACATATACACACATTTCTTTGTAATTATACAATAAAAGAATAATGTTCAATCTATTATAAATTTCTAAAAATCAACTACATTGCATTAAAAAAAGAATGATCCCGTTTGAGTTGTATTGAAGATCTAACAACTTGCCCGTGCTATTCTCTGCTCGATTTTTATCTTAAGGGTTTCCGCAGACGATCTGATTACTGCAGTAGAAACTAGAAAATATTTTAGAATAAAATGCAATGACATGTATCTTTACAAATTACGATGAAAAAATGTCATTGATTTCTAGCATGAATAATTCTACACCTTCTAATGTTGCACGAAACATGTGGATTTTTTAGTACCAAAAGAGCAGGACCTTCCGGTTCAAATCGGAAACGTTAATCGCCAAGTTGATTTGTGATACGAAATTTCACGTATTTTAAAAAACTATCATTGGTTTAGTACATCAACTTCGAACTCTTAGACTGATTTGCGGTACTAACAAAATGTTTCGTTGAAAAATATCAGAACGCTGTTAATTCTTCCAAACTTGGAAAAGTGTTGTATAATTAAAAGGAAACGATTTCCACTTCTCCGACGCTGAAATTATTGAGTGCAAATATGCAGAACCACTAAAGTTCAGCAAGAAACCTATTCTTTTGATAGTGTAGATAGTAAGAATCATATACATAAGCAGCGGAAGGTATAGCCTTACTCAAAAACAAATCTGAGACTACTTTGAAAGAAAGAAAAGGAGTTCTGCAAGACTTTTTAAGGCTCTGTTTTTTATTCAGGTTCAAAACCCCCTAAAAATAGTTCCAGGCGAAAAAAAGGGGCTCTAAAACCTTCCACAGCACCTTATTTTCTTTCCGAATATGTCACATACAACTTTAGCGTTATTTGCAAAAGACGAACCCGGAATTCCTGCTCTTCGCCAATAATTGACGAAGGGCGGTATAATTGTTCCATATACAGTGAAAATTTCCAGCATCGATCTCTTGTTAATTAAGCGTTTTCTAGGAGCAAAGTTATTGAATGATTCATGTAATTTCAGTAGTTCCATATGTCGAGACAAAAATTCTATAGTAATTAAAACTTATAAAAGTATGTAACTGTAGAAAATTTCAATTCATTCTATACAGCCAATTTCGAGATATAGCTGGATAACGACACTTGATGCAAGCAGTCGACTTTTGGGCTTTTACGTAAAATGCTCTTAAAAAGTCGAAATTTCAATACTTGCCAGAATTGCTTCCGTGAAAATTCTGAGAACTCTTCCCTCTTGAACGTATATTTAATTCAGGAGAATCAGACGATATCTTTTGAGCATTGATCCTACGATTCGGCCATCCTTTACGTGACCTGGCTCTTATATCCATCGTATATTTCAGTCTAGCTTAACATGCCACAAACATATTACGTTTGCTCCTTATCAAATTCCATATGCCCACATACCTTATTTGTTCTATCACTACTCGTTTAATCATATTATCTCACTAACGTTACACCAAAACACAACACTCCACTAAGTTTCATCGTTAGAAGAAACTCCGTTGCAGAAGCAAAACCTATAGTTAGTTGTTTACTAAGACAGCAACACAACCAACTGCAGGTCGAATCAGGTATGCAAGAGCCAGTCCATATTACTGCGTGACAGTAAACGAAAATACATGATACAAGCGTGAGAGTACGTATAAATTGCATGCTCTGTATTTTCCAGTTGTTGATTTCACGTCGAGAATGAAAAGAAAACGAAACGCATAATCCAAAGCATACGGGATTTTATATTGCTTCTTTCAGTAGAACTCATTCATGGATGGCTTCATTAGTAATGAGATAGATAGACATCACTATTCCTTTCATTTGCGTTTAAATCACGATCTTTGTAAAAAGGTGAAATTCCGTAACGGACTGTATTTTTAGGTTTACTGTTTCATGCTACTATATCTGTTCAGAACTGACCTAATATTTTGAAAGCTTGTTCAAAACTGAACAACTTTCGTATGCTTAGTCACTGTAAATACAAGGGTTTAAGGAATATATGTACTAGAAACATTGTTTATAAGAGTTTTAGACAGGTGGAATCACATTTTTCGAGGATACCGATATATCATTCGCAAAACGACCACCCTCCTTTCATGTCTATTGGGGAAAAACAAGGGCATAGTAGTTCTAAATATTTTCATATATAAATCGTCCTTTTCTTTGAAGTTGTTGAAGTTGATTTTGGTAGAATATGGTTTCTTCATGATGCATTCCGAAAGCAGACTCTGCAGTTTGAAAAGCTTTTTCAGCGTTATCAATGGCTTCCGCATGACGCTCGAGATGATCTAATTCTGTTGCCATATTATTGTAAGTTTTAGCTAATAATTGGTAGTTATTAGGTAGACGATTGATGATGTTGTCAAGTGCTTTCTCGTAGAAAAGCAACGCGAGTGAGTGGTTATCCATAGAACAATTTTGACTACCATAGTTGTTGTAGAATATAGCCAAAGATGGGTTGTCAGGAGGCAGAGAGTTTTGATGGAGTTCAACGAGCTTATCAAGTCCTTGAAACATACCTAGAACATTTTCCCTTATCGCATCTGAACTGCTCGTGCCGTCAAGGATAGAAGAAATTTCTGCTTCATCTGTTGAACACAGATTTTGTAAACTAACAAGGCTCTTTTTCAAACATTCTGAAACATTACTTCCATAGTCTAGTGCTTGATTTTGTTCAGCGAGGTTAATAGGTGCTCCAAAAAGCGTCGAAGGATTGGTTGAAAGGAGTTCTCGCTGATCCTGCAATACTCTGTCTAAGTTCGGTACTACAGATGTCAGACTTTTTAATAGTGAATGTGCTCTATTCAGATCTTCTTCTGTCCAATTCTCTACTTGCTGATCTGATGAAAACAATCTCTGTGCGCCTTCAAAAGTACCACCAAGTTGCGACATTAGGTCCGAATAAGAATTCATGGATTGACGTAAAGTGTTACTTGTATCAGTATTAATAGCAAGAGATGAATGATTCTGATGAGCTGAATGTGATTTCTGCTCGATCTTAGTCGCTTTACTCATTGCTGAGCATCCAGTTATATAATCTCCCATCCAGAAACTTAACTGACCGAGGTTGCTATAAATTCTGGCCAATGTAGCATGATTAGGTGGAAGATACTTCTGCAAAAGTTCGAGCGCTTTTTCATAATACAATTTCGCCTTTGAAAAATTTCCCATTGCTTGATACAATATACCAAGGCCATTATAGGTTATTGCCAAGTATTGAGGATTGGGAGTGACCGCTCTCTCTTGATTTGCCAATGTTTTTTCGAAGTGTACCAATGCTTTTGAGTAGTTTCCTAACATAGTATACACCCAGGCAATATACGAGTCGTTTACTACTAGTAGTGGATGATCTTCTGGAAAAGATTTCTGAAGAATTCTGTGCGCTTTCTTATAAGCCGTGAGCGCATCAGAATACTTGCCAGTGAATTGATAAACGATACCGATATTGCTATGAACAATTCCTAAGTTGGGATGATTGGCTGGAAGTGACTTCTGTTGAATCTTTAGTGCCTTCTCAAAACATTCATGTCCTACTTGACAGTTACCCACACAAGTTTGCACCATACCTATGCTATTATGAATCATGCCCAAGTCCGGATGATCAGCTGGAATAGATTTGTGAAAAATTTCGAGTGCTCTTTCAAGATGTGTGATGGCAGAAACATTGTTTCCAATCGATTGATATACAAGGCCAATATTTGCGTAAGTGTATCCTAAGCAAGGATGATTTGTAGGTAATGACTTTTGCTGAATCACTAGTGCTTCCTCATAACTCTTAAGTGCCATAATATTATCACCCATCATATAATATGTCGTAGCTGCATTGTTATAAGTCATAGATAAATTGGCCTGGTCTGCTGGCGAAGATCTTAGCTGTATCTCAAGCGACATTTCAACGTATGACAATGATGTTTTATAATCTCCGATGGCTCGCTGTATCAAACCAAATGTGTTGTAAATTGTAGAAAACAGTAGATGATCTGATGGGAATATATCGCGCAACGTTTCAAGCAAGCTTTGCAATTGTTTAAGCGCACTTGAGTATTTCCCCAAAAGATGCTCCGTTGCTACCATATTCAAATTGAGCACAAGATTTAAACAATAATCCTCAAAGCCATTACCATGAACATTTTCTGAACATAAGGCACCATAGATTTCAAGAGCTTTCTCGTATTTTCCCATTCTTATCATTAATTCAGCGATGGAATACCAACCGGAAGCTTCTTTCATTTCATTTCTAATATAATTGGTCAGAGATGTCAGTTCAGAATCATCGTCACTAGTAAATTTCAGATTCACCTCCCACAATCGATCCTGGATTTCAATAATTTCACCAATACGGAAAACACTTGGCATTGAAAATAATACCTCTCGTTCTTCGACAAACGCACTGTCATCTTGAATCAGTGCATAAGGTGTGGAAGAAACCTTTGGATCGATTTCCATTTGAAATAAAATTCCTATATTACCACTTTTCTGTAGATTGCTTTCGGCCAACAATAATGCAACCTCTCTATCAGCACTCGTCGATAGAAAGTTGTTAAATGACAGAAGACAACCTTTTCGTTCTTTAATTTTGTTAAAATCGGCAACTGATAGTCCTTGGCCTCGATAGACATATTTCTTTGTAGTTTTATCAGTTTCTGAATATTTCCGCTCAATATCTCGATGAAGATCGCGAAGAAAAAATCCCATTTCAATCATGAACTCTGTATCTTGTGTTCGTAAAGCTTGATTCAATTGAGTATACACAAAGTACTCTTTTGTATACCACCAAATGGGTGCATGTTCACCATAAGAGCGTTGAAATCCATATATTTTCTCTGTTTGTAATGGTTCATCAAAAACACGATTCAAACAGAATCGTGTGAATCTTTCTCGAGCTTTTGGATCATGTTCAATTTCAAGAATAGCTTTTTTGAGTAATGTGGTATACATAAACGATTGATCTAATTGATCGAAATTATGACCACACTTTGTAGAAACAATACTGAATAATGCCGAGTCATTTACCAACTGACACAAGTCTCTTTTCAATGCTCCACACATAGATTCAATTTCGAAAAATATTCCTTTTACTTTGTTTTCTTTGAATGTCCATTGATCATCATATGTATGTTGACTATTGAAGAAATAAATTGAATAAAGCTGAGAAATATGTTCGATGAAAGGCAATAATAATTGGCCAGCTATTGAAGAAATAATGAGCAGTATTTTTTTATCTGCGATATCTGTAATAAAATCGACACATTCATTTACATCCGAAAATATTTTGATTTCATTCGAGATTAATTTCAGCTGATCAAGTATATGTTTGCTTGTTTGCTTGTCACTGTGGATGTCAGCATCGAACCAAATAATGATGAATTGGTCTATGATTCGAGGCTGAATATATTGAAATAGTTTGTTTTTGTTGTTTGATATTTCATTGGCATTCATTATTCAGCTAGAATATGTGCCTACGTATTTTCTTTTAATATTTTTGCAGTAGATAATATACTCTTATGTGGAAATCACTCAGGAAAGTTCTCGATTGTGTCTCTGCAGTTGATTACAAATACCTGACTTCACAACAGTCGATGCAATAAATAAAGCTTTGACGTATTCTTCAGTCCCTTTCTACTACTTGAATTTTTTCCGTCTAAATTTCCTTCCATTGTTGATTATTTTTGTCACGCATTTTACACACATTGTATACATAGCATGCGACAAAAAACAAAGAAAAATTCTGTTACGAAAATCATTCACTTTTATGCTGTTCGATCAATAAATGCGATAGTGAGTCATAATCCTTCGTTCGTGTGCTCATCGAGACAAAGTATTCAACGACGGTAAAATCAAGCGAGAGCAAATTGGCACACCCATACCGAACATTCACACTCGTAAACGACCGTTGAGGGTGTGGGTGTGGGTGAGTCTGCTTGTGGATGTTTAGAAAGAGAAGTAGCACACCCCACATCTGCACCCCTCAAAACAACAACGAAAGGAAGAGAATAATGATAAAGAGAGGCACTACTCACAGGAAGGGTGTGGGTGTGGGTGTGTTACTAAGTCAGATGGGGTTAATTAATCAAGTCACTATTAAAGTGGTTAATTAGGATAAAATTCTATATCTAGAATGGATCAAATTTGATTCGATATTTTTCGGCGAAGACTTTTATTCGGCGAAGATGAAGCCGGCAAAAATAATCGTCGGCGAAGAAAAGATTCGGCGAAGCTGGAATTTACCGAGGTATTCGCAATGGTGGCCATGTTGTACATTTCGACAAATGCCCAAAGAAAATGTGAATGTGCATATCGAATAGAATATTTTAAACAACGTTCACCACATGCTGTACTATTTTTTGGCGAAGATTTTTCTTGGTCTTTTCATTTATCCGATAGAAATCGAACGTCATTCCAACAACGATGGATATTTTGGTCATGGGAAGCGCCTATTCATCATCCAGAATATGACCTATCGGCAAGATTCTGATATTGTTCATAGTTGTGGTCGACATATACGTTGCAATTTATCGTTTACAATTCATGATTATCAATGAATTGATTTTTATCTCTCACTACATAATAATCAATCGACATTTAATATAAAAACTGAATTCAAATGTCGAAAAAATCGTATCTTATGGATTATATCCAATTGTAGAACTCAATCAAGACGTCATAAAATAGCTAAAACTTAAAAAAAATATTTTCCCATTCATGAATATGGTAAATACTCAAAATCACCGATAAAAGATAATGTTGAAAAATTACTGCTAAATTATAAATTTTATTTAGCATTCGAAAATGCTAATTCTCGTGATTATATAACTGAAAAAGCATTCTATAATTCACCTACACATGGAAGTATTCCTATTGTTCTTGTACCTGATGCAGTAAACTATAAAAACATTTTACCATCAAATTCTTTTATTCATATTGATCAATTTGAAAAATTGATCTAATCTTGCTAATTTAATCGATGATGTCAGTAATCATATAGATATATTCTCATTGTGTCATCAATGGTGTATCGACTATCGATTATTGACATGGCCAGCGAATTATTTCATTGATGATTCATCTTGTAATTTGTGCATCAAACTATTGAATGATAAAACCGCAGAGTTACAGGAATTTTTCTAAATGGCTTAATCAATCTCCTTAATTATTTTATTGTCTATTTTGAAGATTTTGCTTTTTGCGTTGCCAATTTATAGGTCAATACATGTGATTCGAAATAAAATTGAAAGCTTATTTTCTTCATTTATTTTAATTCTGTCAAATGTTGTGAGCGAAAATTTGTTCGATTTCATTCATCAATCTTTAGTTTACGAATACCTCAGAATTTTCCACTATTTACTTGAAGAGAAACAAAAAGTTTGGATTGCTATAAAATATGATCTAAAATGACTCTTGAAATAATGTGATGAAAACTAATATTGGATGCAGATCAAAACTTATATTGAAGATTGCCGAGCAAAAACAACCGAGATAAATCAGTGAGTTCTTCTGTGAAAAACACACACCTTTCGAATTATAAAAAGAAAGTTTTTCTTTTTAGTCTTATCAATGGATGGCGATAGTAGGCTCCAAATCGTTGAAATAAATTGACTACTTGCACTCAAAAACATCTAGAAGACTCTTTGAACTGATGCTGCCAAAAAATTTAATTATGTAAAATAAAATTAATGCGCAGGTTTATTTAGAAAATTTTTTACAACGTTTACATCAGTAGATTAAACTAAAATACAAGTTTTTGACTTTTCATTCTCATTTCGTTCCATTCTTCTAAAAAAATGCTTCAGTGTGATGTTTCGTCCTTGTAATGTTTTTTCCAACGTTACACCTTTTTCTTGGTCTGCTTTAATGAAATTTTCATTTGGTATTGTTTCGATTGGTAGTAGATGTTGTTTAAAAAGATCTTTTAATTCATCAGTATCCTCTAACTTATTAATGATATCCATTATATCAGTACGTTGACGTTCTTCTGATTGTGCTTGAAATGATTTCAAACCAGAATATTCGCCGACAGTATCTATTTGACCAGTTAACGGTATACCTAGTTCAAGTAAACATTTTATTGATGCAATTGAACGATGTTCAACTGCAAGAAATAATAATGGAATATAGCGTTGACCTTGAATATAATCAGTTAAAGATGAATTTGGATTCAAATATTTAATATGAAAACCCATTTTTATTATTTTATTGTTAATTGATTTAATATCTTCAACAGAATTACTCTCAATAGCTTTTTTTAAATCTGAATAAAAAGCTAACTTTAAATGATTACTGATTGCTGACGATTCTTTTTCCAATTCACTTTTTAGAAAATCATGAGCATGAAATTCTTCAGAACATAAGTCACGACGCATTAAATAATCCATGGGATTTAAATTCATACAATCAATAATCTAAACGAACAGTTGTTTGTCCTTTTACAAGCAGTTAATATCAGAAGAAAATTCTTACTTGTTGGGCATTGTGTTGTTCAAGAATTTCAATAGATTTTTTATCGTTCATTATACATGCATAATGATAACATGTGCGATTAAGATTATCTCCGGTGTTGATTACATCATTGTAGTTATCACAGATGAATCTAAACACAAAAATACAATAGATATATGTAGAAAAGACTTGAGGAAATTAAAAATTCTAACACCTAATATTATAAACATATTGTATGAAATCGAATCAAAATGTTGTGTTGTTAATCTCAAGGGTTTGATGTTCTGAATCGATTACTCTTTTATATTAATCTCATTGTCATTTTTGATTGTCGATTAACATTTTCGTATTCAGAAAACGATAATTTAGAATAAATTGGGCACAACAAAATGGTTGAAAGTAAGATCATTCAAGTATGGTTTAATAATAAAATGAAAGCAAAAGGCGAAGCATTTTTTTTTCTTTAAGTAATAACGGCTCAAATCTCGAATAGAAGATGCGATTCACTGAAATCATTTTCTCTCGTAAGGGATACCTATCCAAATCTCATTAGCACATAGTAATTATTTCTCAAATTTGTGCCAAGTGTCATTGGTATGGAAATAAGTTCAAAATGCTATTTATTTAAACTTTTTGGCTAGACAAATATTCTCTCTCTCTCTCTCTCTTGATCTAGATATAATGAAAATCCAGTTTTTATGCTTACTTTAAAATATGATATCTTTGATAAAGTACGGCTAGATGTGTACATCGTCTTCCAAATGAATCCTTCGCATAGAATGCATTTGGTTTAATTTTCGAGATCTGTTTTAATTTGACAAAATTATCATCCGCCACAGCTTGTTTCAAATCTGATATGACAGCAGGTAAACCTGTATCAGATTGCAATGAGTATAATAAATCATACACTTGTGTTTTCATTGGTAATGTTTTTTTTCGAAAAAATATTAATAGATAATAACCAAATTGATTTAAAATAAATTGTTCAATTATGAAACGCTTCTTTAATTGTAACATTAATATATTCAAAATAGGATTATAAAATGTTCTCAATCTATTATACGTTAACGTTGATGTTGTAAATTCAATGTAGTCAATAATAGTTTGCTCTTGGTGATTACGTTGGGCAAGTAGTAATGGATGATGGTAAAGAATAGCTTTAAAAACATTTAAATATTCTTGATTTTCATTTTTAGAATATAAATTTATAAGATGAAAAAGGAATGTTTCACCTTTCGAAGATTTGGTATACATATCAGACTTTGATAAAATAATTTTTCGTACATCATTAGATATAATTTCATTAAAACAATGAAAAAATAAAGGTAAACCGTCTGTACATAAAATATTTACATTAATATTTATTGTTGAAGAATTAAATAAAATATCGAGAGATTTAGAAGATTGTGTATCAAGACAATATTCTAATAATGATTTTGAATATGTTCGAATGCATGTTAATCTATGAATGGAATCAAATGCATTGAACTTTAAGAATTTACTTTCATGTTGATATATAATTGAAGCTCGATCCCAATCACATGCTAATATTGAGTGAAGAAATTCATTTGTTACTTGATAATCAGCAAGTAAATCAGTAATTGACGGACAATTAAGATCACTAGCTTTGTCTAATAATGATTTATTAGAATTATGCTTACAATCTACTTTAATAAAGCCTGAATTTTATTTAAAAAAATGAATTGCTTTATTAGAAATCAAATTCATTATTTAGGTACCTTTAATTAATCGCTCGATTTCTTGTGAATTCCCAGTTTCTACGGCAGTCCAGATACCTTCATTGTAGCCTCTATATAGAGCTGTTAATTGAGGATTATTACCTTCAATATAAGCATCAGCTGTTTTGCCTTGATGATTAACGATGCACGGATCCACGCCAACACGAAATAAAGCCTCAACATACATATATAGAAACAATATTTATTTTATGTAAACATCTAATTATGGAACATTTTCAACTATAATCTACTGCTTTTACTGACATTTAGCTCACTGTGAGGACTTCATTATATTTCATGAATCATGTCAATCCATAATAACGTATTTCACATTGAAATATATCTCTACACAATTTCTATGAAATTATTTACCTGAATTATATCTAATGTAGTATCAGGACAATGCCGAATGATAGCTTCATGTAATGGTGTATTACCCTTGTCATTTGTTACATTAGGATCAGCACCAGCATTACTCAATGCATAAATCATTCGAAAAGCAATCCTACGAAAAAGAAAACATAAATTAATATGAAATGAATGACTATTTACTTTTCTTGACCCTGTTGTGAATTTCGAATTAGGATATGAAAATAGGAACCTTTTTTAGGATGATCCAATGTAGCCAAATCCGAGTCTTGATGAAGCAACGTATTGAGCTGTTGTAAAAGTTCATCCGAATACATCGAGTGATTAGTAAGCAACTTATAAAGAGGATTATTATAAAAAAGTTCTCTCTTTGAAGCCATTGTTTCTTGTTATGTTACGTGTTCTACTGTTCTCAATCAAAATTTATATGTGATAAAAGGCAAATGAGGAGCACGAGTATTTAAATTATTTATTAATAAATATTTGATGTTATAAAATACTTCTGATAACAATTTTTTAGAAGAAATACTCATTGTAGAAATGTAATAATAGAGTTATGGGAAGAAAATTTGTATTTTTAAATATTAATATTTTATTATAAAAAAAATGATTTTTTTTTCATTCTCTCTAACAACATCATGTAATGTAAAGAAAATATTTGAATTATTCTTCGTTCATTTTCATAACTTCTAAAAAGTATATACGTAAACGTATCCCCATGGCACTACTCTGAAAGAAAATAAATGTGGAAACGTCGGATTTCATCCGAAAGTTATGTGTACTGCAAAAAGTGCATGGGATATATGAGTCATTCTAGAATGTCTGAACACCAAAATTATCATGAGAAACTAGGCAATTTGATTTCTGGATGCAGTTTTTGTGCATTTTGAGACGTTTTTCAGGCGATGTTTCATCAGAAAGCTACGGTTTAGTTCAAAACTAATATCAGATTCGGAATCAGCGTTAAAAACTGAGTCGATTTATATATGTTGTGAATAATTCTGAGAAAGATTTATTTTTTGAAAAAAATTCCCTGTACATCCTCCTCAGGGATGGCCTGGTCAAAAATGACAATTTTTTCGATAACTCAACCATTTCTTGAGGGATTCTTCTCATCTTCGAACTCGACCGAGATATTCATGAGATTGAACTGTGTGGAAAATTTCATCACGGTCTGACTCTCCTTTCGCAAGTTATCGTGCCTACGGCCGGACGGACACACTGACCGATTCTAGAGTGTACTCACTTTTTGAGTACACAAAAAGGAGTTCTGCAGAACCCTTTTATGACTCCGTAGCTCATGCGGAACCATTTCAAGTTCTGTATGACAGTTCGGAACTATCAATAGTTTTGTCCAACAGTATTGAACTTTGGAAGGTTTCGGGAAAAGATTCAAAACCATAAAAAGCTCCGTGTCGAAGAATATTGCACCGAAAGGGTTCTGCACAATGACACTGAACCTAGTAGGGTTCTATGAAAAAATGCCGAACCATAAAATGTTCTCTAGTCAAAAGTACAAAACCCGATAGGTTCTGTTCCATGATGCTAAACTTTGCAAGGTTCGGCAAAAGAATCCTGAACCATAAAAAGTTCAGTGTACAATAATACTGAACCAGATATAGTTCTGGATAAAGATGCAGAACCTGCAAATGTTTTCTATCCAAAAGGGGAACTCAAAAGGTTCTGTTTCTGCAATGCTAAACCGAATAAGTTTTGTACAATAAGACTAAATCTTGGACGGTTCTGTCAAACAAATGATCGATTCCAAAAATAAATTCTTTACCCAAAAATACTGAAGTGGAAAATATTTTCTCATTTCTGCTCAATTCTTTAGGGTGTCACAATTCAAACGTGTTGCTATAAAAAGCTTTGAGAGAAAAAGTATGATACAAGATATATTTATTATGAAGTCTTTTATCAAAGTGTCGGCTGAAAATATTTTTTCAAATGTAATTTAAGGTACATTCACTACAACTATTTTATTGGATACTTTATTCTTTGTTTTACTTCATGATACGTTATTGTGCTCTAATGTTCGACGTTTTCATCGCTCGAGAATACTTTTTACACTAAAACCGTTCATATGAGGTGAATTTTCTTTTCTTCTCAAATAATGTCACTTTTTTTTTACATTTTTCACTTGTTTCTCATTGCTGAGAAAAGATTGAAACAAATCACCATAGTTTCCTCAACGCCTACCTAATATATGCTAAATCTGGTGAATAACTAAAAAGGCAAACAATGCTATCATTCATATTGAGTAATCCAACTGCTGTGAGATAAATTACGACTATCATCACAATTCGACGACTCTAATAAAACTCCAATAATATTTTTAAGTATCGTATGCATCGGCTATATACGATTTATTATCATAGTATCGTTGTCTATCGTGTTTGTTCTAAGACACTCGTTCACATCAACAAAAGAAACCATTCAATTAAATATGTAACACTATGAAATTATTCAGCCATATCATACGCAGCTAATATGCACACATGCCGTTGAACTTCACATCTTACAAATAAGATAGAGGATTTAATGAAATCCATATGAATCCAAGGATATGTCCTAAACATATAGTTTCACGAATACACAAATAATCGTATAGTAATAAGGAAATTCATATAAGGCTATTAGTATAATGCACATGATGGGGAATATGAATTTGCGGCAAATTCAAATACCCCATGAAGCCAATAAGACAACACTTTTATAAACGTGAATTAGTGCATTTGAACTTTTTTGAGGTTGATATATATGTTTATTTATTAGAAGAAAAAAACTCCATTGAATTTTCAAGTATTCGAGAGATTTTTCTTACGTTTGTCTTTCTCTATTTCTCGCGTTCATCTATACGATATGTTTACGCGCTGTATCCTCTCTAGAATCAACAGAAATTTTCATCAAACTGTGGACATTCACGCAATGTGATTTTCATCGCACAGTTGTCATTTGTTTCATGCTGAATTCTTTCAGTGAGGATTATCGAGTAAATGAACGAAAAGAATTAAAGAGAACAGTAGTAAGAAAGAAAGCAGACAAAGAATAAGATTCAAATGAAGAAAGTATCTGGTCACATGAATTACATTAAGCATAGAAATTAGTAACCCATTTCTCGAGTTCATTTAAATTATAAGTGTACATGTCCTTGTCTGGTTCAGGCTTCATGACCAATCTTCCATCATAGATTGCATAGAAGCGAAACGGCCAAGAACCATATGTCTCATGAAAACTGTTATCCATGTTGTCGACGAGCATTGGCATTTCAAACTTCAAATCCTTTTTAGATCGTCGAGCATTCTCAAGTCGTTGATCAAGCTCTGTTGGCTGATTCACAGATGATATAGTGTTGCCAACAGGCCATTGGTCACGAGCATGCGCTTCAGCGATATAGATCACCAGAAAACGCATGCCTTTTGGCGTATATGAGCGAAATAGCGCGCTATATACGATTGATAAACATTATGATAATCAATAGTAATGTAAAATATTTACTTTATTCGCTTCACAGACGCCCGAAATGGAGGTCAGCTGCCGGAACCGGCCAATATTACAAGAGGTTGACCAGCAGAAATTTGTGAAAATAACGTTGTTGAATGACCTTCAAGAGTGAACAAATGAATGTCCCGAGCACTGTCGCCGCAATTGACTAGACCTTGGCTGACTCGATTATACTTGACTACAGATGAATAAAGAAAAATAAATGCATTAATAATTCCTCTTAACAGTCGAAAATCATAATTTCAATTTAACATCAGCGTCCAATCAAAAAGATCTATGCAACAACCAGTAGATCGAATTCAACTATATCGTATTTATTCAATAATGTACATGTGACAAGTGTTTTTGATACACTTATTTTTCGAAGTGATGCTATCGACAAGTAGTATACTACTCAAAGTACCGAAATGTTAGGTAGTTCGATCGTATTTTAGATATATCATAAATATTCATCGAACTCGATCTATTACAACATTTTTTCGATTGTTACTCACCATAAAACGCTTCCTTCACTATAGGATCATCTGGAAAACGATGTAAAGCAGTTCGCAATGCATTCACATCACGATATCCAAAATGTTCGACGACATGTTGTTGAATAACATCATGTATAAAACTATAATTTCAAAAACAAATATCTATATACTTTTTATACGTAGAGAAGAAAACAATACTTACGTAACGCTATCTTCATCCATGTGGTACAAGTCCATGAGCTCTTGAATGGGATCCGATAATCGAAGACGTGTTTCATAAAGAATCATTTCACGTACTGTTTCGAGTGGTGGCATTTCAGATGAAATTTTGATTGTGTCGAAACCTGTATGGCCGGAACTTGGAAACAACATACGACATCTGACTTTCGTTGGCATCCGGATATGAGCATCCGAGCTCGGACGACGATTTGAATAAGGTAGCTGTGGCGGTAACGGATATTGCTTTGCAGATTTATTGTCGCCGACGGGCGGTGATTGTTCTGCATGAATCGCTGCTTTAATTGCTTGTGTAAGCGCTGAACGGTACTGTTGGCTAGTATTCAAAGATTCTCCGAGTTTTCGCTTGGGGGATGTTGCATGTCGTTTCATTTTTCCACTCACGCTTTTATTTTTCCTGCAAGATGTCTGCTTAAAAAAAGAAGAATAATGCACATGTTCTTGTATGAAAATGAATGCATACATGTCAAACTTGAATTCAATTGAAAATTGAAAATTTCAATTTTCAACTTTTAAACCAATAGCATTCTGAAGAATCGTGACTCGCACATATATCGCTATGCGTTGAAAGTTGAAATTTTCTATTTTCAACTGAATTCAAGTTTCAAGTTTGACACTACTGAACGAGTGATAGGTAATGTCAACGAAGCCGTACACACATGAAGAAACAAAGAAAATATTTGAAGTTAAATAAAATTTTAAAAGCAAATTTCATATTTTTCTCGTAACAACCTATCAAGCTCTTCGAAAAAGAGGATAATTTTAGTCAAGTTCATCGACTAGATGATTTGGAGTCTTTTTTTTAGATGGGATCAAAGTATCGTTTCTCCTATGCGCTATACTTTATTGTTTTTTTTTAATGTGTACTCAAAAATAAATAACGTTCATTTTCTCTAAAAAAAAAAGAATCTATTTGTTCGACCTTTCAATCTTCTCAGTAGACGTTTGCTAGTGATAGGCATAGATATCCTGGATTTAAAAGCACGCTTAGTAAATGTGTAGCAGACGAACATGAAAAAGCGTAGAATGGAATAAAACTACTGAGCGTTAATTCATTCATTAAAAGGACTACCGTGGAAGAAAAGAAGCATCCAATGATTTTTTTACTAATATTCTATAAATGTAATAGCGAGCATCTATGACTAATTGTTCCGCTTTTTTTTTTAAAGTAAATATTCTTTTATCACGCTCTCCCATATGATGACTACAACGTATTTCAAGAGTTTTTCATATTTTGAAACAATTGCTTCTCTATAACGTGTACGTGTGTGTTTCCTCTTCATCTGTGCGTGCACACACCGATTCTCTACAAAGATAACGAGTTTTGACTTCATCTTATACTCGGCAGCTGAATTATATGAGGTGAAACAAAAGTGACTTATTTGCATGATAAAATTATCATGGATAATATCTGTATAGAATGATTATCAAAATATTTCACAATATAGATACTTCATTTGAATTTCCATAATATCCAACTGTTTAGGTTAACATAAGCATAGGCATGATAATACTTCAATTTCAAGTTTCATATTATTGATGAGTGCTATCGACAAACTTTCTTTGGGGCCATTTATTTTTTTGTAAAAAAATTATGCAAATGTCTATTGTTTAATCAACGGTTGACGTTGACGAAGCCAATCCTCGTCTGCCATAGAAGATTCGTAAAAGAAGCGATTGAAGATCATATGTTATCGGAAAACCTTCTGGTACTGGAACCATCTTGAAATCTATGAAATATGTGTTTTGATTTCTAAATAACACACTAAAAGCTATTTTTTCGTGTTTCTTACGTGGATTCAACTTTTTATTATTGCAACAGCTTGACTAACTGGCATACGAAGTAGAGACGACCAATAATGAATTGCTATTGTGAAACTCCTCGTATTTTAAATATTCAAAACTAATAACTTCTCTGTTCTGTGTCAATCAGTGATCTATGCATCTGAACGACTGAAGAAGAGTGGATTTGTTTTTGTCATGAATGAAAACCTCATCCATGATACAAGAAGAGGTTCTTGGTGTCTGTTTTATATTTGAGCATTATTAATGACCATTTCTTAAAAGAGTCAAAGATAAATATTATTAGTTCACAAAACACTGCTTTCATTGAGCATCGATCACAGTCGAAACTACAATCAATTCATTCGATGTATTTTTTTTATTTAAAATCATTTTAAAAAAATTAAAAAAAGAATTATGTGGCACAAGTGATAAATTACGCTTTCCGTCAAGCATTACTGTCAAGATAATCCAAACAGTACGTATGGGCAACTCTAATCATACATCTCAGCGCTTGTCAGGATTCCAGCGAAAAAATTATTTGCAAAGGACGCCCCCTCGGGATTTCTCAGGACACTGTGATGTATGACTCTAATCATAGATTCTTTATTTTTAATTTAATATATAATGGAGAGACGAATAAAAATTCAATGTGTCTGATGTTGAATTATCAATCAACAAATATTTCGAATTGATAATCAGCATACAGAACGACGGAGAAATATTGATATGATTTTCTCAAATTTCTAATGTGTAGTAATGCCTTTTGAACAGTGTTTTATCTAGAGTTGGCACTCCAGGATGGCGAATTCAATTGTCAGGAGAGCAGACAAAAGTTATTTAAGGGGCGAACTACCATGAATAATATCGAGTCTATTATACTAATGTTTTCAAAAGATCTGTGCTTTGTAAGTTATATAACACTTAATTATTTATTTCATTTTTCTGGGAGGGAAACATATTTCTTGTTCTTCCGCTGGATAAAACAATGCTTTTGAACAGTTAGGCAGCATTTATTTCATTTTACTCTCTTGAATATAATTTAAAATTCGTACTTGCGAAGCGATTAAAACAATAAAACAAAAGATAAATAATTAAATAGAAAAAAAAAGAATGAGAAGAAAGATATAAAACTGCAGACTATTATATTTATTACAGATTTTCTGTCGTTATGCAATGATAATGCCACCCACCACCCCATTCTACTCTTCTCAATTTCATATGACGAAATAATGGACTCATACAATGTAATTTCTCTATTGGTTCAATGCATGTTTGTTTAAATGAGCAATTAAAACTGTTTAATTGTGGTGTACATGTCATTATCACATAAGCAAGTTGTTCAAAGTCAGTAATTGTTAAATTATCACAAGCAATGTAAAGAGAACGTAAAAATGGTAAATAAGATAGTAGTAGATATAAATCATCTAATCTGTTACATGTATTCATTGTTGCATGTAAATGAATTAAATATTGATGCTGAAAATTTTTATTATTAAGAGAAACTGTTAACATCATATCTTCGGACATCCATCGTACTACAGTCACTTTAAGACGACACAATGTTGGTTGTAAATGCAGGATTAAATTAATATCACATGACGTCACTCGGTCAAATATCATTGTTTGAATGTGAGATAGTTGAGAAATGTTCGTTAAAAAGTAACTTGGTAATTTTGGCAAATGATACACTTTTAACCATGGAATATTCTGTTCATTGGAAGAATGTCGACTAAAAATAATTTCATTTAGTATTTCTTCGTTCTTTGACCATTTAGAAAAATTTAAACGTTTAAGATGCGGTAAATATGAAGGTTGAACTGAATCGAGTTGTTTTTTGGTTAATTTAGTATCAATAATTAATGAACATAAGTTGGGGAGTTTTCTGAAATCTAATGATTCGTTTGATACACTCAAACGAAGAAAAACAATTTGCGTAGAAAAGTAGTCTAATGCACGAATATTTTCATTTGAATTTTCAATCAAATCAAAACTTATTTGAATAGAACGAATTATTGCACTAATACGGCAATTAAGACCATGCCATGCGTAATATAAATCAATTGGAGAAATGTAAGAAAATAAATCAAGAAAAAGCTCATCAGGAAATATTTCTAATTGAGATATTGTATAATTCATCTGAAATTTAGAATAAAAAATATAAGATATTTTAAATACTATAATATAATTTTAGTGTATTGCTTTTTTTATTACTGGCTCATGTGAAATTAAGCGATTGTTAACTAAACTGCTTTATTCATATTCTCATACTTTTCTGTATGAACAAATCATTTCACCAAGAAAATAGCCATAGACTAAGCAAAAGGAAAACGTATAAGATCCCGTATAAATGTGACCTCGAGAATAAAGCATATGCCAATACATATATTTTTTAATTCTATTAATTAAATGCGAATTTTCTCCGTGCTGTGCGACAGTCCATATAAACGATAAAAAAAATATCATATATTGTATTGCTGTGCAATGTTAGATGGTCCAGTTCGGAATCAAGGATTTATTCTATTTTTTTCAATGGGTTACTTTAGATAAAGATATATCCTTGGGCATATAAGTATAATTACGCTTGTACGTTGTTTTGTTTGTTTGTCTTGAAAACTTCAGGAATGTAGTACAGTACAGTCAAGTGACTGATTACCATGAATATGGAATGGAATTTATGGTTATCTTATAGATTTAAAAAATATAAATGGATTATTAAGTAAGAGAAAAGTCACAATGCATAATCTTTTTATCGGTGCTATTGCATATATAGATTAAAGATAAAACGAGCTATTTCTATCCTCCTTCGAAAGTCTTTTAAAAAATGATTTATCAGAAAATTTTCGAGAAGTACAAACAGATCTTCCTTTGCCTTTTACATCTATCATAGAATGTGATGGTTTTGAAAATTAATTTCTACATATGCTAAATGGTGCTTGAGAAATCCACTACATTTAATTTCTTTTTATACTCTTTCGTTCGAATAAAAACATGCAGATCCTTAGAGTACCTTCAAATGTCCACCGTTTATTTAACAAGCTTCTCCCCTCTCTAAACAATATCAACAAATCAGAGGCACATCATAGTTTCAGAGAAAATAAGATTGGTATACTTTAGTTTTTGAATTCAACAGAGACAGTAAAACGAAATATATAGTTAAAAATCTACCAAATATTTGAAAAGTATTTGCCTTTTCTCAGTAAATCCACCGAAATCTTTTGATATTGTTACTAACTGAAAGAAGTGTTTATTGAGGAGTAGCAAAAACTAAAAACTTCCATTTAAAAAAATAGTTGGGCTTACGGCATAGCTTTCGTTAAATTGATCCATCTTGGTCAATAATTGCGTGTCAATACAATGATTTAATGAATATCAGACATCGAACCGATTTATAACAAAACTAAGCAGCTATTAAAAGTTGAAAGTAAACTATTAATAATAGGATGATAAGCTAGGTATCCAATCACGTTTTGGTATGCAAAGTATCATCCAATCAATGATGAAATGTAGTCAAAGATTTTGACGGTAAAAATAAGAAGAAACTATTCATCCGTTCCGTTGCAAAATTATAATTACGAGTGCAAATTTGTAAGAAACTATTGCTGATTGAATTCAAAAATGTCCTTATTTAAACAAAATAAAACTTCGGTTAGTGGATGAATGTCAAATTCTGTTGTCTTCAATTTGTTTTATTTTTGAACGTTCACCAAACTTCACTGTCAAAACAGGGCCATGCATAACTTTAACTATGATAAGTAAAAATCATTGCAACAAATTGTTCTAAAGTATGCAATGAAAACAACAACTGATTGTATAATTGATATGACACAATTCAACTATCAATAGCGGCTTCGGGTCTGAAATCAATTAGACGAATAATTATATTGCCTTTATCATACAACATGTTATTTGAAATTTTAAGTTTCAATGTAACAGCCGTTAATCATATAAACGAAAGTTCAATAGATATAAGAATAAACGCTGTCATATTATTAGAAGAGTAGCACGTTGTGTTCCAAATTACCATCCAGATTTTCAATGAATAGTTAATTAAATTTAAACGAATGAGAAAAATTTTCAACAAAACAATTATATTGACACTAGCGAATCACTAGTAGCGATTATAAATTTCTTATGAACAGATTGTACGACGTGAAATTAATGATGAAATTCTAGTAAAAATAGAAAGATATTCATCAGTGTAACTTAAAAGTCAAGTATAAATGCGTTGACGATAGTAGTTTAGTGGGTAAGAAAATATTTCGTTATATAACTCACATTTATATATTGTCATCATAAGTTGGCCAATGAATACAGTATAGAAACAAAAACAATATACTATCCGCACTACAATGTTTCTTTGTTTATTGATAATAATTTAAGAATTATGAAAAATGAGTAATAAAGAAAATAAATTAATAAGAATATTATTAATTCTTATTTTGATGCTTTCCATGAGAATTACCATGAATACATTTCTTTCGATTGTACTTCATGTCTTACAATAGAATCAAATAAAAATTCTGGCTTACAATAATATATAGTTTTCTCATTTATCATACATAAATTATCATCGTTTTGTTTTTTTCTACTGGCTACTTCTGCTTTTGAATTACACAAGATAATTAATGTTTTATATTGTATGTAATCTCTAAGTAGAGTGGCACCTGACAATTCAACTAATTCAATGACTTCTTCTCGATTCATTTTCATTTGTTTTACACCTTTTTGACATTCAACGGAAATAATATATGATGATGGGAATACAGGTAGTTGATCGAAACGACATTGTTTTATACCACGGGAATTTTTCAATGCGTTTTTATCACGTAAAATTTCATATGGAAAATAATCAGCGATAGACAATTGTTCAAGTGACGCTTTGATCCAATTTATTGAACTGACAAATATATGGCGAACACATGCTTGAATTATTTCTTTTGTTAATAGTGTCGTAAATGAACCTGAATCGGTAGTTATTATATGAGTTGTTGTATCATCCATATAGTCGAGTTGAGATTGACAGGTAAACTCAATGGATTGAGATTCATTGTGAAATTTTGTGACAAACTCTTTTACGTCAGCCTGAAAGTGAAAATATTTTATATTTTTCTTTAGAAACACGGAAGTGTCTATTTTTATTTTATCTTCATGACCTACGTATTAGTTTTATTATGAGATCTGCTGCTAACCTTCACTGTTAGAGAGTATAAACTGTAAACGAAGTAACACGACATTAACAAGAGATAGCAGCCGGATATTTTAGGAAATTGAAAAAGAATTATCGTTTACGTCTCTTTATTATGATTCTTTTGCTTATGTTGATCCTTTTCTGTGCAGTCAAGTTATCTTGAATATTTCGATTTTAATTGTTAACAATCAGGGATTGCTATCTATTGATATTGCTGAATTATTTAGTTTACAGCTACTATTTTCGTGAAGCACTGTTTAAGTTGTGCTGAAAGTATACGAATGTAAATTTACCCTACAGAAATTATATTTCTAAAGTAAGAAGTATGTCGATATTTCATTTTTGGAACACAAAATCAAATGAAGAGATACGTGTGAAAATAGATAGACTAAAACAATCCTTCTGACAAGCAGTCGCAGCTACATAGTGCGTCATAATTCAATCTCTGGATAGAATTTCATCAATAGTTATTTAATTCTGGCATGAGCACCAGTGGAGATTAGTAGAATAGTGATGATAAATAAATTGCACGAAATGCAAAAAGTGAAGACTATTATCAAACATATGTGATGAAACAAAACACAACTATTCTATCACTATAATTTCTATTTTGTGCATTATGTATATTCATATGATCGAAGGCATCGCATGTAGAGAAATACCTAAGAAAAATGAAAATACAATTGTAGAGTATCTTGTTAAAATGATAAAGATGATATTTACAAATGATGAATGCAACAGAATCATCAAATGATAACTAAACTTAACGTTCGGAGAAGACTCGTCATTATCAGTTGATTCAAATGAGTTACAATAAATATTAAAATTATTATTTTTGCTCATCGATTTTCCTGCCCGCTGAAAACATTATTAAGATCAACCACGACCTAATAGTCCACATAGTAAATATTCTTTTACGCATCAATTCAAGAGCTAATGTGTAATTTCTCAGATTTATCCTTCATACACATTCAATTACACACGAAGTCACCTATGAGTCTTAAGTTATACGTAACGAGTTAATCTACTCCTATTAGATGTAATTCACTACTACTACTATTATTAATCGTCATAGAAAAAAATGAGCAACTTTCGAACTCTATAAAGAATCTCGCGTAGAAGACAGAATTTTTGAGTAAATATTTTTCATTGAAATACATACAATTTGATATTTGTTCAAAGATGATGAAACAGAAATTACAATTCTTAACGATTCTGCATTCTGAACATTGACCATTTGTTCTACCTACAAAAGAAAAATAGGAAATCACTTTTGAAAATTAAATCAAGACCGAAAAAATCATACTTTATGCTCTGGTATTGTTCCTAATGGAAGCTTTCGTCGTTTAGTTTTGGTTTTGGTTTCGGTTTTAGTATCTAAACGTTTTAATTTTTTCTTTGGATTTCTTATTTTTGGTATTGTTTTCCTTTTGGATTTCTTTTGTTTTTTAAAATGAAATACACACAATGGCTCAGATGGTTTACGAACTTTTTCTAGGCATTTATCGCAAAGACGAAACCAAGATTTTTTTGATGCATTATATTGTTCCCAATAGCCACTTTTGTTTTCCGTTGCTTCATCATTAGCGTAGCGTATGCGAAACAAAGGCTCATCATCCTCGTCGGTTTCTGTCATAATTATAATCTAAAATATATGGATAATAAAATTTATTTTAACATAGTAACTAGAGAATGCGTAATCTATATTCCGATAGTGAGCGTTTACATTTTAATCTAATATTTCAATATCGATTGATACTTACAGTAATATAGAAATTTGCATAGCTCTTTTAAAACATGACCTTTTACTATCGAAGGATCTAAAAAAATGTCCTGATTGTTGAGCAAAGACTCGCTACTGAAGAACTAATTGAGCATAAGGATTATTACTTATACGACATCGGAAAATATTAACGAAATTTAGTTAGGTCCCTTCAATCAAAATATCCTTCATACATGATTTTCTGAGTTTATACCCGAATAAAATCGTTGCCTCTGTGTATTAACCTGAAAAAATTATTTTCACAATTTAGAGAAAAAAACGACTAAATATATAATTATTCTCATCCTATAAATAAATATAATGAAAACTTGCTGGAATCTTTTCCTCAACAGTGCTTTGAGGAATCCATGCTTTTTTAGTGAACAATGGAAAACGAGCTATGGTAGATGAAAATGATGTGATTCTACACACTTTTCTATTGATTGAATACAGACACTTACATAAAATAATTTTTCGAAAAAAGCTTCGAGTTCGTTAGTTTTATGTGTATAAAGTTGTCTTATCTTAATAATTTCTTTTCTCGATATTTGAGCTAAAAATTAATCTAGTCAATCAGGATACAAATAAACAATTCTATGTCGAATTTGAATTTAATTCTATGCCGATTAGATTATCAAGTTACTGAGGGAAAACAAAAAAATTCAACAGCTAGAATATTTATCACAAAATAAGATAAAAAAAAAAGAATAATTTTTTCAATAATTAGAATCGCAATCAACTATACAGGCAAAATCGGAAGTTTTGATTGAAGAAGACTTGCAGATTAATTAGCAAAGAATAGAAAGAGCTATGGAATGCTAACATAGCACATAGTGTTGACGTTGTTCGTATCTATCACTGATTTTACCAGGGATTGCTCAGATATTATGTCAATACTAAGTATGATGAACAAGAATATGTTCATCTTATAAGGGTATGTTTCAATAAGCAAGAAACTTGAGGTTCATACTTCTAATAAGATGTAAAATTTGAAACTGCTTACATTTGGATAGATAGAATTTAAAATGAGAAAGAAAGAATTTTTCCTGTTAATTTATTGATGCCCTGTGATTGAAAATAAAATAAATAGTTTATGCCTTATATAGTGCCCCACTCTTGATTGTGACGAGCTTTAAATATATAGTGTTATTATCTATATATCTCTTTATCTGTGTTCTGCATTCGTTCACATTCAGTTTGTACAATAGAGAGAGAGAGAGAGAGAGAGAGAGATAACGATCACACGCGAATAAACAAAAACTAAGAGAAGCAAGCAGTCGTATGAAAAATGTTCACAACATCAACATGTGAATAGATAACTATCATTAAGAGAATAGTATATGTGATTTGAACCATAACGGTCAATTAATCCTACACTGACGTCTTTATGTTTGTTTTTCTTCTTCTTAGTTTAATGTTATTGACACTAAACAATGGCCAATTGTTGTGATTCATCGAATGATTGCGTGCGTCGTATGTTAAAATTTACTCCAATAATGACGTGAAGGGTGACGGAATCGAAAATCTATAAAAAGTGATGATCTCATCCATGAATAGTGCCATATTGTTTGCATTTTCGTCAAAATTTTGTTGTGACGGATATTCATACTTAAAATATGGCATTCAAATCTAATTCTCGTTTCCAATTCATTATAATCTCATAGATCTATAATTATCTCGAATTCGGTACATTCTGTAAAAGAAAAGAGAAATTAAAGTACTCCTAATACCAAAATAAAATTGAATTTCAATAGAGCATACCTTTTTATTTCAAATACTCAACATCCATCGTTTTTTCATTAGACTTCTTCATTTAAACAATATACATTTTATCCTCATATCTAAATAATATGTATATATATTTGATCGCTATGAGCAAGAGGAAAAGAAATCAGAAATGATTTATTCGCATACACATTAACACTTCACAACAAAGTTTCTATTTAATGTTTTTTCACGTACAAACAAAAACCAACACTTACGAAAGAAAAAGAAAGCGAGAGACAGAGAAAAGGAAAGAAAGAACACAGAAAACAACAAGACAATGATAAGTAATAATGATGGTGTGTTCATACGATTTTATAAAGAATATTTGTCAATATCTTGTATTTCAAATTTAATAATTGATTTAAGTAAAAAATCACTTGTTACATATTTTATATTCGATGCTGGTGCATTCATATATTTTTCTTTAATTTTATTCAAATTTTTATCACTTGTATCACATAAAACGATTAATACATCGACGGCTTGTTCATTTTGAAATAATTGTGCACCTGTTAATTGTATTAACTCAATTAATTCACTACGATTTATTGAACCTTGGCATTGACGACATTCAATAGCAAATGCATATGAATATTGCGAATTTTGTGAAAATAAATATTTATTTGTTGCATTTGAGTCATGTTGTGATGAACGTAGTGTTGTATGAGAATCACTTATTATTTCATATGGATGTTCATCGATGAATTTATTTAATCGCATGCATTCATTTAGCCATCGTGATGATATGATAAATATATGATGACGTACAGCTGCTTGTACGATTTTTTTTGTTATTGTACAATGTAAATGATTTTCACTATCATCAACAAGTAAATGTGTTGTAGAATTATTCACATTTAAATTTGTGGATAATTGGACTTGAGAAAATTGCCGAAAAAATGTGAGAACGTCGTTCTATAAAAAAGAAAAAAAAAGAAATCATATTATTAAAATATTTGCTTTCAGATGTTTGTTGTTTGTTTTTTTCTTACTTACCCATTGATCATCAAGTAGAGCAGTTGTAGCAATGACAATCTAATTGTTAATAAATAAATAAAATGCATAAGAATATAAAATGCCGTTATTTTACTTTAGTTGCTGGAATTGAAGAGAGAATTAATGATGGTTCACGTTTTCGTTTTTTACTTTCAGGTGGAATTTCTTGTTCTAATGTTATTTGTCGCGATGGAGTATTAATACCGTTTTCCTAGAAAAGAAAGGTTTTCTTTCTATCGTTACATAAAAGTTACTAAAGCTGCATAGGATTCGAATTTTAGAGAGCTGCTATTTAGACAGTTTTCAACTGAAAAAAAGAATTCAATATACATCGTTATTTGAATGACTAACTGATTGATAGAAGATTTATCGAAATAGATTGCTTATGTTCAATCAACCTGATAGTGTATGAGTGTAAAGTGAGCTGATCTATAATAGAATTTCTAATTGTGAATCTTATAACTAAAGAAGAAAACAAAATTATGACTTAGCTATGGATATTTTAGATTATGATAGATTTATCTAATTATTAGCTTTTCTCTCTCTCTCTCTCTTTCTCTTGAATTATAGAATGTACAAAATAGAAGAGTTGTGTGATCTTGTTGCTTTATACTTCTAAAATTGTAATTTCAAAACAACTTTTACATATCTAGTTCTATCAAAGGTGGGGATAGTTATGAAAAATAATATATAGCCTTGAAAAGAAAGAATTTAGCTAAGTGTCAAAAACTACTTATCGTAATTATGACTTTTGTGTTTACTGCAACTGTAATCTATTTTATACATCAATCCCATAGATTCCATTGGATATTGAATTCCAATAGTCTCTTAAATCACAGAGAAGGAAATCAGCTCCATCGATGAAAGCAGTACCAATATGAAATTTTGTCATCACGGATGTCATCATGGGGTGTGGGTGCATTGTTATATTAAGCGTATAAGAAGAGGTATAGTTTCAAAGAGAAAGCTCCCCGATAAAATTTGAGAATTTGCATCATAAAAGACAAGCACAAAGCTCGAATTGACTTATATTTCGTTCGATTCACATTTGATCACTCACAGTCATATTTCATTCTCCAGATTGTGCGTAAAATTAATAATAAAATGTACAGAATTTTATCATCAAACCTATGACAAAATAGAGTCACGTGTTAAAGGCTCTGATTCGCTCTTTTCATTAAAACTCTGTTTAATAATAGAATTATAATATTTAATACGAAAATGATAGCTATAGTTATCATTAAAATTATTTTGTACAAGAGTACATACCTAAGTTTACTTCTAACTGTTCCCCGAAATCGTGGAAAAAATGAAATTTTATACTCACAGTTACGTCCATTGCTACACTATTTTGTTCTAGAATAAAGAAAACAATAGGAGAGTTTCTTTTATCTATTATACAGTCTTAATTACTTTTTTCTTCATTGACAGTACCATTTGTAGTTGCTGGTTGAATATTGCTATTTTCAGATGCTTGGGCTTGAATTTCCAGTGTATGACTAAAGCAAAGGAAAAATTTCATAAAAAAATAAAAGGAAAACTAGTTTAATTACCGTCGACAATAGGGTTCACTTTGTCGAGGTACACGGCTATGACATGTTGGAATCGAACAAAGAAAACGCAATTTTCCAGATGCATCTCGAAATGATCGAGTTGTTCCAGTACGTTGTGGAATATTCTTTTAAATGAAAATTTTACAAAACATTCTCTAATTACAGGAAGTGTTTATTACTTTTTTTGGTGCTTCATATTCATCCGATTGATTACCATCAGTACCATTTTCAGATGTGGTTGTCGTTGTTACAGTGAGTGGGGTTTGAAATGGTGAACGATAGCGATTTTTTTTAGATGAATTCGATGTTGGTGGAGCTGAGTGACGTTTTTGACTGCGACGTTTCTTTTTATTGTTGTTGTTGTTGTTGCTGTTGTTGGCGTTGTTAATATTATTATTATTATTATTATTATTATTATTATTATTTGTTTGTTTTTCGTTGGATGTATGCCTAAAAGAAATACGTAAAACATATGAAAAACCAATAGATTAATAGTTCATTAACTTACAGACGACAGAACAGATCTGTTTGACGTTTTAAAACATTTGTACATGGCGCGCGCATACAAATATATCGACGGCGGCCGGAATTGTCACGAAAACTACGTGTACCTGTTATTTCATCTACATGAATTTGACGATTTGACTAAATAAGTAAACCAATCTTCAAAACAAAAGTCATCAAAATGCTTGAAAGAACAAACTTGAGAATTAGGTGAAAGTGCTGTTGATGTATCTGTTTGCATAGTGCCATTCATGTTTTCAATATCAGTTTCATGCATGGAATCTAGACACAAAATAAATATTTATTATGTTAGAAATATTAACAGAATGAATTCAAAGATTCTAAAACCTCATTCATTTACTGTAGTAGCATCAATTTTAGATTTAATCTAATTATTTGGAATTAAACAGAATATAGTAATCTCTTTAAAAGTCTTAGATTTTATCGGAGACATATGTCTTTAGAATAAATAAATGCTGATGTCAATAAAATAATGAATGACTTGCAAATATCGAAATTATTTGTTTACAAAAGAATTCAAAATTTTACGCACCATTGTTTTGACTTTCATTAAGTTCTTCCGTAAAACTTGCTTCCACCGTTACATTTTGTTGTTCCTTTAAAGACATAAGCAATTGAATATATAAAAGAAAAGAATTTCATGTACTATTCATACCATCGCTGAGGATTCTTCATCGATTACTTCACCATTATCTTGAATATCATTCTCATCCACTAAAAAGACCATACATACATTAATAGAACTAAAAACATTCATTTCTAATTTACTATTACCTGATTTCGTCGAAATATTGGCGATGCCCTCACTTCCAGGTACTTGTTCATGTGCATGACTACAAAAAATGAACAGGTTATATTTATTTGAGTTTTTTCTTATTGAAGAAATATTTAACTTACGCTTTGCAATACAGATCTGCTTCACGTGATACGCGCGCTTTACAAGTTGGGTTTGTACAAACATAATACCGTCGACCACTTGGTCGATTAGCTGAACGGACCAAAAAATAACGTCGACCAGTAGTTTTTGATGTAATAATTGTTCGTTTCGTGCCGGGTGTCATCTAAAATCATTAAGAAACTAGTTGTACATAAATCGACTATGCTGCGACTTTCAGATTCATTGAAGCGAAAAAAAAACTACCTGCCATTTGCTTACTGTTTGATTTTAACTCACCTCGCGACGATTTATTATAGAATGTTTCTATTTTTATCAAAAGAATCTTCAAAGAAATTCTTTCTAGGTTTTACATATTATACTCCACATAATTACTTTAGTTGACGCTAGACTGACTATCTACAATAGGCTAATGGAGTTCAGATTTATCGATACATATTTTACAATACTCTATTTAGTGTTTTCAAGGGCAACTAAGTCACGTTGATGACAGAAAAACTACTGAAGAAAGTTGTGAATTAATCTTTCGTTAATACTAATTAGCTCGCAAAGAAAATCATATAATAGACAAAATTCACTAAGAAATATTTCTAAATCTATTTCTGAGTTGTGGTTCAGCGCATCTCGTAGACCTAATAGAACTAATTTGTACTATAAAAAGAGTTTTCAAGTCTGCATGGCATCTAATGATGAAAAAGAACACATTGTGTAGAGGTATCGGTAACTCACTAATATTTTAACGTGGGTAATTTTGTATCAAAGAAAAAACGCCTACACCTAATGAAAATCAAATCGCAGAGCTTTATACTGACCATGCTCTCTTAACTAAATTAATCTAATTAGAATATTAATACAAAAAGCTTATCTTGCTGCAAGTATGAGGTTCTAACTTCAAAACGAACAAATATCTGGGAATGTTAGCATAGCAAACCTATGAAATGTCTGACTATCTCAAATAATAATAATAAACACAAAAGATTTTTATCTTCACACATCAGGTTTTTATGTCTCCTTCAAAATAACAACATACACGCACATGAAATATAACAACAAAAAATCCAACATATATAAACAAATATAGTTTTTGTGTTAGGTTTGTTCGAAATTTTCAACAAACACATGCATAAATTAATTTTTTGCTATCATGATCATTCATGATTTATAAAACAAGAAAACGAAAACAAACCGTTTTTGTTTGCATATAAAAAGAAAAGCAATAGACTGAAAAAGAAAATAGTTTAAAACTGAAAATGTAGATTATTTTGATTGAAATTATTGTCAGGTACAGTTTGATTCGCACTGTTATTACCAAATGGAAATACATCTTGATTTGGAACTTGACTCATATATGATATGTCATCATCATGATCATGACAATCCTTAAAAAAAAAGTATTCTTTTTTTTCTTCGTTTGCTTTTTATTGAATTCACTTACATTTTCATTCGTGAAATATTTTTCTATAATTTCATAGGATTGTTGATAAATTTCATTATTAGAATATGTTTGAAGATTCTCAATTTTATCGAGACCTTTGATTCATGAGTAATAATTAGAGAAGTTTTCATTTTCATTTCTGTTATTCTTACCTCCACATTCTTCGATTTTCATTGTCACTTCTTCAAGATTTTCTTCAGGTGTTTGTTTAAGAATATTATGTAGTGCATCAAGGCACACTTGTAACAATTGAGCATCTTGTTGTTGTAATAAATTGCTAAGAACAAGAAAAATAGAAGAAATGAGTAAAGAAGTTCGTTACATACCAAAGGGGTGGAATAACATGTAAGTTAACAATATATTGAATTTGTTGTACTGAACCATTCATTGTTAAATTTGATATACACCAAGATGCTTCTTTTTGAGTTTGAATTTCACCCTATTTAAAAAACCAACAAATGAGGAGATTAGTGTTTAGAAACAAAGAACTGCATTTTATTTTCATACATGTTGTAAATGATGTATCACATCGGGTATCAGTTGAGCATCAATCACTGCTTGAACTTGTTGTTGATTACCCGCTGTTATATTCGATAGTAACCAAGCAGCTTCCTAAAACAAAAAAATATAAAAGTTAGTGACAAGCAGAGTTAGAATCGAGTTCTACTATGATTCAAGTATGAATCTCTTTTAATTGCCGATGGGCATATTTGTTTTTTTTAGTTATGGCATGGGTTAATTCAGACATTATAAGGTGCCGCTAAAGCAGAATTGGAGTAAATTTTGTTTCTCGCTTATTTATATATGGTTTGGTTGAGCTTGAAAAGCTGATCAAGAATATGTACTTTTTATTTCGATTTAGTTACTGCCTGGCTGAGAAAATCTTAAGGAATGAGAACACCTGAGAAAAAACATATTTTTATGTTAAACTTTGTTTTTCTTACAAAAATTGCCAAATTTTTATATCAGCTCTTTTCTGAGTATTGCCAAAGTACTATATTCTGAATCAGCATGCAAAACTGAATAGGAAAATGTTATATGATTAGACTTAGATATAATAAAGAAAACAATTTCTTATCTCATATAAATAGCTCCATCAGACGAAAAATACGTGCCAGTGAGCGTTCTTGTAAAGCTATCTAGTTTTTTGTAAGAAGTGATAGAAATACTTATCTTATCTTATTAGAATCGCCAAATCATGGATTACAAAAGTTATTATTTTGTTTTTACAAATTTTTATTTTTTTGTTGAGAAATTTGAATTTTTTCGCTTTTGGGTGATAGTATGTAGCAAAAAGACGAAAAATCTGCATGTATTGACCAGTTTTCATAACAAGAACTAAGGCAAAATCAATAGCATATTAGAAATCAGCGTTAAAATCTACATCGACTCATATATATTTAACTGAATTTTATTTTCTGAGAAAAATTCATCTGTGGGGGACTAGGAGAAAATTTTTTGGAAATTATACCTGAGGGGGACCACAGGCTTTTTTCCGCCAGAAATATTTTTGTATCAAACACATATGAGTCGATGTAGATTTTAACGCTGATTTCTAATATGCTATTGATTTTGACTTTTGCCTTNATAGTATATTCGAAATCAGCGTTAAAATCTACACCGACTCATATGTGTTTGGTACAAAAATATTTCTGACGGAAAAAGCATGTGGTCCCCCTCAGGTATAATTTCCTAAAAATTTTCGCCTAGTCCCCCACATATGAATTTTTTTCAGAAAATAAAATTCAATTAAATATATATGAGTCGATGTAGATTTTGACGCTGACTTCGAATATGCTATTGGGTTTGCCTTTTGCCTTAGTTATTGTTATGAAAACTGGTCAATAAATGCAGATCTTTCGTCTTTTTGCTACATACTATCACCCGATAGCGAAAAAATTCAAATTGCTCAACAAAAAAATTCAAATTTGAAAAGACAAAATAATAACTTTTGTAGCCCATGATTTGGCGATTCTAATAAGATAAGATAATGTTTTCTATCACTTCTTACAAAAAACTAGATAGCTTTACAAGAACGCTCACTGAAACATACTTTTCGTCTGATGGAACTATTTATATGAGATAAGAAATTTTTTTCTTTATTATATCTAAGTCTAATCAAATAACATTTTCCTATTCAGTTTTTCATGCTGATTCAGAATATAGTACTTTGAAAATACTCAGAAAACAACTGAAATAAAAATTTGGCAGTTTTTGTAAAAAAATCAAAATTTAACATAAAAATATGTTTTTCTCAGGTGTTCTCATTTCTTAAGATTTTCTCAGCCAGACAGTAACTAAATCGAAATAAAAGTATATATTCTTGGTCAGCTTTTCAAGCTCTATCAAATCATATATAAATAAACGAGAAACAAAATTTACTCCAATTCTGCTTTAGCGGCACCTTACTAGATATCGAACTTATTTTGACACATAGTTTACAAGTAAAAACTAATCCGTGGACATTTTCTTCGTTTGGAAAGTATGATTGCGAATACAGATGTAGAATAGTGGTATTACTTCATGGAACTTACTTTATTAAGTTTATGTTTTTGATGTTGAAGTAATTTTGAAAAAAAGTTCAAAGCGCCAAGGTTAATTATATATTGTGTTTGTTCATCAGTACCTGTTACTACATTTCCAATAGCTCTCAATGCTAAAATATATGGAAGACAAAAAGAATAATTAACTCAAGATTAAATAATTTCATTTACCAGCTGTAATAATTTTTATTTCACTATGACTTAACAATTGAACAATCTCTCGTAATACACCTGATTCAACAACAAGCTAAGAAAAATCAATTTTCATTATAATCGATAGTTAGAAGAAAAAAATTACTTGAATCATAGAATTTCCACAATCGAGAAGATATGCTAATGCCCATGTACAATCAACAAGAATCTAAACAGTTCGTTTAAAAGAAAATCAACAATCAAAATCTTTTTTTTTTCTAACATACAGTAATATCACTATATGATAAAAGATATTTTAATGCAGGCAACATTTCTGCAGCAGCATTTAATGATAATGGTGGATCTTTATGACGGCAGAGATTTACAAAAACCCATGTTACATTTCTTTGGAATGTAATAGGAATCTCTTTTTGTACAAATTCAATGATTGGTGGAATAACACCTAATTCAATAGCATAATCACGTAATCTTGAACCATCACCTAATAAAGCGAGGAGAAAATATATAAATCAGTATGATTTTTTTTCTCAAATTCTATTTTACCAATAAGATTTCCTATAGCCCAAACAGCTTGTTCACAAACATTTGAATAAGTTGACTTTAATAAACGTAACAAATAAGGTAACGCATTAGCATTAACGACTGCCTGTGTTTGTTGTGAATTTCCTGATGCAACGTTTGTTAACGCCCAGGCAGCTTCGAATTGTAATTCAGGATATTGATCATAGGATAAACATTGAACAAGTATTGGCAATAAATTTAAATTAATTAATTCATCAATTGGTGGATTACGCTCAATAGATAAGACTTTTCTTGCTGAACGTATACCTTGAAAACATATTGTTGGATCTGAGTTTTGAGATTTTAAAACGATTTCATTGAGATCTACACATTGATGTTGTTCACTATCATCGTCGGTTTCATCTGACGTGCTATCATTAACAATTAGATTACGTTTAAATTGTATTTGCTCATCGCGTTTATTCTAAAATGTGATCCAATTCGTTAGTTTGCTTTCTATTTTTAGACATCAATACTTTTCGTAATGAGACATTATATTGATTTCTTCGACGACGAAGTTCATCGAGATCTTTACCATGATGTTTATATGACTGAAAATGGCTAGATGTATGTTTTGGTAATGAGGTGTTCATATCTTAAAATAAAAAAAACAACAACACTAGAAAATGGTTTTCTTTCTATTTCATTGAATGATAAAATAGTTTAGCTGATTCGGATAGGCTCTTGTTTTATGGCCTTTATTTCTAAAATAATCGAGTAACAACATCAGAATTTTTTTTTCTATGAAAATGACTCATTCATTCTAATATATGGTATACATTTTTTTCAGTATATTAGGCATATTCCTAAAATAAATAAATGCATATAATACTTTTCGCTTTGAATAGATGGCGACACAAGTCAATCAAATCATTATGAAGGCTTGTCATAGAAACATGGGTTTAATATGACTGCGCAACTGAATTGACAAGAAAAAAATTCAATAGAAATATCATTCAATTTTGAACTTTGATGCTATTTATCCGTTCTATGTGAAATATAAGAAGCAGTCTCACAATTTAGAATGTAGTAAAAAATCCTCAACACCATGATTGTTTCGGAGAAAAATTCGGTGCAAATGAGATAGTATAACTCTGTCACTCGCCAATGCACGTTTCTTATAATATCTTTATATCTTTGCTTGACATTCAATATCTATACTCTAACCTACTACTAGACTTAAAAACACTAGTAATATGGATAATCTGAGTCGATACCTTTGCGAGTCATTGGAACACGAAATGCCGCAAACCTTTAATAAACCAAATTTGAATGTTGTTCATACAGAATGAATAAAAAAGAAAATTTTGGCAATAAAAATTGGATAATAATCTGCCAATGAATTAAACTGACAGAAAACAATTGATGAGATCATTTCAGTATGATAGTTATCGAATATATGTTTCACTTTTGTATGTTCGTATCGCGCAGGAGCTTGCTTCCATAAGATGAACAGATGAGTTCAAATGTGTTTGTTGAGAAAAACAGCAATTGATATAAGTATAAAAGTAAATAATCCTCTCAGTATTTATGAATTTAAAAAAAACAAGCACGTTACTGCTGCAACGCTATAAAAATTTCTTCTACGAGTAAATCATGATAGGAAATGTGAACAGTCTCACTGTGAGAGAAAAATCGACATATATTGTTTTCTACAATGAGTATCCTATACAATTTCCTTACGACATTTATTCATAGTATTGAAGTAAATGTGCAAAGGGAACGATACAATTTCGCGGGAAGAGTTGTTCTCTACAACGTACACCGTAACACATTTGTACAGAATACAACGATTTTGAGGTATAGAAATTAACACTTTTTAGTCATACTTTGTGGTTATCTATCAGAAAAAACACGAAGCTTAAGTATTTTCAACATAATCAAAGTTTAAACAATGATTTTGTTTCTTTCAATTGAATCGAAACTTCTGAATACTTTGTGACTGTAAAATTGAGAAACAACTGATTTAAATCATATTTGAATCTAAGCTAAATTGTAGAAATTACTCTAGTTCATCGTGATCAAGTTTAATCCCTCTAATTCATTGTAACTCGCAAAATCAGAAATCCCAATTTCTACCTTCTCAGAAAACTTTGCTCAACCTCTATAAAGCACGTCAATAGATGTCTGCAATATTCTCTTCAATTTCGATTTGAACAACAAAAGATATGGTTTTAACCTAACTGAAATTTTTCACTAGTATGCAGTTTCAACTGTACTTTTGAATATTGACCGAAAACGTATCATATTTGATGCAATCCATTTTGACCCCAAAGAGAACTGACTCACAATTCGCGGTCGACGAAATTACCATTACTGAACATGAGACTTACGAAGTGGAGTGGGATAGGATCTAATTACTTCCACAGGAATGCATTTTGTTGCTATCATAAGCATTTAACGTTTCTTTCAATGGATTGCATGTGAATGCCAAGATTTGTTCAAGCTAGAGTATAAGAATGCATCGAATCCGATTCCAATAGATATATCCTATCAAGATAAGCGCAGTCTCATTCAATTAATCTTTTTGAATGCTAGTTCAGCTAACAAGTCAATATTTTATTAAGTTTCGATTGTTTCTTTGCAGAATAGTTGCGACAATAAGTAATAATCTGAGTTTCTGCATTGTAAAGTTTAGTTACACTAGTGCAGAGTTCGAAGAAATATTGATTTCAAATGAATTAAATAGATCACTAGATAAATTTTGAGTCGATTTTTCAATTTGAAAAATTTGAATTCCGCTTTTTCGGTATGTATGTCACAAACTCCTGGTTACAGACAAAATCGAACATGTCGAGCGATACTATAGTTGGAACGTGTATAAAGTTAACTGATCCAAAATATTTCATCGTTGTTAAAACATCAACTTGAAATTGAAAGATAATGAGTCATACGAAAAAATGTAAACAAAAAGAGCAGTATCAGCGTTAAGCTTGAGTAGGAATATCGAATACTCATCCATGTTGAAAATCTTTTCCAAACAGTTGACAATGAAGAGCGGGTAAACCGATGTATTAGTATTCTTTATAGAACCTGAAAGCGATTCGTTGAACCAAGCAATTATAATATATTCATCATGTTTATCGATATTCTCTATACCATATTCTTTTCGTATAGCATCTTCACGTGATGGCGCCTATTTTAATCTTGCAGTAAGCTGGTTTGTAGTCTGCCATACACTCTATATAAGAAAGAGGAGAGCTCAAATCATGCTTTCAATGAGAAGAGGTTATTTATTGCTTGTCTGGCATGAATAAAAGATTGATAACTTTCAAATACAAAAATGGATGACTATAACTTGAAGAAGCGTGAACTTCTGAAATATTGTGTTATACATGCTGATGCTGTAGAATTTTTGTCCTCTTCGAAATACAGAATGCCACAAATACATCAGTGATATGTCTGATTTGTAGTGCATCTAAAAAATGCAGATCTGTCAAGAACTAGAGAGCACACTAGGACAGTAAAGAATTTTAGATTTTATTACCGTTTAAATCGAAATTATGATCCGTTTTCTACTATCGAATCGGTCACTGTTTAGTTAGTTTACACGAAGACTTTCACCTAGTTGCAAAAATCATATAGCTAGATGAATGACAGGTGCCAGTTTGGATTTGAGGATTTGAATTAATATTGAGTGAAAAAATCCACAATTTAGATCGCATCAACGCTGTACATGTATTACCCCAAAACTCATCATTATTTAAAGTCCCGATTCAAAACAATACTCCACATACATTTGCGAAGTTATCGACACGAAAGTACGTCATTTTTATTTATTTGCTTTTATTATTTTCAAAACTGGTGCTTATAAGTTTTTAGTCATGTTCAGAAATGATTGAAGACTGGGTTTTAATCTTCCAGTTGAAACTGCAATTTCAATTCGTGCAGGTTTTTATGTGCACATCTACGCGTACAATCAATTGCTTGTCGATGATATTCATCGGGTTGATCTCTTTTCAACTGCGTCTTCTCAGTGGACAGGGCATCATCAAAATTCGGTTCTTTCAGTAGATCAAAAACGCTCGTAAACACATCGACCATGGTGGTCCCGTTCGCCCAACCTCGATCAAATATCTGATGGCATATTTTCCCATCACTGTTTATGTTGGCATGGTATGTTTCAGTCATGAAACGAACATTTGGCGCTCGTCGAGGATATTCCTCACCAAAATTAACGTACAGTAGCCAAAGTCCACTCTCATAAGGAGTACCGAATGGCCCTTTCATTATTACTTTCCAGAAGAATATGTCTTCTCGGCATACAAATAAGTGGATAAAATCTAAGTGCTTGTTAAAAACATCATTGGCTTCGCTAACTACTCGGTGGTAGTGCGGTGCACCTCCCGTTAATATAGGTACACGATTTGGGACTTTGCTGACAGCTTTGTACTCTAGTTGGATAGGTTTCTGACGAGCGGGCTTCGATACCGCACCAAATACTTTTGTATCTCTCTCAATAAGCCAAACTGCGGCTTCCTGCTCGAAGGTAGCCCCGAGTTGGATGTTCGTAAGTGGCAAAGTTTGATAGATAAATCCATGTGTTTCGTGGCATAATCTTCTGATTAGATTTACAGTGCTTCTTTCCGTGTTTTGAAGAAGCTCATCTCTTAAGAAAGAGATGAAATCCATTGTAATGCTATGGTGTGTAATACGACGTTGCATATTATCAAAAGTACTAGCTGAGTGGTTATCAATACCACCTGAAATGCAAATGATAAGTTTTTTACAATTGTGTTCTGCGTGCATTTGTGAATTTCTTTCGTAACTAATGATCATTGAAATAGCACTGTTAATTGCATCATACATACAGGTCCATTCTTGCTTCACCGGCGCTGCTGTCAACGATTTTTCGAACTGATCTCGATCGCGGGTGATTGGACAAAGAGTTTCTACGGAAGTGCCAAAATGAATTAGCCCCAAGGCATGAGTGTGATCTAAAGAAATCATATTGTTACTCAATTTGCCTAGCATGATAATACTCATATCTATTATTGTTCTTTTGTCGTGCAAATCGCTAGAGGCAAATTTTTCAAACATCGATCGACTTCTATCGAGTAGTACAACAGTGATTTGCTTTGCCATTTCATTTTTGTACACAACTGATAACGAATTATTCACTTGCTCATCACGCATATTCAAAGTAAAATAGATAGGCAGAGCTTGTGATTTATCTTTAATAGCACCAATGTCATACACTTGGTCAGCAGTAATTGTGGGTGTTCTCCCAACTGTAGTTTGTAAAGGATTGAAGATTTCAAATGACTCGACACGAGTTGTACTATCAGTACGATTTGTTGTAGTGATTCGTCTATCTGTTTTCTTCTTAAATACTAGCGCTACGGTTCGATCGAGTAGAAAAATAAGTTGATCAGTTATATCAGCCCGTAAGGCACCTCGTGTGATAAATGTCAAAGAGGGGTAGTCTTTAGCCATTAACTTGTATTGTTTAGTGATTTCTTCATTGTTTAAACGGCCTATTTTCGATTTCTTTACAACCTCATTGCTGTTTGTTGAATCATATATCAAGTAGTCTGTGCGTTTGCAGTATGAAATATCACGATAGTGTTGCCTATTCAGCAAGTGTTGTGTTAGTGATCGAATGTCCACATGGCGTTTAACATTACCGCGAATTTCTGTGCTTTCTTTCAGCTCATAGGATTCAGTTATATAAGACATTTGAGTTGCAGGATCTTGCAATAATTGTTGCGTGTTGTTTTGTAGGTTAATTAAATTGACAGTCTTATGTAAGTCAGTATTCGGCGCTTTTACATCACACTGACTAAGAAGCCAACCGAGGAAAAGAGGGATACAGTCACACAATTCGTGGCCTGGAACATTGGTAGGGCATAGATCTTTGAGTAATTGGATAAGTGAGTCAACGATCAAAGGCTTCTCAAACCAAAATAGACAGCCTTCCGTTATTGCATGCTTAAGAGCAAGAACCGCGGGAGGAAAAATATATTTACGTAGATGCAAAAAGAACTGAGCTTCCAACGCTTGTCCCCAATCGTTCAATCTGTTGTCGGATCTCAACAATGGAAAAAATATTATCGAAGAAACCTATATCTTTGTGGATTAAGTGTTAAATGAAAGTAGCTCCTAGAATGGAATCAGAACGAGTAAACTGAGCAAAAGGTACCATACGGAATTTGAAAAACTGTTCTTACTTTGCGCTGAAATCGAAGCATTTTCTGATACTTCTTAATAGTATGGTTCCATGGAAAATTATTCTTACTCGACTTTAAGAAGGGCGTAATCAAAGTTTCATACAAATTCTCTTGTGATTCTGCAGGAAGTAAACCAATCAAGGGGGAAAAAGCGATTTATGAGTTTCATGATTTTTCTGAGTTTAGCTGATTTAAAATGAGTTTGAGAAAACGAAAAATTTGCTAAACTAACTAAAAACTATTCCAAATCATAAATTATTACTGAAAATCATTCAAAGGCACCGAAACTCACGCAAACTCATTCCAATACAGTTAATTTCTATTGATTGTAAGTTGAGTTTTACTGTGATTTAAATCAGCTTTCTCCCCTTGGAACCAATTCACAAATTTATACCAGTGCTACTACTTCGATGCTTATCTCCAAGTACAAAAGTCTATTCTGCATAATCTAGAGCTCTGTCTTAATCAACTAAATTCACAGCATTTGTATATTACAGTTCCATAATCCACTGAGAGTGCTGGCATGAGATACACTGTAAAATGAATCCGAAGAAAAATAAACGAAAAAACCGTTTTTAATAGGATATTAAACAAAAAAAGAGTTTATGAATGTGCAACGAAACACAAACCCTTTTTTCCGTATATGACGAAGATAATAAACGTTTTTTCGGTTTATGATGTGGAAAAGGGTTTACGCTAGTGGAAGTTTTTTTTCATGCGCGTGACCTGCACAGACCTCAAGATTTGTCCCTAGCGCAGGACTTTCTTGCTCCAGATCCTCAAGTATCTCATGCGCATCCGAAAAGATGTTCGACTAGGGTACCATGTATCTCCAAAACGAAAAAAAAACGGTTTGTGTCCCGTTGCAAATTCACAAACCCTTATTTTTTGCAGTGTAGGGATGGATTGAACGATTGTTTTTTTCCCCATTCACTCAGTCAACCAACATGTCCTAACCGTTGAAAACCTTTCTGTGCATTTAATAACTTGTAGCTGGTATAGCTTAGCTCTAAAGATAGTCAAGAAAATATACCTGAAACGATTGCGTTTTCACCGTTTACTAAATGAGAACAAAATATAAGCGTGAAGGTACCGAAACAACTGGAGAGACTAGCTCGTTAACAGTGACTATAAGCATTCAAGGTGATAAATTTTTATAGCGACTGGGTATATGGATATATGAAAGTTCTTCTGAATTAATGGACCATGTACTCACTTTTGAAAAAGAAGTCTTATGGCAAACAGACTGCTGAGAAGAATGCTTTGAGGTCGATGCTGTTGGATACAACTCACAAAATACACCGGATTCCACCATACGTCGTTGAATGCGAATGTCTTCTTTGGTTCGCTGTCATAGGTATACATTTCATCACGTTGATGCCGATAAATTGCATACAAATACAAGTGTGGGGTCTGAGGCATCAACTTGAGGAATTCATTTATCTTTTCTGTAGGATCACTCAAAAATATATGCATGCGTTGGTTAAACAATAGAAGAATATGGGACTCCCTTCTATAATTTTCAGCTTCAGTGTTTAATGTATTCCACAATATATCGATTAAGTTTTCCACAGTGGTGTCTTGAAGAATTTTCAACTCGTATGTCTTTGTTAAAGTTTGAATGTGTATCAAAAAGTCATCAGTTATTTTATGACCAAGGGTGGATGGCTTTCTTTCTATTTCAAATGCAGCCGTATCATGTGTTGCCAAGAGGGGAGCAGTGCCGCATTCTAAACCGTATGTAACTAGGGGCGATTGTTCTGTTGCAAGTGATATTATCGGATTGTTATTTTCTCTTTTAGGTTGCTTCAGAAACGACTTTCTTCGAGTCGCTGGCAATCGGGTAACAACCCTTGCCAATACTTCATGTGCTGCATTGTCTGGTTTGCCTTCATCAGAGTCCTCTGAATCGATTAGCATTGTTGTCGCCGGATCCTTCCGCCTCATAGGGTTACAATCTTGAGAGTTGCGTACGTCCATCCTATAATAGATTCGTTGTGTTTGAAGGATCTACGCACGTGATGTCTATTACATTAATAAACCAAAGGCTATCTGCTGCTGTAGAGTCCCTTACAGACATTACACTATGAGATGTATAATTCCACATAAAAGGCATAACAATTAACCGAGAGCATAGAATTGTGGCCTGCGATTTACTTTAGATCCTGTCACTAAAATATTTTTTATGTACGATTTTTAGTAATCTTATCATAATACTTATCGCATGGAATTCTAAATCAGCTATAGCTTTTTAAAACTTCCATTATTCGTCATTCGAACTCTAAGCTGTCGAAAAATGCTCGATCTTCTTCTTACCAGAGATTCAATTTGATTTTCTGTAAGAAGTCACAACTCGATCCTGAACATTTTATTTACAAACAATAATAAATTTATCTTTTATTTTGTAGAGACATTTCTAGAATATCCTTCTCTGTTTTTTGTAACCTATAGTTTCTATTTTACAGTATACAATCATGTTATCAAAGTATTAGGTAAGTAATAGAGCGCAGCGTACAAAAATTGTTCTGATGTGCTTTTACAACGATTTACTATTGACTTATTCAAGCCGGCTGTCTGAAAATTTCGTTGATAGCTCACACGTGTTGTGTCGATAAGACTTGAATGCCTATCTAAAATTTGATTAGTGCACTGTAACGGCAATATGTAGTGTACGCTAAGTGCAATTCCATATTTTTCTGTAATAAAACCCATTTCAGGTATAATATTGATAAATATTTTTAACCCTTTCAATCCAGACATTTTCCTGCGTTCTGCAGGAACGCGAAAAATAATAGTTTAATATCTCTCTCTTACATTCAGCTATTTTAATCATATATTTTCGAGATCTAGATTCGTTGTTCTTAGTCATACAAAGTGATTTTCCTTTGAACATATGAGATGATTTTCCATGTCTAATGAGACGAAAGAGCGCACAATATTTCTTTTTCGTTTCTTATGTCATCTACGAGATGACATAAGAAATTGAAAGCGTGAAAATGCTTTTCTTTCAGTATTTTTTGAGACACAATCTGAAAGAAGCATTGAATTAAATTGTTCACGACTTTAGGACCATCAATCCTCTTCAGAAGACCTTGATAGATGATCTTTAAAAACGATCACATATTGTGAAAAACAATCTGAGCAGAGTTGCCTTATCGCGTTGCAAATTTTAATCGCACAGGTCTTGTGATAGTGACTCTTTTAAAATTCTATCTTTTGTAAAATTATAACCAGCACAATGGCCACGACATCAGTGTTATCAAGACGGATGATATATAATAGGGATTTTAGTCACATTAATTCTTTTTTACTTTTCTTACTTCCGTCAAGCATTTTTAGTGCACAAAATTTGGCTTCAAAGTTTTGTAACAACATCAAAGTATAGTGGGTGAAGCACTAATTGCCTTTTTATGTTCATGGCGCTAAGAATCAGTCGATTTCATGAGTTAAGGGATGGTGTAACGATTTTTACAGTTACGGATCACTTCATATAAATTACCCTCCTCGCTGTATCCTTATGTTCGTGCATTGAACTGATGAACTCTCATTGTTCTATTGCATGACCGTTCCCTATTTGTCTGTATCCGTCCAAGCTTCATCACTCTCTAGTATATAAAAGAATGTAACAAAAGGAAATGCACGACTAGATATGTTCAGATGATACAATACACCATCATGCCGACGGGCATAGGCGACACTCTCTATGTTCGTCACAGATATTTAACGTTGAAGCTAGCGCATTTAAATCTAATGAACACTAATTGAATAATGAGTCTTGTAGGTTGAGTGACTTTTGGTTCGATTAGACATCATCTTCTGTTGAAACTAGGTCGAATTCAAAACTATCCTCATTGTTCCTATTAACTCTCAATAATCGTTGTCAGAATCATGTAGAGATATTTGTTTTGATTACACATTTGATGAAATAACAACTTGAGAGGAGAGAGCGAGAGAGAGGAGTCGCATGGAGTAAAGAAAACTAATAAAAACTTGAATATACCTGCTTTGACGGTCTAGTGCATTTTCAGTCTGAATTACGGGTGTATTGGTTTTATTGGTAATTGTATCTTTGTTAAAGGATAGGTTAAGTTGATCTCTCTTGTATTCTCCAGTGGGGTACCTGCTTGGTACCGGACCTATTTCTTTCGTTGGATTTATATTTGTTTCACGAGCAGCATGTTTATGCCTTTCATCAAAAGGTAGCATATCAAATGAAGATCGACGGAGATTTGTGTGCGAAATACGGGGTGACACTAATCCATTTTGCGCTCGATTGCCTGAATATAAAATAGATTCCATGTAGCGGTATAAGTCGAATGAAAGTAGTAAAGCATCAAGGTACAATTCATAACTCCCAAAAGAAAAATATTAGTTCTCCTTAAAATATTGTTTTTGTAATCACTCAACAAATCAAACGAAAGTGATACTAGTGATGGAATCATCTATTTCTGGATCACGAGACCCATATACCATGGATCTAATAATTTAAAGCATCAAAGAATTCCATGTGGAATCAAAGTATGCCAATTAGATCGTCGAGGAACATTTCAGAGATCAAGCGCTGACTAAAATCTTCATTTTTGGTTAAACTAGCGCATCGGAGTCAGATAAAAAAAACTATTAAGCTTAACCAGATGGCAGTAACAGGATTTACTTCTCGTGTACTACCTATATTATATGCAAGGACTGTGGAAGCGAGGACGGGGGTGTATAAGCCCCTCTCCCCCAATAATTGAAAATTTTCAATTTTTTCCGTCAACAAGGGTAAATTTTCTGTACTTTTTTTGCTCAACTTTGTTAAAAATACCCTTTTGAAGCTCCCCCCCCCATCTTAGGTCCTTCGCACGACCCCTGATTACATGAACGACAAAAGAAGTATATTTTAATTTAAACAGCTTACTTTGATATATTTCAGGAATCCGTGGAGTTGTGATGTAATTATCGCAGTTTCCGACAATACTAGACTGAACCTTTGCTAATGATTCACGAGAAGCCCGCCCATTTGGCGGTGCATTTCTGATGCGTCCTAATGGTTGCTGTGAAAGAGTTTCAGACTCCAATTGTTGCCTTGATTTGCGCCGTACACGGATTCGACAGTTGGGCTTGTTAAAAGTCAAATCTCTCAATGAATCTTTCGGCCGAAGATCGGCACCATCGTATGAAAGGACAAATTCGTAAGGAATTTTGAATTCGTCCTTAGCAAGTAGCATCAACTTGTGCACTTTATCATAATCATTCAGAACAAGCCATTTTGGATGCTGATCTTCATATTCAACATCATAGCAGCGTGTTGCCATCTAATCAAATTTTCTGTTTAGTAGTCTTCACCGCAAATAATATCTAAAGTACAATATAATTCTGACTTCATGCATTCCATACTCAAGTATTAGAGACACGTTAATGATATAAACTTTCTTTGATGTGGCTGTCGAGCGTAAAGTCAAAAAATATGAAAGCGTCAAGATTTGAAATCTTCAAGAGACGCTTGAAAAGTCGCCCTGCTTATTTATAAGAGCTTGAAAATGTTGCAACTACATTTGTAAAAGAAAGCGAATGGAAGTATTTCATATTCTTTTTAGATTATTACGTGAAGCACTTGAGCAAAACAAACGACTATAGTGTTCTGGTAGACTTATGTCATAAGCCAATCTCGGATTCAGGCCAATCTGGAATCTTAGTTTGGCCTAGTCCATTCTAAGATTTTTTTATTTTTTCAGGCCAATCTAAAGTTCACCTAAGCCGAACTAATATAAAATATTTAGCTACTGCAACTACAGTTGATCTTCATAAAGTCAATAGTAGAAGATTGTAAAAACCAATATATGCAGATATATAATGAATAGACGATAGATTTTTTTAATTGTTACATATTTGTTAAAAAACAGAATTCTTTTTATGATAAAATGTCGAGCAGAAAAATGTATTTATTTTACAAATACACTGGGCGATTTAATATTCTAATTTGCCTCAATAATCCATTCGTTGATAACGCCTCAAAATATAATTTTAGTACAGTACTCATCTATATCTCATCTAAAAGAATCTACTGTAAACAAACGAATTTCTGTGATACAAAAGTGGAAATCATCAACAAATTCTTTTCTTATCTTTCATCAATAATTAGCTGAAAAATTAGAAGCTTTTTACTTTTGCTCAAATATCAGCATACATTTTATTTCGGAGTCTATGACTCGTTCTTATTATTTTCTCAGATGTTTGAATAAGTCTAACATATATCACTCGCTTAGTGAAAACCATATGTCTAACTGGACAAATTTATCTTAGTTTGGCCTAGGCGAATCTTAGATTGACCTAATGATTTCAAGTCACTTCCCAAGATTGCTCTAGGGTGTGGGTGTGGGTGTGTTACAGGCCTGCCCTCACATATTCTAGTATCATTTCTGTTTCATCGATGTGACGTCATTCTTTACATATTAAGATATATTTCTTTCTTCGGTGTAATATCTTTCGATCACATTATCCTCTTTTTCTTGTATTCATTTTCTCTTTTGTTTACCCTGGATGTGCGGAACGGACATATATATATACGAGTGTTTCTTTCTGTTCTAGTTGGTCTGATGTAGTGTAGGCGTTGTGTGTATGTGTACGTGTATTCGTATGTGTTAAGTAGTGATGTAATAAAGAGACAAGAGAACAATATCTTCCCCTAATAGGATGGGTGTCTGAACTCGTGTGTGTGTGTGATGTTTTCGTGCGTATCTACTGTTGCCGCACACCCACAGAGAGATATGTCTTGTGCGTGTAGTTTGGTGTGTGACTGTGTTTACCATTTTATGTGTGATTCAGTGTATATCTGCTATTTCATGTGTCCGTGTACATCGACGGATGTCTGCGGTTTGGTGTGCATATCTGTTTTACAGTGCCCACCCTCTCCCTTTGCTACATCATCAGAAGCTCTGCTTGTGTGGTTTTGCCTACTGGGTGAGTTGGACAGTAATACCTTATGCATGGTTTCCACGCTGAATTCTGACCGACGTAGCGGATTGGTTTTACCTCTAAAATCAGTATTTCCGCGTTGGTTGACGAAAGACGCGGCAGCTGTGCGGGAGATACAGAATGCGCGTAGTTGATTTCTTATAGTTATAATATTTGTATTTGCTGGGAGTATTACTGTTGTGTATCCTGCATCTCACGTGGTATATCTAGCATGCCTGAGTTGTTGGATATGTGGCACTGCTGTAGATCTAACAATTGAAACTACGCATTCACTACAACTAATAGTAGATGCGAAGGTGAGTATACTAATATAATTCACTATGCGAACGCAAATAGCTTGAGTGAAAAATGTTTTGTGAAAATGTAACTCATCGTAAGTTTCTAAAACAGAGCATTACCTAGTTACTGGTGTCTGTAACGAAGTCAAAGGTTTACTTGCTTGCTAATGTCTGTAATAGGCAGATATTGCCTTTATTGAATAATATATGATAAAAAAGAGAAGAAATACCAACTTAATTGATTGTTTTTCGGGTGTGTGGGTATGTCGTGGGTCTGGGTGATGGTGAGTGTGTGAGTGAAGAGGATAGCCATGTGTTCATACCCACACTGGTACACTCACACCGATGCACCAACACCTACAAATAAATAAATTTATATCTTAATCTTGTACTGATTACCGTTTTTGTTAAATTGGGTTAGGAAGCAAGTGTCTCTAGGGCGCAAGTGCCTGGCGAGCACGTGTCACCGATGAGCTAGTATCACCGGAAGCAACTATCCGGGGGAGCATCTTTCTTAGAATCATTTTCCAGATCATCTTTATTGTTATAACCCACTAAATCGAAGATTTGTGGATCCTGAACTCGACGCGAGCCCTGGAAAAAATGAATTTGGATCAAGGGGGAAAGGCAGATTTTTGAACTTGAAGTTACTTCAAGCTACTTTCAGCTATTTGAAGTAGCTTAATTTGCAGTACTTTTCAATTTCAAATTTTCCTTAAGTTACTTGCGGTTACTTTAAGCTACTTGTTCCTACTTTTGGCTACTTGGGTGGTACTTTGAGCTACTTCATGTGGTCAACTTTGAAGTACTTTGGCATACTTTTCTACTTCAAGTCCGTCGTTTCCCCTTTGGTTTGAATCCGGAACTGGACCTGGACCTGGACTTGAGTGGTTTTACTATCAGGTTCTATCCGACGGATGCTACTAGCCAGAGACCACAATCGATGCGAACTGAACTCGAACCATTTGTTACAGTGATGTCAAAATGGATTGAGGCTGAAGTAATTTTAAAAAAATGAAAGAATGTAGGGCGAACATTACAGAAGCATGATTGCTTGAACTAACATCTATTTTTGAAAGTCACCATAATGCAGAAAATAATCAAAGAAAGTTTGATCTTTTGTTTGACATAAACTTTATATAAATTTGTATAGCGCTGTGTTTATTTTCATAAGAATTCGATTAACTATCTATATGATAGTGGGTGACTTCTAAATGGCGTAATTATTTGATTCATTTTCCTTTTTTCCCCCTTCATTTCTTTCTGTGAGCTATACAAAAATGACCAAGGGTATCAACAGGTACTGTAACGCACAGAAGTCTATTCTCACCAGAGCCCTCCATGCAGAACTCGGCTTCGGCTTCGAATTCAAAAATATGTTTTGAAGGAAGGAATCTTTCTTTTGCGATAAAGAAATTTTTATTAGAAATATGTTTTAACTTTAACTATTTAGCTTTTTAAAGGTCAAGTGAAATCCCCATTTTGGGTTCAAGAATCTTGAACTCGACGGGTTCTATCATTGAAGATAATCTTACAAATATTTTCGTACAGTCTTCGTGCAGAAAAAAATCGGAGACGACGCCTCTCTTATTCTTGCAGTGGCTATAGAATCCATATTAGAATTCATAATTTACAGTATAAAACTACGATTCGACAGCATCCGAATCGAAAATTTGTTTTCACTTAATCCGAGCCCAAAAGTCTCCGGACCAACGAGCTTTAGCATTCACCCAAACACACACATGCACTATACATTATATATATATATATATATACTGTATATATATGTATATATTCAGACCAGATCGAGATGAAATAAAGAAAGGAAATAGCAAATGGCGAAAAGTAGGATCATGCTCTTTTACATGTGTTAAGGACGACAATTGAGGGCATTGAACAATGATGCAACTGGATCAAAAAGCGAGAAACAATAAAACAGAAACAGAAAAAAATAAAAAAATAACCTTTCGTAAAGGAACTAATTTTGTAACTAGAGATGCACCAATTCCAATTCCTGGCATTGTTTGGAATTGGTTGAATTCGGTATAGAATTGGCTCTAAATGAGTGTAAAATGAACTGAAATTGATGGTACAATTGATTATTCTTGACTAGACAGTACTTGAATTTTCCAAAAATTAGATGAAGAAAATGGGACGCGTAAGGCCTTAAATCTGAAACTCGAGATTTTTATGATAAAAGCTACAACTCGGGTCACAATTAAATAACATATTTGGAATCAACACAAAAGACTGACTCGAACAATGTATATTTTCAATACTTTAGGTAGCTTTTTTTTCTACCGAAAATTCACCTGGGATACTCCTCAGGGTTCAGTCAAAAAATGAAACTAATCAGAGAGCAACTTGGACATCAGTAGTTAACTGTGGAGCATGTAAAATGCTTAGTAATATAGAAAAAAACCACATGCCTTAGCACTAAGGGAAAAGTCATTTTTTATTATTGGACTGAACCCTGAGGAGTGCCCCAGGTGAATTTTCGGTAGAAAAAACAGTTACCTAAAGTATTGAAAATATACATTGTTCGAGTCAGTCTTTTGTGTTGATTCCAAATATGTTATTTAATTGTGACCCGAGTTGCAGCTTTTATCATAAAAAATCTCGAGTTTCAGATTTAAGGCCTTACCATCCTACTCTCTTTATTTTATTTTAGGAAAATTCAAGTACTTGCTAGTCAAGAATAGTCAATTGTACCATCAACTTCAGTTCATTTTACACTCATTTAGAGCCAATTCTATACCGAATTCAGATCGATTCCAACCAATTCCAATTGATGCCTGTTTCACTTGTTGTTGAAATTTTGCAGGAAAATGATCAATAATGAACACATTAATAATAATTATTGATGGAATTCTATCAGAAATTCTACACTGCCGAAATTCTTATTTTCGAAATTCTTATTATCGAAATTCTGTACAAACTCTCCTAAAAAAGTTTATTTCTTCACCAAATAATGCATCCCACGACAAGCTAATGACAAAATCGTGTAAAAATGAATTCGAACTTCTTAGGTTGTTTGTGTAGAAAAAAAAGCGATGGATCATTTTTTCTATTTCTATTTCTTTTCTTTTCTTTTCTTTTCTTTTTTCCAATTTCTCTTATAAACACTCATTCGTACTATGGTAACAAACAAAGGTAGGCTTATGATTCACGAAAAGTAAGTGCACGAAAACAGATATTGATTGAATAGTTATTCAAGATCGACCGATTGAGAATTTTATGGTTGTAAACTTTAAAAAAACGCGTGAAATATTTTATCCACTGAATTTCGCCAGAAACATCATTTTGTGGATACGACACTGATCACTCATTGCATTCAGTGGCGATTTTTTCAAATGTACGACGACTTTTATATGTACAAAATATTTTTCAAATCAAACACTGTAATCGAGAGCAGATCATTTTATTGATCTTTCATTTGCATGTATTCAATGAGAGGCTGTAATTCAGACCGTTCCATTTAGGGTTTACTAAAAAATGAGTCAAAAAACATATATCTGCTATTTATGAGAACTGCAAAACGGAAGTTCGTAATGGTTCAAGATTATTTCTTGAATTCTTTCATCATTTGATACGTATCTTCTCATTTGCGAACATAAAATCGAAAATTAAAATGTTTTAAATTAAATTCAAATATTTTTCTTAGTTTGAAACTTCAATTCTGAAAATATTTCAAGCCTCAAATTTTCGTCTTTTATTCATTAAACACTAATTGAGAACAATTTTAATAAAATTGGCATCTTCAGTTTTGTTAGTAACTATCTGCAATTTGTAGAGTTCGCTAAATCTTGAATTTCATTATTTGTACTGAATATCCACATACTTCTAGTAATCAACTGAACTATGTGTTGATAATAAATATTCGTCATTAACAAGCTATATGTTCTACGTATTCAATCGAATCTTTTAAAGCAATGAACTCTATATTAAAAAAAACATGTCACTAAGAAAATGAACTAAGTTTCTTTACAAGAACTCTCTCTTCAGCTCTAAAAATTCCGTCTTCTACAAATAGCAGCAATTATTTGAACTTCAGAAACTTTTTATCATAAAAACCTTACGCCCTCTAGAAATTGCAGTGAACTTAGTTAAGTCAAAATAACTTTTTAAAATCTTTTTTTGAAATAAATTAATATTAGTCAACTTTAAATCAAACGAAATTTTTCTTTCGAACTTAATTTTAAATTTCAATCGTTTTGAAAAAAAATCGAAATATTCAACTTTAAAATTAAACGAAATTCTAATGGTAAATTTAGTTAAATCTATTTTCTTTATGTTCGCAAATGAGAAGTAGCCATTTGATATTGGTCCATATTCATGAGGCGGCTTGCATCATCTAAGGCTAAAAACGAAGTGTGGTTGAATTCTATGAATTTTGAGCTCTTACAGATTTAACAACTCAAACATCGAAAAGGATAAGCATTTAGTAAACACCAATAGCTAAAAATGAACAGTCTCATATGCAGAAAATCTTAGTAGAGTCTTAAATTCATAGATTCTAAGTACTAAAATGACATTGTAACCGAACAATATACGATAACTTCTTCCCTTCTTCTAGTATAGGAAGCCATAGCGTTGCAGTGAGAAACTCACGTTGATATCTCTAATAGATACCTTCTGCTAGGAGCTAGTTTTTTGCCAGTATATTTCTAATTTTTTTTCCTTTTTTCCAAAATAGTTTCGGCCAAGAATCAACTCAAAATAACACCAGTTATTGTCTCTCAAGTACATAGTGCATCGAGAACACATCATCGAAATCGATATATCTTTCCGCTTTGAGTCAGACAGACTTTTATAATTTCGGATCATTGTAGGTGAAACCGAATGATGAAACAATAGTGATTTTTGAGCGCTGATAAAAGCGTTCCATTAATTTAATAGATATTAGCTAACAGGATACTACCTAAATCAAGCTGGAACTATTACATGCCACTCTAGAACATCGAGATCTATCAAAAGACGTATCGGAACAGAAGGAAAAAGTGTGTAAAACTTGACATAGATTAGGGCCTCATTCAAAAGATGATTTTTTATAATGACTTATATTATGATGGGAATTTTTTTACCCTTTCTCTTGTAGAAAAGCTATGTGCCGACATTTGACCACAGAAATTTCTCGCTTAGATGCTTAAAAACGTCTTTAAAAAAACTTTAGTTGTCTTTTTAGGTTCTAGCAATTAAACTAATCAACAATAGAAGGCTATAGTATTCTATTCCGAGTGCAAGGAGTATTACATTTTAATTAACCTGGCCAATAATAATACGGAGCAACTCCGCGTGTTGTTTTTAAACTTTTCTGATATCTTTGCCCAAAGTCTGAACATTAAGACAGTAAAATTCCACACTTTTTTCTGATCAAATATCATCCTCCTTCGAGCTAGGTTGTTGATGTACTCGGAAAATTTCCCTAAAATTGGTTCCGCAGTGTTCTAGCTGATAAGTTTTTCATAAACGATGTGATCGAAGGTGATGAAGCTATTTTTAACAATTTATTCTCATAGCAATTTGGAGAAAAAAAGATCGTTCCATTGGTTAAATGATTGTATGATAAATTAATTTTGAAACATTTTAGAAATAAATTTAGGGTTTAGTAATAAGAAGTGTATTTTCATATAATGTCAAGCAAGCTCGCTCTCAACGTTGAATATGAAAGTGATTATCGGCGCATTGTTGTCGAGCAGCCTTACGCTACTGTAGCTATCTTCAAAAAAGCTGTTCGTGATGAATTTTCGATTAATCATCCATTTGTTCTAACTTATAATGGTGCTACATTGATCGAAAAGCATACCCTCTTAGATCTTGGCCTAGATTCTAGATGCGATATTCGTGTTCGAAGAAAATCTGTGGAACTATCTGAAGCAACTTCGACCAGAGATAACAATGCGCATCTATCAACAAACGATATATTTCTTAGCTACGAATGGACTCATCAGAAAGAAGTTAAATTACTCAAATCTCATCTTGAAAGGCATCAATATACATGTTGGCTTGATATCGAGCAAATGAGAGGGGGTGCTTCTCTCTACTCTTCGATCGATCAAGGTATTCGAGAAGCAAAAATTTTTGTATGCTGCATCAATCGCAAATATGCAGAGTCAGACAATTGTCGACGAGAGCTCAACCTTGCCACAAATTTGAACAAGCCTATTGTGCCGCTTTTAATGGAAAAATTACCATCATGGCCACCCCAGCGAATTGGTCCTCTGTTATCAGAATATTTGTATATAAAATTTTATGGATCTTCATCTGGCACAGATTCTGTTCCGTGGTCTGAAGATAAATTTAATGAATTGTTGAATGTACTAACTCATATTTTACCACAGGCTATATAATTAATTTTTGACCTTTTCCCTGCCAACGAATAAATTTCAGAATCCAGCATTTAATTGTAATTGCAAAACAACAAAGTTTTCTCCAGAAATTTTGACAAGCCTTAAAAATTGATTGTAGCTACTCCTGAACAGAATCAAAATATAGGGCCTATACTTTTTGATTTTGATACAAGTAAATGCATATTTTATTCAAATTTGATAGTGTAGGCCTTGAAGTACCTGTGTGCCTAGGTATTAGTGTTGACGATTACATGAGTCAAAAATATCCCTTGTCATCGATAACTGTAACGAAGGCAAGTTGGTAGATATCCTAGTGGTTAATCATAGCACTAGAAACTTCGTTATTTTTCTGGGGGCTGGGATTGAAATCTTCAAAAATCAAGTAAGTTATGGTACTGGTTTCGATGGACTATGGATCACACCAATTCTCGGTTTCCATTGGTGATGTTAACAATGATGAAAAGTGGATTTTGCAGTTGCTAATGCATGGACTGACAGTTTAGTAGTTTACTTACAGACTTGTCAAAGTTGAGTAGCTGTCTAATTCAAGTTCGAATATAAATGGAGAAAAGAAAAAGTTAAACTTTCCAATATATGCGACATATGAATACATATACATGTATACTCCTACAACCACACCTACGCCCTCATCCGCGCTTTCCCGTGCTTTTCAGTCGTTTCCTGTCGTACCTCCACGACCTGGGATTTATGATTACATGTACACTGGTACTTTATTGAACCGCATTGTCTCATCCCATAAGAGAATAGTGCAGTTCATACTGAGGAATGGTCAGTTATTATCATTGGGATGCTTCATCATTAGATAATAATAATCACGTAATTGAACCAATGGTAACACGGTTTGGTTTAGATGAAAAGAGGTTCCCAGTTTGTTTTAGTGAAAAAGAGATGCTTTACTACCAATTACCGATTAACATTTTGGCTGCTGTCTAATTGGTAATAAAACAATCATTTGCCATACCTGACTATGAACTCTAAGTTTTGTTTTTCCAATACTGTGAGGAGAAACCGAACTCACAAAAATAGTTAACTGTTTATCTAATTGTCAACTATTCATACATGGTAATCAGTTAGCTTTTTTTATACAAGATTCTGTCTTTCTTCCGTTATCCACCTGCTTAGCTGAATACAATGCAAACATATATTACTGTTGTTGGTCAATTGAAAGAGCATATTAAAGATTGAAAAAAGGCTTGACAAATATTTTCTTTTTTTATGAACATCCGCAATACAAAATTCGTGTTTTCAAAAGTATCAGACTACCTAAAATTGTTCTTATAATAATGATATTAACACAAAGAATTAAAAAAAAGAATATCTTTTGATAAAACATCTGCCGTGATACTGATTAAAATGATTCATCAACAACAAGTGGTGGTTGAAACAGTATCCTCTAGATCCATCTCCTGGATCTGTCGTTGATCTTTTCCTCATTCATTTCCTTACCCATATACACACCCTCTCATTTAACTGTGACAAAGAGTACAGTTTTTCAAGAACTCAACTTTGACATTATCGTAATAATTTATGTTAACCATTAAGTCTTTTCATGTTTGAATAGGATAGTTTCGATCATATGTTCTATCTTACGAGGGGAAATCTCAAAGTGCCGACTCCCTTTGGAGTCAAGACTATGCAGATCCTAATGAACTATGAGTACTCGGAAAGCAGTTCTGGCTATTGTTTTATCATTGCGAAGGTTTTCCATATTTACGGTATTTTTTAATAGAATTCAGTGGTGCTCTCAGAAATACCAAGAAAACTTTATTGAGAATAACATATCGTGAAAGTCTCAGATCAATTTATTTTTCCTATCGTAAGATGCAAGTGTAGTAAAAGCACACTTAACTTTGATCATATATGCCGATATATCCCAATGTTCTTTTATCAGAATAGAAGCAATCAGAAAAAGTCGAAACTTTTTCAAGTAGAGACTTGAAAGCTAGTTTTCTTGGCGTGACTGTGACGACCATCGAATTGTACTTAAAAATGCAGTAAATATGCAACGCTTCGGGAGGAATAAACCTATAGTCCAAACTTTTTTCACGATATGTATAGTGCATTAGGATCTACATGCTATACATGGCCTTGAATTAAAAGCGATTGGGCACTCAGGTATGTTTCCTCATTAGTGAAATAAAATTGTTTTCTTTTTTTAAACCAGTTTCTTCCCGTATTATATTTTACACTTCCGGTACACATTTTAAATATATCAAAATCCTATTTTTATTTTTTAAATAGTTTCATGTGTTTACATTCAAACGGTCGTTTCTACAGTTTAAATTCAGCTGAAGAACTCCTAAAACTTGATCTTCAGATGTCTATTGGTATTTATTACATTTGGGAACCCGATGATGATGAATCAGATGAAGACAATCGAGGAAGAATAGCTGGACATGGTGATTTTTATATCTACAATTTGATGCTTTTATTAATATTACCTTCATTATCATCTATGACAACAGCATTATTGGGAACTATCGGCTACATCGTCATCGTGCAGATTTGCAATGAGACTACTGTTAGACTAGGCTTTCTCTATGATCAGGATCGTTTGTCTGGGCTTTCATTGTCCGTAACTTTTGTTTCAATGTATACTGTTATATTAGATCTTTTCATACAATATTATACTGTACAGACGATGATACTACTCTCATTCTGCTTGACATTGGCCGTATTGTGCCGGAATATATATTCATATTTATATTTTATAATTCAGTCATTATTGCTAGGATCAAAGAGGTAAGACTCGTTCTACTCATTATAAATTTCAAAATTGTCGGCACAATTTCGACATTTTCTTCATGATTGAATAGTTAATCTTGTTTATTTTTGTGTATGGAACCAATTTAATTATGTTGACAACGAATTTAAATAAAATTGTTAATTTAACTGAAGACTTGATCCGCTTGAATAATTTATGAAAATAGTTTCCTTTGAAAGAACTGAGCAAAACAAGCCACTCAGAAGAATTACTTGAAGATCGTCTTTTTTCTGTACTTTCCTCTGCTAGTTTTTCTAATTTGCCATAAGGGTGTTGCTCGTTTAAATATCGAGTAGCAAGTGCAAATCTATCATGAAGATCTAGTTGTTTATCCTAAAAAATTTCAATTTTTATTGTAGTATTGAACCAATACAAATATTTGCAAGAACACATTCATATTGACGATCATTTCTATTTTGTTTAAGAACGAATTCAAACATAGTTCGAACACAAGGTTGATGAAATAATTTTGTTGCTGACGAAAATTCATTGATGAATGTTTTATCATCATTATTTGTCGATGTTGCTCGAATTGAACTACCTATTGGAAGAATTAATATCGCTAATCAGTGATTTATCTACTGTATGGGCAGGGTGGGCCGTGCCCACCCGAAAATAAACAGTTGATTTCATAAAAGTAACGGGTGGCTCATAAAGAATGGTGGTCTCATTATTTACTCAATATCGTTTTTGCTCTTCACTGATTTGAACTGAACATTTTCCCAAAAGATTGAGCATTCAATTCTCTACAAACTCATGCGTAAAAGATTATTTAAAACTACAAAACGGCTAAGCACTAGAACGAAGAAAAAAGGTTAGAAAATCTTCAATTTTCAAGCGCAACATACATTAACATTTGGAGTATGTTTCGACAATTTATACGCAGGCTTACGTTACGGGAGAAACATTTTCTGGTATTTTCAAGTACGCTCTTTTCGATAGATATCTTGGAAAAACATTTCTTTAAAAGTGGTCTTCGCCTACTAAATCGATATTTTCTGAAAACTCGTCCATAGCGCCTTAATTTCGGTTTACAAGAAAGTCTACTGCAAACGAAACTTTGCATCACTCGAACAAGTGTACAGGGGTGTAGTCGAGTATGTTGGCTTTCAAAGAAAAAAAATCGTCAAAAAATAACACTTTTTAAGTGAATGGCATGCGTTTTAGTGCAAGCAATGAAAACATGACATGACAGTTGTGTTTTTTAGAATAAGCGAAAAAATTGATGCAGACTTTTTCACTCATTTTGTGATGAAAAAAAAAATTCGAAGACATGAATCTTTCCCAGAATCTGATGCTCTTTAACATGGTAGACTGAGTTTTTTTTGTAGATCCTCACATTGAAAGCAAATTTTCAAAAAAAAAACGGGTTTAGTGCTTGAACGCTGAAGATTTTCGACCTTTTTTCTTCGTTTTAGTACTTAGCCATTTTGTAGTTTAAAAAACCTTTTACGCATGAGTTTGTAGAGAATTGAATGCTCAATCTTTTGGGAAAATGTTCCGTTCAAACCAATGAAGAGCAAAAAACGATATTGAGTAAATAATGAGACCGCCATTCTTTATGGACCACCCGTTACTATATGATAACAAATTTTCTAGCCAGCAGCCCTTCCAAAAATGTCAACCGCCCACCCGAAAAATGAAACCTAGACGAAACACTGTCGCTAATTCTTCTTTACCGCCTTGAAATGTTTTTATGAAATTTATTTAGAAAAAAGAAACGAGAACTGTCTTTTTTAAATAAAAACCTCTTGAAAGACCGTCATTTAGTATCTTTAATGCTCGATTAACACATATTTGAAATATATAAAGTGCAGCTACTTTTTCTTCTTCGTAATGTTCTAATAATAAATGCATGCAATAATACTCAACTGATTGAGAATCGATATTTGACTATACTATTAAACCAGTTGCATTTGTTTTTCTCATTAGTTTTGAAGAAAAAAAAAATATATATATATATACAAATTATTTTCTAAACTATTTAATAGAAAGAATAAACGTGTTGATATCCCAGCATTCATTTTTTGACTTACGAAATCCGTTTAGCTTGGTAAATAGGCTTTATTTCTAAGTATGATCATCTGTGCCGATGATTTTCATCAGAAATTATCAGATTGCATCATTTCATTTTCTATTTAGATAAATCAAAGCTGACCTTTATTATGACAATGGAGAAAAGACTAAAATTCTACTATGAATCAGATTTAGATATCTACCAGATAGGTTGCGAATAGAAACAATTATTGCTTGAGAGAATCAAAATTTGTGGTGTACCGTTTAGAAAAATAAATTATTTGAGTTTAATTTCGCATCGATTATTTTAAATCCGATCATTTTTATCATCAGATAACTTGAATGAATAGATACAAAATCTAAACTATAGAAGAGATATTACGATAGATGTAGGTGTATCGGCAATCCAATACACGTAGACGATGAGAGCAATACTCAGAGTAATGCAATACTGATTCATGTATATATGCATACTTGTCAAACAATAGGTAGGCGTACAAAGCTTATGTGTAGTTTCTTTTTTTTATGAAAAATCCCCTTACTATAAACTAATAGACAGGACTATTGTCAAGGTTATCCTGTACGATTATAATCTTATCTAACACTGACATTCAACAATTGAATCTCTTTTAATCTTTTTCTTTTCTTCCGTAGATTCAATTTTACATAACAAAAACTATCAAAAATGATGGTGCCCATGCAGATGTTTGTGTCAATCGGATGATTGATGAAGCCTCATTTAATAGTTATCGCTAAATGCCATTGAGATTCGAATAAGAAGAAGAAGAAGAAAAGAAAAGAAACAATTTACCAATGCGTAGGAAGCAAAGCGAATATGAAAAAGAAAGACATTGATATTAAAATCATTTGGTTTCACATTCATTTATAAAGAATTAGCAACATATTCGAATTGAGGTTTTATTTTCATGTACACTTATGCATGATATCATTTCATAGACGGATATTTTTTTATGCTGTAATGATACCGTACAAACATTTTTGTTTTTTTCATAGCTTAGTCGCATATCATTTTCAACAGCCCGTATCATGTATTTAAAAGAAAATAACAGAAAAGAAAAGCCGAATTCTTTTTCGAACGTCAACTCTAAAACTAGAGAAATAAGAAAAACAAAGAGAGAAATAAAAGAAGAGCGTATTTATTTTCTCCCGTCTCTCCATCAAATAAATAGATATTTTCTTGCCACCATCGAAAATTGATCATGATTATAATTATATCACTTGTTACATCTGTGTTTTTTTTCTTTCTGTTTTTACATACACGAGTATTAAGTATAGAATCGATCGAAAATATATGATTAAACTAATGTCCTATATTTGAATTTTTTTATGCATTTCTAGCTCGACAGCAGCAACAAGCGTTTCATTTTTCTTCTCATCTTTTTCGTTTGCGTACTCCAACGATAATAGAACGAAGAAAAAGAGAAAAAAAGGGAGAACACAGAAATAAATAAATAAATAAATAAATATATATATATATATATACAATCGTTTCGTTTCAACATGTACACTTCTACGTATTCATCAACATCATCACCTATTCGAACAGCAGTATCGGAGACAACAGAAACAAATTGCCAGCACCAATCGTTCCATCGTCAGTATAATCAATCATCTTATAGTAAAAATACCAATACAATCAATGATAGTAATATGAATTTAAGACGTAATAATGATGGCTTTTCACATTCCATTCCATCTTTGATATCATCAAATCCATTAACAACACCAACGTCATCAAGAAGATATTTAAATAATTATAATAATATATATAATGATTCAAATAGATATCAATCGACAGCTTATTCACCCTCACCAAATCGTTCATATCGAAATGATAATGAGACATTTCGTCCGGATAATACACGTTACAATTTAAGTAATAATAATCGTGCATATTCATATGATGATTTACACAAAGAACAAAATCGTTTACAATCATCCATAAGGACTTCACGTAATACTGATCAATATAGACAACCAATAATAGCAAGAGGTGATCAATATAACTATCGTGATGATGATGAAGATGAAGATTTAATAGTTAAATCAACCGATTTATCAGCACGTTATGAACAAGATATGATTCAATTAGTTCGAACTGGCTTTCGAAAATATGACATAACTAATCAACGTGAATTAGCTGGCTTTCTTAAACGTGCTGCAGATAGCAAGTTTTCACCCTGTTGGCATTGTATCGTTGGTAGGCAATTTAGCTCCTATGTTACACATGAAATGAGTGGTTTCATCTATTTTACACGAGGCCCACTATCAATTTTACTTTTCAAAAGTGGTGCCTAACTATTTTTGACTGTTGCTTACTTCCGATTGTACATATTTCATACTAGTATTTATTTATTTTCATTTTCTTCACAAAACAAAACAAAAAAAAACATTATATTGCGTCTCAATAAATTACTTAGTTTATTGTATTCATGTATTTTTCATCAAATATAAAATAAAAAATGCATAAATTGGTGTTTCATTGATGTTTTTTGGCAATAAAACGAAACAAGAAAATAGAATACGACCTTGTATATTAATGCATCACAGACGAAAAAAAGTATAAAACCACAAATTTAGTTATACACGCTATTGATTGCTCATCTTTCTAAATCAATACAACTAATATCAAGGGTTTTTATTGTCACTGTATATGTAGCAAAACAAAATATTGTAGTATTTATTTGATCATAGTACTTTCACTTACAAATGTAAGAAGAAAAAACAATAATTACGATAGGAATACAAGAAAAAGAACCGTTTGTCACTACAGTTCGTGTCAAGAGCGACATACGATTGATCAAATTATCAATATTGAATAAGTATCTTAGAAGAAAAGTAAAGCAATAACATTCAGTGTCATTTTTATTTACTGTTAAATAATTTATGTGATCGATTAGTCTATGTAGCAAGCATGCGTCCTTATTTGGTTTTACTTTTTCAATCGACCTTGATTATCTGACGAATTACGCAGTCCTATGATTCAAATATAATTATTAGACAGTAGGAAGTTCTTGGGTTTAAATATCCATAAGTTTCTTGAAGAATATCATAAATTATAAACTTGTTTGATCTGCTACTATTTTATGATTTTCATATACAATAAATAGCAGAAACGATTAATTTTTCATCTCATTGATATTTCAAGACAATTATAGGAACCCATATGAATTATCTCACCAATAGACATGTGAGATGATCGGTTGAGCTATCGTCGTGTACAATCTGAAATAGATCTCAGGCATGTTATAAGGACTTATCCGGTTACATACCAATGATGCAATAGAAACTAAATGTTTACAAAAATGTTTAGCGATACTCGAATCTAGTATTTGATTCTTATTTCTATTTCGAAATTTCGCTGAATAAAATAAGTTAAATATTTCTAAACGCTGCGTTATCACAGAATACAAAGTACATTAAACTTATTAATGCGATGCGAAGCAAAGTATTAATGTAGTCCGTCGCGAGTTTTTTTTGTTTTTCTTTCTTTTTTACTTGACTGTAAGCATCGTTTTCGTCGTCTTGCGACTCGATCAGCTCAACAACCGAAAATCATAGAAAAGTCGTTAAAAAGTGAGATCGAACTTCTTGTATCTTTTTCGAATCTTTAATCTGAAGTTCCGTTCATTCACAAATGTGGTTCCAAAATGACGAAAACGAACGAAATTTATGACGAGATAATTAACACGACGTCATCAACATATGTTAGCCACTATCGTCTATTTGTTTACAGGTGATATGAAATAATGAATCATGGAGATAATTAATCGATCAATCGAATTCGGTGTTTAAGAATGTATCGCTACGTAAGAATGGAGTTTTCAGAGTGATGAAAAACATTACGGCTCTAGAAGGAAACGACGGACTTTTGGACTTAAAATTACTTTGAGCTACTTTCACCTACTTTTCAACTTCACATTTACTTGAAGTTATCTGAAGTTACTTGTACTAACATTGTGCTTTTACTTGAGTGATACTTTGAGCTACGTCAAGCTACTTCAAGTAGTGTACTTTGCCGTACTTTTGTACTTCAAGTCCGCTGTTTCCCCCTTATTACGGCTACATAAAAAGTATTCAAGATTTCTCTGAATTGTAGATTTTTCGTAGGCGATCAGGATTCTTGCTTCGCATCGCATTTCGTATACGAGTGAAACTCGAATACCATCTAGTTGCTAGTTTTGACTTTAGAAGAAACATTAAGATGGATTTTTCACCATTGTGAGCTCTTGAAATTTAGTATTTTCATTAAACTGTCTTTTCTCTCTCTTCTTTTGAAAAAGAGATGATGATTCATTACCATCTTTATGTACCACACGCCCTTGCCTTCTTTTTTTTTCATTTATTAACGCACAATTTTTTTATTGCTATGTGCCGGCATTGACTTTTAAATTTCGACATGTACATATGTATATATATATATATATATGTGTGTGTGTGTGGTAGTGCACGTTTTACTGCACATGATCTTTATTTGAGTAGAAATTACTACAAAATGAATCCAAATCACACATAACTAACTGAATAACAATAAGAAACAAACAAGTTATAGAAAATGATAACAGAATAATGAATAGGTGAAAGTGTCGAAGCAGTGCGACACCATCGTTGATCATTCGCCTAATCATCACTTCGAATTCGACTAGATTCACTAACTATTGTTTCGAATATATCGATTACCAGAATTCGCTTGTCTTCCATTATTCGATTGTTTATTATAACCTCCCCGAAAGCCAGCATCACGCTTAAAAAGAGAAACAGAAGTGATGCCAGCTTTTCTTTACTGAAGTTCACACTACTTACATAATTAGTGCCAGGTCGTTGAAAATTACCACTAGAAGGTTGTTGTACATTGAATCGATTGTTGACTATTGCTTGACGACGACTAGACAATCGAACGGCCTTTATTCATTTACTTATTTGAGGATAAAAATAAAACATACTTAATTGGTTCAAGGAGAAAATCGGTCAAATCTGTGGCTGATAATCGATTATTTTGTGTAACAAATTTTGATAAATCTTCAAAACGATTTTTAACATCTTCATTTGTAGATTTTTCGAGAGATTTTTTAATGTGTTCTAACTAAATTGACAAGCTAATGTTTTTATTATCGTAAATATTTTTCTATTACGAACCACAATTGGAAAGACTCGTCGACGATCATCATCAATGGGTGGTTGATCAGCAAGTATGTGAACAACATTTATTGCTTCTTCTGCTCGTCCCATTTCAGCATAACAAATAGCCTGCAAAAATTCAAGTTGAGAAAAAGAAATCAAGTAAACGAGTATCTTCCTACTCGAATATTTTGTATTGTAGTTAAATTTTGTCCTCGAACAGCACCAATAATTTCCATAGCAAATGACGAGTCATTCTAATTATTACAAATATATTTATAATAGGAATTTACTTAACTATTTCTATTACATGTCGAAGTGCTAATAGAGCTACCATAGAAGCTGTACGTGGATTAATATCTGCATCACGTTGAATTACTTTAGATATTAAATCTTTGGCTTTTTCTAATGATTGTTTTGTATTCTAAAGAATTAAAAATCATATATTTTTGTATATTCTTAAATGTATTCTTTACTTGTCGATACAATGCTTCAATAGCTAATGTAACAGCATCTGTTGGAAATACTCGACCGCTTGCAGTTGAAAAACCACGTTGCATACCATATTCAAATATTTTAGTAGCATCCTCATAACGTTTATCTTCAACTAGTTTATTTAAAAGGATAAGAACAGATCCAGAATCATGAAATATATCTTTTAAGCTCTAATAAATCGAAGCAACGAATAAATAAGCGAGAATCAGAAGAAAAACAAACCTACTTCATCCATGAAAAGTTTCATGGCTAGATCTGGCTTATTTTGAACATATAATAGACGCATAATAGGTGAACCAAAATGAAAATCAGTAAATTTAACTTTATTTGAATTATATCTGAATAGAAGAAAAATTTGAAAATAAATGAAACTGAAAGTCTGTTCGTACTTTCTCAATGCTTGAATAACGGCATCCACTTCTTCATCACTATTCGCAGACATAATCATATTACGTAAATCTTCAGTGAAAATTTGTGAATCAGGTTTAGTAATAGAATCAAAAAAACGTTTTTTGAAACCATCTAATATTTAAAAAAAAGAAAGATAAATAAAATTTGAGAATAGATCTTTACCAATCGATGGAGCATGGCGTGAAGCATGTTGTTCGCGAGCTAATTTAAAATTATCAAGGCCAATGGCTGAACTTGAGAATAGGGTACGAACATGAACAGATAATATCGTCCGTAGAGTTCCACTTGATGAATCTTAAACAAAACAAAAACATATAATATTGTTGACGTGAACCCACATCCACACCCAAATGCTTGCATAACTTTACAATTAACTTTTATATATTCACTCTGTCTTTTGACGATTATTCCGATCAGAAAGAATTATAAGTTATTTTTATTGTCTTACTACTATTGCAAAAGGCTATATGAATTCAGTTCTTCGTATCTCATTCGATTTATCTTCTCTACCACAAGTTTAAAAACATCTAATGAGAACAAAAGATTATCTTTTAAATACATTTTCTATTCAATATTAATCATAAAATCAACTTACGATTGATTGCTTGAATAGCAGATGAAGTAATATTTCGAATGAGACAAGACATCTACAAAAAGAAAAACGAAAACGAAGAGAAAAGCAAAAGAACAGAAATGATTTAATCGTATTCTTTTGTTCAATCGAAAGACAAACATATTCAACGATTACTTTTTACAATATTTATCAAAAATTTAATGTCATTAAATAACGCCCAAGCTAATGGTGCACCCATTGGTAAATATAAAGGAACGTATATGGCAAATTTTTGATCATCTGGAAAGTAGAGTAATTTCAGTAATGATGGATCAAAAAAAACTTGATCAGCAAGTAAACGTCCTTGTTGACAATCATTATGCTGATTGTTTTCTTCACATTTTTCTAATAGATTTACTGAATCATGGACCTTTTTTGCCATAGTATCATCAATAACAATATTAGGAATTGAAAGAAGTAATTGTGATAAAGTTGATAATGTTTGTCGACCATTATTATAATTTTCAATTGTACGTAAATGAATCCATTGGTCAATTGTTTCAATTCCTAATAGTTGATTAAAATGAGTAAGAAATTGTTTCATAATTAAATTTAAATCATTATATTCATTATCCGAATTATTCTTATTATAAAATATTGCACTACCCCATTTAGGTACAACGATTGAATTGTCTTGATTTTTCTCAACTGTTAATGGTGTTTGTTTTTCATCAGGGATGAATAGAATAAATAAAATTTGTTCTTTATAATGTTTTGTTGAACGATGCAATAAATATTCAAGTTTATTGATAAAAAATGGAATTTGTCGTTTTTCTAAATTATGTATAGTTTCATATGGTAAAACTCCACGTGTATTAAAAATAATTTCTGTGGAGAAATCCAAATTAATAAAATTCGAATATGTATTGATTAAATGAGGGACAATAGTTGATGAGATTATTTCTTCATATTTTGTTCTATTTAAACTAGAGTTATCATCGTTATTATTTATTAAATAGAATGATATGTCATAAGACGATGCAGTTTGAAATGATGTTAAGTTTGTTACAATTAAATCGGATGTCTTTGGTGCAAGAGTTGATATACGAGAATATGGTAATGGTGCACGATACGTACTCGTAGTAGAATACCACAATGGTAAACCAACGAAAAGAAAGAGAAAACTAAATGTGAAACGATTGATGAATAAATATAATTTTTCGTTGGGAAGTTTTTCTCTTAATACAGTCAGTACATTCATTATGAAAATCTGAAATGAAAATAATTAAAATGCAATTTTACATTTATTCTTTAAACGGTTCAAAGTTTTCATTGATGCTTATCAATTTTGACATACTAGACTTTTAGAATTTCTTATTACCACTATTTTAAAAAATCTATTAATTTACTGTAAGAAGTTCTAGAACAAACTCTATAATAATAATTATGATCATCATTTTTCAGTTGGTTTCCTTAGAATGTAGGGGAAAAAATAAAATTTTGAGTAAATATCATCATAACTAATCAAACTAAGTAAGAAGATTTTCTAAAGTAAAACCTTAATTTAGTTTGTAAGATTACTGATAAAAAATGTTCAGCCATAAAGAAATAAAATGAAACAACGTTTACGTTTAGGTTCATTAATTTTCATAGTGATTGAATGAAAAAAACAGTGACATACGAAAAAAGGTAAGCTGAAAATGAGAATATTTGATTGGTAGGAAAAACCTATTGAAAATGAAAGAATATCAATGATGAAGGTTTTGGGTTTTATTGTAGATGTCGTTGGAAACTTCCATTGTAAAAGCTTGTTTTTTTTATTCTAAAAATTAAAAATCATGCTTAATAATAGATCTAAAAACTTTTTTTTTACTTACTTAACCACTTTTTTACTCTATGTTGCTAAGCAACGAGTACGTTCTCGTCTTGATCGATGTCATATTTGCTGTTCAAAAAAATCTATCTTCAATGATCAATGGCTTCCGTTGCACCAGATAAAATACTTGAAATAAAGCAATTAATTTCAAATCATTTATCACAATCAGATATTAATAATTCAATTCGTGATGTTCTTTCTGACTATGCTCAACATCATCCAAATGCAGGTCCAATCGGTCGAGATACTTTAATACGTGAATTAAAAAATCGTGGTGTTGTTGATTCTATGATGCAGAATATTCAATTTGGTAATCAACAACCATCTCCTCGACAACGTCAATCACTTACGACATCAAAACCAACTGTCAATATGGTTGATACTGATCAACTAGTATCTGTGCCATTGGAACAAGTCAATTTTGATGCAAATAGAAGACATCTTTATCTACAGTTTCTTAGTGGCAAAGCTTTTACAGGTAAAAATTGATCTTTCAAACTACACGACTTGTTTTCTATAAGTTTGAATTTATTTAGATTATCTGAATGAACCACAATCTGAAGGTTATCCAGGTTATTCGTCATCATCATTAGCATCATCATTTAGTATATCAATTTTTTTTCGTAATCAACGTTTCCGTACACGGCCATTTGCATGTGCGGGTGAACCATATATCAATCAAGGATTTTTACTTGAACTTCATAAAGATAAACAGCAAGGTAAACATATTGAATAATCATTGATCATAAAAAAAAATGCATTTCTTGTGAAATACCAGCGAAAACCTACTGTCTTTCAGCATATTTCAAGAATTAAATGAAAGAAATGTACTGGGAAAAATAGAAAGAATGAAACTATCTATTTGAGGTTAGTTTATATCGTAGGTATGCCAACAGAGATATAGTTTTCAAAGCAAACTTTTGGTTTATTTGATTGATGGACACTGTTGACAACATACAACTAGAACCTAGCACGACGAAGGAAAACTGAAAAAATATCTGGAAGCATTTATAGTATGAATATCTAAATTAAAATCCCTCAAAATTCTATCAATATTAGCAAAATTCCATTTTCCTATTGTAATAAACTCTACTATGGCAAACGAATCTAATATATATATATATATCTTACTATTTCATTTAGGCGAATTTGGGGCTATGGCCGATATTCAAACACTATTGTCTATTTGTGATCGTGTTCATATTGTCCTAACAAGAAAAGATACAATAGGCGAAACACATCTCATATCCTCTCATTTTCTCGAATGGCGTCAAGTTCTTTGTGCACCAGTTAACAAAGTCAATCGAATACTTGAATTGAATGGCATCGGTAAGAAATTTTTCTCTTTGAAGAAAAGTTTTCATTATCAATAATATTTGTTTTCTAGGAGCTGAAAATAAACTACCTGTTGGTGTTGTCAATGTTTGTTTACAATTGATTCCACCATTAAGTGAATCCGTTTCAAACGATATTCTAGCAGCACAACTCGATCTTGAACATTCAAAAAGTACAGAACGAGAACGCTTATTTCTTATCTACGCTAAACAATGGTGGAAAGAATTTTTGGAAATTCGAGAAGAACATCGAACCAGACTTGTTAAAATATTTGGACAAGTAAGTTAATTTTCCATTTACAATCATCAATACAAGACGACAATATTATTTAGGATGAAAATGGTGTTAATCATCCAGTATTCTCTTTTGTTCAACCACTTCGTTCAGGTCGTTTACTTGATACACCACGAGAAGCAGCTCGTTTTGTTAGTTTAATTGGTTATGATCGGCATTCAGTTGTTGGTAATACTGATCGAACTGAAATGTGGACACAAACACATGCATTTCTTGCAAGAAACTGTGGAGTATATTGATTCAACTTATTTTTCTTCTCTACATGAAAATGGTTTATTTTTAGGATTGTGAAAATCATGCTGTTCTTCTATGCAGTCTATTACTTGGTTTTGGACTTGATGCGTATGTTTGTAAGTATTTCGAATTTTAGTAAGAATATCTTTGTAGCATTTTCATTGCATAACATCAAATTTATCAGTCTAGGTCATCGAGTTTCAATTTCATTTATTAAGAAAGCTTAGTATGTAAAAAAGAAATGAAGGTCAAGACGATTTCTATGGAACATTAAAGCATATATTTTAATTCAACTCAGGTTGCTAGTCTCCTCTTCATACTCATTCGCTCAGCTTTGTTTAAGTTCTAGAATAATAAGATCTTTTTTTTTCTCGTATCGATGATGTTAATTTATTTTATTTTTCAATTAAGGTATTGGAACGAAAGGTAAAAATCAAATTCATTCTTGGGTGGTAACAATCGGTGCTGATGATGTCTTCTTTTGGGAGAGTTTAAATGGCAACAGGTAGAAATTAAAAAAAATACATAATTATGTTTTTATAGAATTTATTTTATTCTATTAGATATCAGCATATATCTATTGATCCAGACGATCCTCCACTTGATAAATTATCATTGAATAATATTCATCATCCATATAAAACTATTGGCTGCTTATTTAATGATAAATCTTTTTATGCAAATATACAAGTATAAACAAAAACATCATCATCATAATCGATATTAAATTGGAATAATTTGTTTTTGTTTTAGCCAACATGTAATGTTGATACATGTGTATTTCGTTTATCAGATCAATCAAAGTGGAAAGCAATGTCACACGATGCAATTGCATCAGTAAATACTCCTGGCCTTGTACTCACTGCACCAGTTATGCCTCATTTAATGAGTAATACACTTGATCCAGTTGCATTATCAAATGATATTGAAAAACAAATTCGAGCTTTAATTATTCAACATAGAAAAGTAAGTATGCGACAAGTGAATGCCTACAGAAAATGAATAGTCATTACATTTTGTTGCTTCGATTAAACCGCTAAATCCTGCATAGAGAAATTTAGATTAATTTTATGGCTTCAATTAGCAAACAAATGAAACATTCCCTTCCGGAAATTAATAAAGAAACATTTTCTCAAGATTCTAACTAAACATGAAATTAGTTTTTGATCATGTCAAATTTTCGTAAGATCTGAATCAGTAGATTATACTCTTAAAGTACAACTGGATTATCAACGGGTTATCGTTAAGATTTCTTCGCAGAAATGTACAGCTTGTGTAAATAAGAGAATTTAGAACGACTATCAGATTCGAGAGAAAATCCTACCCAACTTCTTTCGTGTTTCAACTTTGCATAAGTCATACGCATATGGAATAATAAATGATATGCATGAAACAAATGAACGACAATATTCTGATGTAAAAGCTGCAAATCTCATGTTTCCTTCATGAGATATCTAATTACAGATAGATCCATCTACGAACAAAATTTTACATAAAACTATTGTAAATCGATTCCAGCGTGTATCTGATGCTATACAGAAAACTTTTACCACATAGTTGCCAAGACTTAAAGAAACTTGTTCTGTTCGAGTTGTCTTAATTGCATCATCGTATTTGTAGGATCTTGGCTATACAACACAATTCGATGATCATTTATCATATTTATTAAGTCCAGCACTTTCTTCATACGAATTGGAGCGTGTTACAGGTTTATCTGTTGGCAACGAAGAATTTCAAGAAGCCGTTCGACGTGCTGTTCCCAATGGACATGCTTTCAAAGGTTTTCCAATTCAATTTGTTCATAAAAATGCTCGCAAAGCATTTGTTTTTAGTTTGAAGTAAGATTGTGCATACTATATTTGACGATCATACATTCGACATTTTATTTTGCTTTCATATAGAAATGGTTTATGCGAAGAAATTGTATCTTGCCATGGAGATCAAGTACGTTTAGCTGTTCGTGTACGTGTATTTACTTATCCAGAAAATGCTATGGCTACTTGGATGATGTTTGCCTGTCGTTATAAGAGTGTTGGTTCAACAAAATAATAAATGTGCAAAACACTGTCAATTAGATGTAGCGTTTTGTTTCATTTCGCTTTCTTTTCTTTTTATTGTATTGTTTACACAAAACAATTTATTGAATATAGGGTCAAAAATAAACTACGTATAATACTAAAAATGGCAGTTGGTAGTTTATGAACGATCTACTCGGAAGCTGAATTAAGGAACACTACGAAAGCTCTTTATTAATTGGTTCATGCATGAAAATTGAATTATTAGAAAGATAGAGAAGAATACATAGTCGTTGATTTCATTATAGCTGTTCTTTACCAATTGATTTTGCAGCTTGTTGCCCAAGAAAAGCTGATGAATATTGAACACTAGAGGCGCTTGTTGGTTCAAATGCCGATGTATCCGCTTTGTCTGTTGTTTGATGAACAACATTGGCTATTGGCAAGCCTATTTGTGTTGATATTGAAGATTTTCCATCAGTATCGGGTGCTTCTTTTTGACCATCATGTGGATCAGAAAATGCACCATGTTGTGGTAAGCCTCGATTGAGTTCATCATTCATAGCTCTTGTTTTAGCATCAGGTAATAATCCAGGTTTACTGTTGCTTGTACTAACATAAACAGAATTTTGATTTTGTGCGCTACCGGTTATTGCATCAACTTCATCGTCATTAGCATCATTCAGTGATGTGTCAAGTTGAGATATATGAGTAGATACAGCACTAATAGTTGTTGTGGTAATATCTTTTCGATGTGGAAGAAGACGAACTGAATCAGCACGCTCCAAATGTGGCTTTTCGTCTTCGTCGGTGTCTGGTGGTGGTGGTGGTGTCTTTTCGTCAAGATGTATCTAAATCAATGAAAAGAAAATTTATGTTAGTTTTCTAAATAAATGATTGTCTCATTTAAAGATTATTTATGATACTATGTATTTAATAAAGTGTGTGAAGACAGACCCCGATGAGTGAAGTGAAACTCGATATTACTATATACTTTCCTGAAGGATCGATCTCACATATAACTAAAAGAAGCAATTGATTACCTTCTGATGTGGAAAATTTTCTAGTTCTTCTTCATCGTCGCTTCCGTCGTCATGTTCTGGTGGTGCGGGTGTTGATGATCGAGATACACCTGGTGTTGATGGAGCAGAAAATGTTTGAGTTGTCTAAAGGAAAAAAAATTTCATTATTGATCAATAAAAAAGAAAACACTTACAAATTTGAGCTGTTCTTCTTCAAATTCAGGATGAGTACGTTGAAGAACCATTTGACGAGCACGATAGTAATACTTAAAAACAAACATATGTTTATCAAAAAGAATATTCGTGTACCATCTTCAGAGTACAATTTTATGATAGTAGGATTATATTTTTGGTTCTGATCTAAGCCTAAAACATTTTCAATAAGTAGGATTTAGGTTTAGTTTCAAAAATGTTGGACAGAAGTGATACTACAAATCTGGCATAGACATCTTCCTCGAACATTGTCTTCTATGCAAGGGGGAAACAGCAGACTCCAACTACTCGGAGTGAAGTGGAGTCATCCGGAATCACATGGAGCCAGCTGATTGCATAGAATCACATATGACCCCAGGGAGTCATACTTAAACACGAGGAGTCACACGGAGTCTCTTGGAGTCACAGTAAGTATCGCAAAATCCCTGCTGATCTCGAGGAAATCATTATAGAAATGGAAAACTGATACGTTTTTACTTTTTTTCTGTCACATGTATCATTATATAAAATAGTTATTAGTCTCCTTCTTTGTCGGAAATTGTCCAAAAAAACTTCCCATAATAGAACAATATTACTCAGTACCTGGAAGTAGAATTCCCAAAGCTGAACTGTTTATTCTGTAATGAGAATTCAACTTCCGGGTGCTGAGTCATACTGTCAAGAGGGAAATGAGAGACTCCACCTTCTTGGAGTCAAGCGGAGTCTGCTGTTTGTCCCTTGCTTCTATGTCTCGATCTCAGTGGTGATCTATATTCAGTGTTCGAACATGCGACATCTCTAACTACAGAACTCAAGAGCACCATATGAAAAAAGTAGATGATCGATATGTTTTCTATTACTTATAGTGGTTATCTCATGTTGGTATAATTAAGAAAAGAATCTGTTCAATTACTAAAATCTTAATTATATTCAAAATAAAACTTTCGAAAATTATTCACCTTTGATTTTCTTTTCGAAATACAACGTATAAATATGAGAATATCATTTTCTATTACTCACGATTCCTAGCGTATTCCAATCTAATAGTTCACTAAGTCGTTCAGTACGATTACGTAAAATAATACGTTGTCGTCGTGTTAATAGTGAAAAATCAAACATATACTAAAGTATAGAAACGAAAAGTAATTTTAAAAATACAGAAGATTTCTTTTTCTTATTGATCTATTTACTCTTGCAAGCTGCTGACAAGATTCTTCTGCACTTTTATATCGTCTATCAATGACATAGATACCATATGTTTCTGGTTCATGTACATGTTCTTCCATAAAACATCCAAATCCACTTAGATTTGTTGAAATATTTGGTACACCCATTACAGTACATTCAGCTGGTGTATAGCCCCATGGCTCATAATACGATGGAAACACACCCAAATGGCAACCACGTACAAATTCTTCATATTCAAGTGGTAAAAGTGGACTTGTTGAGCGTAAAAATTCTGGATGAAATATAACTTTAACTCGATCAGTACGTGCATTAAATAATTGACAACGACGTAATGCATTTAATATGGGATCATTAACATCGTCACATACATTATGTGTACAAATAGGTGGTAACGATGATCGCTAATTGAAGAAAAAAAGAATAAAATTTTTAAATGAAATTTAAAACATAAGAGAAATAAACTACTTACTTGTGAAGCGTAAATGCATTTTTTTAATTCAATTAAATCACTTGAGTATAAGATTTGCTCTGCTTTTGGAAGATGACCTCTGAAATCAATTCATAAAACAGATATTTTATTTCACTTCGACTGGTGTATCACTAACGATGAAAAATGATCTTGTCTTTCTGAAAAAGGATCGTTGAAAGTTGTATTTTTTATTAAAAAATTGCATAGTTTCACTCAAACTCGACGATACCAAATCCATCGGTTAGTTGTCGAACGTTCAAGATGTAGTTGAGAAAATTCTGCATACTACGTCTAGATAGTACTAAGATCTAATCTTTGTTCGTAGAATAATACGGATAGTTTCACAGATTTTAGTAAACTGACTATTCAAATTTGTAGGAGCTATTAGTGAACACTTATTAAATTTTGACACATTTGTCTTTTTCTGTTTCTTATTCACTATGAAAATATAATTATCTGATGAGAGTAAATACTAAAGATAATAAACTATCCAAATCAAACGAGGGAATTCGTTAAACATATTATTATTTTGGGGTTTCTGATTTCCACATTTTTCTAAATTATATTGATTCATCGAACTCAAGTTGTAATGCAAGGTTTTTTTTCTTATCAAGTACATATTTTAGCATCTAATCAAATTAACAAGATAACATATAAATTGACACGTAAACTTTAAATGAGTGACAGCAATCAATAGATTAAAATATAAGAAGAGAACAGCTGCTTGTATTATAAATGTAGTTCAAGGGATAGTTTATTTCATATTTTGAATGTTGATTTTTTGATAAAAAAAAACTATCTTATCGTCACATATTAAGAATGAGCGAATAACATACACGATAACCCGTAGTAGGTCACATGTCATAAAAACATTTCAATTATAGAAGTATTGCTTCAAGCAGCTCTTAACCTTTTAAATTTTACTCGTGAAGTGTTCTGGGTTAAATCAACATTTGTTTTTAAATTTATATGAAGCCTTTCAAGTGTTTTTACATAAAAATTTAACTCAACGTTGATGTTTTCTTTCCTAAACAATAATTTGATCTAATTCTTTTATGTTTTATCTAATGACATATACTTTAAAGTTTCGAGCATGCCAGGAGAAACAATCAAAAGTTTGTGTAGAGCATTGATCTATTTTGTTTTTCATTCGATTTTTATGAAGCTTAAAAAGGCATATTTATGATTGTAATAAATGACTTAAAGATATCTCCTACATGGGAACGAGAAAGCATTAACTATGATAAGAAAAGAAAAAAGACACAAAACCGAATTTGTACTTTCAGTTTTATTAAATAACAATTTCATATTTAGAAGTACTTACAATATTTTTCAAATTATCAAAAATAATCATGATCGTATTTTTTAACAAATTATAAGTCAGAATGAGAAATAAGCATTGCAGCGTTGTTTCTGAAAAAATCGTTTCTGCACAGTTGAGTTCTAATTGTGATGAATATCAACGATACATATATCAGACTATGATATCTCCTATTGGGACAAGTCGTTTTTTCTATCGAATTCATATGAGCACTTTTTTCTTAATTTGACCAATTATCAAATTCGTTCTTTTGATACCAATCGATTCACTTGATTTTTGATACAATAATCTCACAAATGTATTTCTGATTTTCATATTGATAAATTCTTTTCTACGCATGATCTCCCTGTGAATAGTGCAAGTGTGAGCATCTGCATGCTAGAAATTTTTGTTTTCGATTATATTGACATCATTGATTTTTATCTGCTATCACTATAAAAATGTTCCCAGTGACCTTTAACCTGCACTTCGAAGATATATTATAGGTGAAAATATCTACATTTGCTCGCACTATATTTTTTAATAAAATAAATAAGTTCTAAAAAGACTAAACTTACTTTAGACAAATTTCATACAGTCGTTTTCCGATATCGCTTTGAACATTATGAACTGTATCTCGAAGCATTTTTGCAACAGATTGACCACGTAACGATTCAATATTGAAATTATTTGTAGGCGTCGGAAAAATCATAAATGCTACGATAGTTACATCAGAACCGGAAGACTTTAGAACAAAAATAATTTAAATAGAAATGAAAATTTCAAAGTCGAATCTTCTACTTTGAGCATATGATTTAATCGAGCTAGCGATTCTATAAACATATCAGCGCCTTTGTTTGAAAATTCATATCGGCCGGCGATAAAAAAATATAATGTTTTATCCAAATCGAAATCATAATGCCTAAATAAAAATCGAATTTCTAACTAAAAATGTTGGCAAAACAGCAAATAAATCATTTTGCAAAGAGAAACCAATCATCGTAGTTTGCTTTTTTTTCAGCATTTCTACCCTAGGAAATATCCTTGTACGAAATTCGATATTCTTTCTTGTGATATATTCAATGGATCTAATGACCCCATCGAGTGTGTTTTACGTCGATATAATTGAATATTAAGTCCATTTGGTGTTAAAATATCTATGTATAAACATAAACATTTACCCATAAAAATGACCACGTACGAACGCATTAAGTTTTTCTTTATTTTGTGCATGTAAGTTTTGAAATTCATGCAATGCAGCAAAAGTTTGAACGTTTAACCCATTAGGTGTTAGTATATCTGATTGCAAAAATGAAATAATAATAATAATAATAATAAATGTAGTAGCAAAATAAATAAGAGTAGAAATTGTTACCTGGTTTTTTATTTAATAAAAATTCTGATTCAATACCAGTGATTTTTGAAACAGTTGTAAATACATGTGCACATGATGCAGCAGCACGCTCAATACAATATCGATGATAAATTTGACGATCACCGGCTTCTTTATCAAGATTGAACTATGATAAAAAGTATTGTATTGAAACTTTTCATAGAAATATTCTTACAAAACTTAAATTATTATAAAAATCTGTTGAGCCAGCACATAGATATCGTCCTAGAAGCGTTGCATGTGTTGTAAATATTAATCCACAATCATAACCACGAAGTCGTGTCATTATAAGGCCAACACCAGCTAACCATTCGTGAAAATGAGCGATCACGTAACATTTTTGTATTCGTTTTACATGTTCCAGAAACTCAAAAAAAAAATGAATTAATATAATTATAGATATTGTTTTCTTCATGTCAACTTACTGTACCGATAAACCAAAAAACACAAAAACCGAATAGTAAAGCATCGTTCGACTCTCGATCAAAATATGGAATACCAATATGAGCATGTTCAAAGAAATCACCTTTCCAGCCATCCAGTCTATTTGCTGCTGAACTAAGATCAAAAAGAACAACTTGAGGAAAGCCCTCAATCAACCAATTGCCCGTTACGACCTATATGATAATTGGTTCAAAAAGTATAATCAGTTCTTTTTTCTATATCAAAATCAAATTTACATTAACACCATTACGTCTCATATCGTTAACTGCTTCACGTAGAGCATCGGTTTTCGGCTCACTTATTTCAACTTCAGTTTTAACAAATGAATCATTATATGGACCCAAACAAATATAATTATTTCCATATTCTTTTTTTGTTATAGGTACTTTTGAGCGAATAACAGTATAAATTCCACCCACTATAAGCTTTATTTAAAAATGAAAAGTAACGTTCTTTTAAAGCTTACCTTTGTTAGCAACTTCCCATGAGACTTCTAAAAGCCATTTATTCATTTGTTCAGCTGCTTCACCATTGTCCAAGCACTTTTCAAAACGAATACCTTGAAATGTTTTTAAAGATTTAGCAGCATTTTTTATTTTTGAAATCGACATATTTTTATTAAATTTCGATTAACGCATATAAATTATATTGTAAACACACCGGTAATATATCGATCGCTGATAAGAATGAAGTCAAAGGTAAAAGGCAAAGGATAGAAAAAAAAGCTATCAATAATGATATCTAGAGAGAAAAAAACAACAGCTAATAAAGAACACTACGTAGAAGTAAACAACTATTATTTATTCGAGTCTTTCTCGACTTTGAGACCCTCCAATTATTTGCGAACATCTTTTTCAGACATGCGCGTTAAGCACGAGTCAATGAATACATGGAGTGCAATTGAGTACAGTACAATACTGAGAACCTAGAATAATTTCAACTGACTCGGTGCGATCCAATAAATAATGAAAAGAAATTATTTTAGAACATGAAAACTTTAGTTACTCATTCAGACGTTCTGATCAGCCGTAGTTTTGCAGAAAAATATCTAAGCATTCAAACAGATGGCGTTAGATGTTGACAACGGTCCTTACTTATCTTACTCTATATATATACGATGTAGGTATTCTCACATGGTAAATAGCAAAACATTTTATCACTAGGACCAATTCTCGATGTCGATAAACTGAGTTCGTTCTGCACAGAAAGAAACGAAAAGATCTTTATGCATGAGCCAGTTTAAATGTTAATCCGTTAGAAATCTATACTACATCGTACACCTAGGCAGAGCCCGCTGGAAGGACCTAATATTGGGTGGATGTAAGGGAGTGTTTGGAACAAAGTTCGCAAAAAAAAGCTCAAAACTTACAAAAAATCTTCTCCTGCTGCTGAGAAAAATTGAAAATTTTCAATTATTGGGGGGGGGGGGGGGGGGGGGGGGGGGGGGGGGGGGGGGGGGGGGGGCCCCCCCCCCCCCCCCCCACCCCGCACTTCCGCGGGCTCTGCACCCAGGTCGAGCATTCCGACCGCCGAGACCCCGCAGGATACTCCAGGAAATATACTGGAAAGTCACCATATCCTGCAGGAAAACACGAGAAATCGTAGGAACATAGAAGCAGTATTCCGGTCAAAAATATGGGCGGATTTTTCCGACGGATTACTGCCAAATTCCAATGCTTTCCGGTAGGAAATGGTCGGAAATCACTGGGGAAAAGTCCGGAAAATTTTCCAACCGGAATACTGCTTCCACAAAATCAACGGAACTGACCGGAACCGGCCGATTCCAGGCCAGACTGTTCGACCTGGATCATAGTATTATATCTGTGCATACACATATGAATTAGAATTAAGTGAATAACGACACGGGTGTGAAGGTGAAAAGAAAACTCACATCCATATCCTAAACTGCAAATTTTTGTTTGTACATATGATAGTTTTATTTATACACTAGACCATCAAATCAATAATAAATTACATGAAGTCATGTTTGATTCCACTAATCTTTGCAGTTAGAAAGCCAACATGTCATACATAAAAACGACATCTGAAATCTGTTCTTCACCTTGTTTCTTTTCTAGTTAAAAATCGTACAATAATAAGTTGTTAGAGTTGGGTATCATATTCTTGCTGCCAGCATGCCAAATGTAATTTCTGTTATCTTTTATTGCATTTTTCTGGATCTTATTGATTATTTTTATTATTCCAGTGGGTTTTTTTCATATTTTATTATTTCAATAAAATGGACTAATGTACAATAGAAATTTGACGACAAATAAAAAGCATTTATGTTGATACATATTGACTTCTAAATCGATAGTTTTTAATACGTTGAACTAAATTAAGAAATTCTGGTCGATATTTTGGTGATGGTAAAACAAAAATAAATAGATTCATCGTAAGTGGTACCAACGAAAGAAAATAAGCAGTAATATAAGCTGTATTTTGGCATCGTAATTTAATACATGTGAAATAAAATGTTGAAATAAGCCGAGGTGTATTGAAAAGAACAAGTATATAACAACTGATAATCGCGTGTTTATTACTAAATAAAACATTTTTAAAGTTAACCCAAATTGAAATATGTTTATTTAATGCTGATCTGTTTTTTGTTAAGACTAAAATCCAACACATAGGTAAAATTAGATTGATTAAATAAGGAACAATGAAATGATATATATTAGTTATAGTTTCAAAATTAACGAATAATTGATTTGGAAATTTAAGTAAACACCAATAACGGTTCATTGAATAGATTAATTCACGATTAAATGGTTCATATAGAATGATAGTAAAATGATAGAATAGTAATGAAGGTATTATTAATTTCGCTAATTGCCGACTATGCACTTTATTAAATGTAATACCTTGATAGATAACCATAGTTCGTTCTAATGTTGTACATGCTGTTAATGAATCATATGAAGCATGAAGAGCTTTTCGAACATATTCGAAAATAAAACAACCTATTTTTCCACTAGTATTTTTTTCCATAATTGTATGAATAACGACAATTGTTACACATAACTGTCCGATAATAGAAATCCATAGACGATAAATACCACTACCCATTTCACGTGCATTTGATTGACAAAATGTACCAACAGCAAATAGATTACATAAACTGCCGAAGAAAAAAACACTAAGAATGATACTAATTGGTATAGATTGAATTGAGCAGAATAAACTTTGTATTGATAAAATACCATAATATTCTGTAGTAAATTGACAAAATGGCCCGTAGAAACACGATGAGCAGGAAGATGATATGGAAGAATTTAATAAACAAAACTCGTCATCTGCAGCCATTGGAGAAATTGAAGTTTTCTACTTACTCTGACGGCAAATGCGCTGATGAAGAAAGAAAAAAACAATTTTGGAACCAAGAATTTTCTAATATGAAAATAGAATAGAAAGAACAGCCGTTCATGCTCCAATCGCATGAAAGGAAAAGGAAGAGGAGAATAAAAGAATCCTACATAGTTACTCTACGTATGGTAGCCTATGGGAGATAATTAAAACGTTTTAAAATACTATGGTTTTGTTTTTAAATAATACATGTCGTATTAAAGCCAATTATATTATGCGAGAGAAAAAAAATTGCTTGATTATATCGAAATCATAACACAGATGTCTTTATTCATTAGACTGTGCTTGACGACAAGCATAAAAAAAACTGCTCAGCTTGTATTGTCTAGAGTAGTATATCTGTAATGGACAGGAGCATAAGTCAGGTCTCAGAGCAGGGGGGGGTGAAACTAATTTTTCTGTTTTGGTGAGCAAAAAAAAACGAAATTTTCAAAAGCAGGGGGTGTTACGCCCCACGCCCCCTCCCCCCCCCCTATTTACGCCGCTGGTGATGGAAAAGATATTATATCAATTCATCAAATAGAAATATTGTAGTTTGTTTTTAATATGAGGAACAATTTATCGATAGACATCAATCTGGTAATTTGGTGATAGAGATTACACATGATTGATTTTAGTACACCATCCAGCTGCTGAATTGATTATGTTCTGAATACTATCAGATCTGTTGATTGATGATATTCAACTAACTTATAGTTCATTGAAGTTATTGGAAGAAGCGAATCTTGTTTTATAAGAACTCATGCCCATTGTATACAGAAATAGGAAAACAAGAGAAAGATAAAAAGCAAAACACTATTAAAATGCTTGCCTGAATGCAGACTGAAATTTATAGTCGGTTGTTTATTCATGGTAGGATAATATTTTCAACTAAACTTCATATCTGAGCGAGAAGAGATTGTCAAGATAGATTAGGCAACCTTCAAGACTGGAAGATTTTGGTAGATTTAACACTCTTTTGCTTACCAATTCAAAATATCTCAACTATTGAGAGAAATGCGCTAATTTCAAGTTGCAAAATGTTGTTCAAGACAAAAATAAACTTTGTTTTCTTTATGTTGACCCATTTAAGTAGTTACAAATAGTATATCAAAGTATTCTGTATCAGTAATGATATCATAAAGAAAAAGTCAGTTAGAATATTTCCTTGCATTGTTTGTATGCATTTCGGTATTACTTCGAATCTGTTTTATAACTATGCGCCCTCGCAATAAAAATGTTGCCTTCCTCAAATTTTCTCATTGAATCTTCGAAATTCAATTTATTTTAAATAAAATTTCTCTTCAAATGCTAGATAACATAGAGCTACATAGGATAAGCGAAATATGCTCACTTTTTTTAACTAACGAAACATGTTTCTAGATTATTCCTTGTGCCAATTTTATCGTTTTTCCAAACAATACAATCCATGGTGGTATGTTCCAGTTCTCACTTCGGATTTAAATTGATGTTCAAATATCGAATGGTAGATTACGCAGACTATTTCGTTTTCGTTAAGAAGAAAACCCTTGAGTTTGAAGTAGATCTTTCTAAATTCAGGAAGATTGTGTAAAAATTCATTGATAAGATTTATTACGTGATTTTTATAACTTCGGGAGAATATTTGTACTATCTTGTGTTCGATAATGAAACACCAAAAATGTTTATGCAGAAGTTTTGCTAGACGCATCTACAACTGTAATTTTTAATTTAAGATACATAGAATTCTATAATCAACTATATTTAATTAAAATTAATAATCTTCTTCTTATATTTCTCGTAGCTGAAATTGTATTATTTTCTTTTCTGTACACAAAATTATTTGATAGTATTTTACGACCTTCGATTGCTCCATAACCAGTGTTACAAAGCGAAAATGAGTCATCAAATAAGAGTCTCCATATGCATCGTATGCTTGTGTCGTTTTTTGTGTTCTTTTTATTTTATGCTTCGTCATGTTGACGAGTTCGACTTGAAGTATAAAGTGCTGTAGGCGCTCATACTATTTTCTTTTACTATTGTTAAAGTCTTTTTTTAATGATAAATTAGAACTCCCACGTTTTGTTCTTTAGTTAGAATTGATATAGACAATAGCGAAACTTGATTACTATGCAAGAAAACTACTTAGAACTAAATGAAGACTAGTGAATCCAACTTGAATTAACTAATCTTAATTTACTAATCCAATAAATTTCTTCCTTCTCAATTACATTCTTCCTGTATTGATACATCCTTTTGTTGTCGTTTACTATAAGCGAGTAAGCTTTTATTGATATTTTGTCAGCATATTCATTTGTATCACTAGCAAATAATCTTTAAATAATCCTCGAAGGGAAAGTTAAAATACTTTGAATGACCAACAAAGTCAATACTGGTTATCACGACTTGAATTTTCTGCTTTATTTTTCGATTTGAGTATCATTACACAGTGCACTGTTGTTTTTCATTGCATTTTGCGTACGTATCGAAGACAAAACATGTTTAAGCATTTTTTTCAATTTATTATTTGACATTCATGTTCTTGTCACTTTTTAGATTTTCATTGACAATGGGTTCAAGTAATACTCGTTTTCGTATGACAGGACAAGATATTGTAAAAGAATGCGATGGCAATAGTGAAGTTAAAAATTTACACATTCTTGTTACTGGTGCAACATCTGGTATTGGTATTGAAACTGGTCGAATATTAGCACTTGCCGGAGCAAACGTTTATCTGGTGGGTAGAAGTGAGACAAAATTAAATGAAGTTCGTGAAAATATAAGCAAGGAAATACAGAAACAATCATCAACTGGTACTGTACAAGGTGCAATTTGTGATTTAAATAGTTTAGCTAGTATTAAACAATTTGCAGAAAAGTTTATCAGGGATAAATCACCTTTGAACATTCTAATTCTTAATGCTGGAATTCTTAATTTTAACTTTGCTCAAACTGTTGATGGCCTTGAACAAGTAATGGGTGTTAATCATATAGGCCATGCATATTTAACACAATTACTAATGCCTGCTTTGATAGCTAATGCACCATCGAGAATTGTTATTGTTTCGTCACAAGTACATGTAGGTTCGCCTTTAAATTATCAAGCATTGGAACATATGAGCAGTACAGCAGATAATGCAAAAAAGGGTTGGGGTATGATAAGCAGTTATCAACAAAGTAAATTAGCTAATCTACTTTTTGCTCGTGCAATTGCATCACGATATAAAGATAAACAAGTTACAGCTTATTCGCTTCATCCAGGTGTTATTGATACAAACTTAACTTCTAGTATACCATTGTCTAGGCTACTTACAATACTCTATAAGAAAAAAACGCCAGAACAAGGTGCAGCTACTACTGTGTATTGCGCATTGAAGCCTGGTTTAGAAAATGAAACAGGACGCTATTTCAATGATTCAACTGTTACACATTTAGCGGATAAATGGACAGATGAAGATATTAATACACTTTGGGAATGGACAGAAAAAGTCATTCGAGAACGAACAACTAATTTATAATCAGGAACAAAATAGTTTTTGAACATTTTTCATCGTTGAACATTTTCAGTTGCTCAATATACTATTTATTTTATTAAACATGAATTCGAATGTTCAAACGTACTTGGTTTTTGGATAACCTTAACAAGGTCTATTCTAATCACATATGATTAGATATGAGCGAAATCAATTTAAATTCAGCGATTACGGAAATAAAGGACTCGAAAAATATAAAAGTGTTTCATGCATAACTGAATGAAAAATAGTTGAATTGTTTTGACGCCTTGTGTTTCTCTCTAATTTTATGTGGAATTTTGTTTAATTCAAATATCACAAAAAAACAAAAATATTCATCTATCTTATCTAAGTAGACAGCGTTGTATATCTATATATATTGAAATACTTTAAAAGTTCAGATATTCTTCTTTTATGAAAATACGTAAATCGCATAATAATTAATTACCTCTACCAAGGACATTCTATCATTTAAGCCACGAATATCAAAGTGATGTAATTTTGCTTTTTGATGTAGAAACAGTTCATGAGGGTTGTTATTACGTTTATCACTAAACGGAGCAATGAAATATTGCTAATGAAATACACCCTCGAGACTCTAATATAATTGTTTTGCTATGAAAAAAGAACTTCACTTTTAAGAATTTTTCCTGACGAGCACTAGCTACTATTTGAATAAAGATGTCTCTCTGTAGCAAACAATTCAATGCCATCTGCGTCTGGAAAAGTCTGTTCATATTCCATTGGTTTTCCTACTATGTCCACGGGGAAATCAACTATTATACTTTTTTACTATTTGGTAAATATAGTAGAAGTCACATACGTTAGGGATCTAATAGGTAAAATCGGTTGTTTCTGCAAAATCAAATTTTTTTTTACCAATTTAAAATAATGTCAATGGCTTTGCCACGTTATTTGAAATATTTATCATTAATTGTGATGTTTATTGCTGTTCTTTACAAATATGAGATTCCATCAGGTTCATCAACTGATAAAAAAACTTTGATGCTAACTAAAGTAGCAACGGTTCCGTATGATCGAGCTCATGTATATCAAGTTATAACAAATATAAATAAATATGCATCGGTTCGTTTGATTTAATTGAATCTAAAATGTATACTTAAAATTGTTTTAGTGGTATCCAAATGTGGCCCGTGTTGAACATATTCAATTGGTTTCATCGCATGTACTTAATCATGAAGGTGAAAAATATCGATTAATTACAAGATTACCAATACTTGGTGAAAGCTTTCTTTCTTTCATACTTATTACTGATTAGTTCGATTTTGTATATTTAGGCGAAATATCATCATCTTTAATTATACATACAGATGATAGACCCAAAAAATTTATTTATTCTGTTGATACGTGGTTACTGGAAATAAATTCAATTGAATTAAAAGACAGTTTAACAAGTTCGAATGCAACTCGCATTGAATGGACAGTTCATACACGACGACGTAGCATTCTTTTTCAAGTAATATATTCAGTTGTTTGTGTTGATTATTCATTATTTTTTTTTTCATTTTAGTATGTTCTTTTACCATTTGCCAATTTTTATAAAAACCAAATCGTTCGTGAAGCATTATTTTCATTAATAATGCAAATTCGTGATCTTTAATTATTATGAATATTATTCTAGTACATATACATTCCAAGCTGCTTTTTCAAGTGATTCAGTTTGTTTGCTTTCATTGTTTTGATTATTCCTTTTATGTCAAATAATTTAATAAAAGAATTAAATAAATTCCGACCATTAATCAAAATGAGACTGTATCAGTCGATTTATTCATCTCAGTTAAGTTATAAAAAATAAATAAAAGTGTTTTTACAAACTAATTATTATTAACTCACTCGAAGTGTACAATAAATGTTCATGAAAGCACCTAAAAATATAGGCAGTTGTGGCACGTGCTGTAACTGTTTATACCTATTAGGTTTCTCATCGTGCAATGTATGATGGTTCTCTGTGTAACATTAAGTTTTTCTACAAAAATTAGGTCAAGCATGAATCCAATTTCTCAAGACATATCAGTGACATAAGCATCGAGCTTTAGTTTCAATAATTCAATTGTTACCTGAAGACATCCCACAGAAGTGTAAAATATAGTGAATAATGGTTAGAGATTATTGGTTAATAGTTCCTGATTGTATGCTTATAAGTTGAATTTACAAAATATGCTTCATAGATATCAAAAGAAAGAGAGACTAAAGACAACTATTGCAACGGAGATAACCTTTAGTGACATCGTGAAAGATGTCTCTGAATACGTAATATATATAAATAAATTTCACTTGATCAAATTTCTATTGGTTTCTTTTTTTCATCCATACATAAATCAATCAAAGGCAATAATAATTTTTCTACGAGCACTGCACATTGATTTAGTAAAAATGATGTACTATTGTTACATCATCACGTGCACGTCTAGATATTATTTCTTAATTTAACGTACGACTCATTATTTTAGATATGTCGGAAATAAATACATTAGCATTCGTTAAAATGTTTCTTCATCTAGCCAAATATCCCGAATTGGCTGTTAATGGTGTTTTATTAAGCACTCGAACAGATTCAACAAAAGATGAAGTTGATTCAGCATCATATTTAAATTTTGTCGATTGTATTCCATTGTTTCATGGTGTTCTTTCATTATCGCCTATGCTTGAAATAGCATTATCACAAGTAATATATATAGAGAGAGAAAGAGCAAATAAAAGAATTCCAAAAATGTTTTATTTAATATAGATCGATGCTTATTGTTCAACACGAAATTTAACTATTGCTGGTTATTATCATGCTAATGAGAATTTTTCCGATACAAAGTATTTTAAGAGAAATCTTTTAATGGTATATCTTGAGGATGTTTTTTCTAAATTTTAGTCCTAATCTTACCGCTGCAAGAATAATGGAAAAAATCAGAGAAAATAATCCAAACGCTGCTTTAATTATGGTAATTCGTATACTAGTTAGAGTACTATTAGACTAATCGATGATTTATTTGTGAAATTTAGATCGATAATACTCTTGTCGACTTAGATGATGGTAGTCGGTTTTATAATGTCTTCTTATGGAATGATAAAGCATGGAAAAATACCAATGATTCGTAAGTGTTTAATTTGAAGTATAAGAAAAATTTCCTGAAGTCTTTTCATTTCATCGATCTAATTGAATGCGTCATAATTACTCAGATTCATAGAAATTGCGTTTTGTGTTCTAAAATCTCGCTTTGATGAAAAAATTAAGTAAATATATTTATGAAGTACTACTATTTAACCTACACTTACAGTAATATAAATGTGAGTGACGATTTAGGTTCCATTAAAATTTAAATACTCATATGAAAGCAATATTTTATACTTTCAGAGCGAGTACAATTAGCTATTACAGGATTTTATTTTCAATCCGAAGTTCAGGTCAAAATTTTGAAAAAATGACAGTAGTGTGAAACTTGAATTCAGTTGAAAAATGAAATTTTCAATTGAATTCAAGTTTGACATATATACTCAAACTTGACTAGAAAATAATTTTCTCGTTATTTTTTTTAGACATATCGTCGGTGATGAAAGTCGTTTGTGTGCATTAAGTCTTCTTAAACGTAATCAACATCGTCAATTAGTTGATTTCGATAATCATTTAGATTCCATCTCCAATGATTGGCGTAATCCGCATATACAAAACGAGCTTCAATCAATCCCTTTTTAGCAATAATCTAATCGGTCTAGATGTTTTTGTTTTTGTTGTTGTTGTTGTTTTTCTCTGTTTCTTCATCGTTCTATTGCGCATTTTTATTATTATTCTTACAGATATTCGCTTAAAAACAAAACAACAAGCAAATTCAATAAGTACATGAGATTAATAGAAATATGTTGTTCTTTTTTTCTGTTTTTGATGAGCATTTTTCATCGAACAATATTCAATCGTCATTATTTATTATTATCAAAACGATTTCTTGCATCATCAACAGCATCGGAATTAAAGTTAAGTGATAGCTGTGTTCGACGTCTACAAGCCATTTGTAAAGATAAATCCGATAAACTTCGCGTGTTTGTTGAAGGCGGTGGTTGTTCAGGTTTTCAATATAAATTTACAATTGAATCAAATAATAATCTAAATAAAGAAGAGCAAGATCGCATATTTGAACGTGACGGTGCACAAATAATTGTTGATAAAGATTCATTAGAATTATTAAAAGGCTCAACAGTTGACTATCAAGAAGAATTAATTCGATCAAGTTTTCGTATTTTGAATAACCCAAACGCTGAACAAGGTTGCTCTTGTGGTACATCATTTTCAATCAAATAAACAATGGCAGCATCAACTCTTGTCTCAGGTTCCATAAGAGCAATTAATAAAGGTAGACGTATTACAAATATCCCAAGTCGAGCTGCTATCACCCTAACCGAAACAGCTGTCCGTCGAGTTAAAGAAATTTTAAATGCTAGACCTGATTCTATTGCACTCCGTATTGGTGTTCGGCAACGTGGTTGTAATGGTTTATCTTATACATTGGATTATGCAAAAGAAAAAAAGAAAATGGATGAAGAAGTGAATCAAGATGGAATTAAATTATTAATTGATCCAAAAGCACAGTTAACATTATTAGGTACCGAAATGGATTTTGTACAAGATAAACTTGCAAGCGAATTTGTATTTAATAATCCAAATATCAAAGGAACATGCGGATGCGGAGAATCGTTTAATGTTTAACACTAACGAAAAAAACGTGTTGTGTTTTATCTATATATTTTTTTTAAAATAAAAACAACTTGACTTGAGTTTTTTGTTTGTTTTGCGCTTTCTCCTTGTCCCATTTTGTTATGCCCTGCCGAAATTGAGAACTTTAATTTCTAGTAATTCTAGTTTCTTTCCTAAAAAATTCTAGATGGGTCGACGAGGTCATAAAAAACAAAAGGCTTTTCGTCGTGCTGTAAGTTTATTATTTCTTTATTTGTCGCTATTAAAAAGAGAAGATTAATAACCATAGACAGTCGATGCTATTCGAAAAGCTCGTCTTGAAAAGCAAAAAGGTACTAATGGAGAACCAACAACAGCAACTAATGAAGACCAAGCAACATCTGAAGATCGCCCACGTGTTAGCAAATATGAAGACATTGTTAAAGAAAATGCATTATTTGAAAAATACTATAAGGTAGAAAAAATAAATCGTAAAATTTTATGGCATTCTATTTTTAATCCAATATGTAGACTATGAATCTTGTACCGGATGATGAATGGGATGCATTTCTAGCTGCATTAAAAGAACCATTGCCAGTTACGTTTCGTGTAACAGGTTTTCGTACACATGCCTTTGCTGTAATGCATCTGATTCGAGAACGATATTTTCAACCACTTCAATCATCAACAGCCATTGAAAAACCGAAAGAACTTGTTTGGTCTGATTTAAATAAAGATTGAGATTTTTTTATCATAGGCTTCTTTTTGTTTTTAGGTATCCTGGTAGTTTAGCGTGGGAGTTAAATCTTAGTCGAAATCAATTACGAAGTCATCCAGAATTACAAAAACTTAAAGAATTTCTCTATGAACAAACGGAACATGTAAATTATTTTACCTTAGAATATTTTAATTCTATTCATTTACTTATTTATTCTAGGGAAATATCAGCCGACAAGGTAATAAGGAATAAATATACAATGAATGATTTATCATATTTTGAGACTTTAGTTCGGTTCTTTATGAGAATTATACAGACAAATACTGACTTTGTTAACTCGCATCTAAGTAGGAAATCGGTAAAGTACAAAAATCTCAGTATACACTCAAGAACTGGATTTGAATTTATCAATTGTGCGTTTTAGCCATTTCCCCTAGTTACACTTAGGTTTTGGTTATCTTATCAATACTACAGATTTCACAACTTGATGAATCCTTTTCAGGTATGCAAAGTCAGTTTTCAAAAACATTTATTCAAGTTTGCAAGGCTTGGAAATATTTTCCTCATTCTTTTAAAATTCTACTGTTTATCATATGAAACTACGCATAAACTTATATATGTATATATATATATAATTTGTAGAAGCGGTATCGATGATTCCACCTTTGGTTCTTGATATTCAACCTCACCATAAAGTATTTAAAAAAAATAAAACAACACTTTATATACCTATAATACATTCTATCGTATTTAGATCTTAGATATGTGTGCTGCTCCTGGTTCGAAAACTGCTCAGATAATTGAATGTCTTCATCGTGATGAATCTAATCCCATTCCAAGTAAATTAGTCTGCTTTGTCTCCATCAATCCTTAACTATTGTTCATGTTAAGGTGGTTTTGTTATTGCTAATGATGTTGATAATAAACGATGCTATACACTTGTTCATCAAGTTAAACGATTGGAAAGTCCATGTTTTGCTATTATAAATCATGATGCATCAAATTTACCGAATTTAAAATTTGATGTAAATTATTTTATTCTTTCATCTTCTTTTCTCAAGATCTAAATGAATATTTATTTGTATTTGAAAGAATGGCAACATATCATTTGATCGTATTCTATGTGATGTACCATGTTCCGGTGATGGAACACTACGAAAGAATCCTGATCTATGGAAAAAATGGAATCCAGGACATGCATTCAGTTTACAATCGATACAATTACGTATTGCAACGCGTGGTATTCAACTTCTTGCGCCCGGTGGTCTTATGGTTTATTCAACTTGCTCATTGAATCCTATCGAAAATGAATCTGTTGTTGCTCAATTATTACAAGCTTTTCAAGGTCAAATATCGCTTGTAGATATTGGTGATAAATTACCAGGCCTAAAAACGATACCTGGCCTAAAGAAATGGTGTATCATAGGAAAAAATCAAGAAATTTATAACTCATTTGAAGAAGTACCGAAAAATATGCAATCATTAGCTCGGCCCAATATGTTTGCACCTTCAAGTGATGTTATAGAACAATTAAATCTTGAACGATGGTAATTTCATTTTTCCTGTTTGACGATCAGATAATTCTAATGTGAAGAAAAGAGAATCAGTATGGAAAAGTTGTCATTTTTATTGATTAGACAAAAGTGTATCCGATCTTCTCGTTGAGTGAACATTCGATATGAATACCTCTAGCGAGACAGTCTGGTGGAAAAAACTTTTCTAGTAGCATTATTGACATACATATACGAGATTCATCAACAATATCAAAGCTGATTATAATAATTTCAAAGAAATTGTCTTTCCTTTAATTTTAGCATTCGTCTGTTACCTCATCATCAAAACACAGGTGCATTTTTTGTTGCACTGTTTCAAAAACATGATAAAACCGTTGATGTATCACAATCAACTGAAGACGAAGTGTCTCAAAAACGTCCAGCAGAAGAAATTGTATTTAATGAAGAAGGGTATGTTAGCTACTGATGAAGTTACAAATCTATTATTTCATATTTTCATTTAGAGCTAATTTTAAACGTGCTCGATATCATCGTGAAAATCCATTTATTTTCTTTAATGAAAACGATATCAAAGGATTTTGGAAAGACATAAGGTGAATATCGAGTTTTACGATCATATTGAAAATAAGATTTTTCTTGATTTTTCTAGCGAATTTTTTGGTGTTAATTCATCGTTTCCAGCTGATCAATTAATGACAAGAATTGCAGCTGACAGTGGTCGAAATATTTATTTCGTATCCGATAGTCTTAAACAAATAGTCACTTTGAATCAAGATCGTATTAAAGTAAATATTCTTTAATTTTATTTACTCTACATAATGAATCTGACATTTTGTTTTCTTCTTCTGTAGTTTATCAATATGGGTGTTCGTTTATTTGTTCGGACGGATTTACGTAATGATAAAGATAAACGTTCATTAAGACTTGCGCAAGAAGTAAATAAAGTTTTGTCAATGTTCATCCATGTGATTTTTTTTTGTGTGTAGGGCATTGCAATCATCGATAACTACTTTTCCAAACGACGTCTTCAATTAGAAGAGCACGATTTATTATTATTGTTAGCACATGCTCATACATACTTCACCGATCTGTCAACATCCGTGCAATCTCAAATACAGAATATTTCGAATGGTTTGTTAATTAACTTCTAGGAATTTTAATGCCTTTTTTCTTTGTTTATTTTTTCTAGATCTAGGTAGTTTAATTTGTTCGTATAATATTAAGCAAGAGAATCTTAACATACCAATCGTATTTGTTTCATGGCGTGGCCGTAACTCTTTACGACCATTTGTAAGTCATTCATCAAGAAAATTTTATTTAGCATCATGCAATATTGATCAAATTAAAATTAGTAAGTGTAGAAATGTAGAAACTTTTTGGTTTTCATAGTATCTTTTCATTGTTTTTTTCTAGATGAAATCATTGATAAATTAACCATTGAAGAAAAAACCAACAATAAGAAAAGTGACGATTCATAATGTTATTGTTTTTTTCATCCATAAAAGAAATAAAAAAAAGATGAATTTGTTGTTAAAATATTTAAGCAAGAAAAAAAGAAATATATGTTCGTGGTGGATCTCAATTCCACGACTTTCATGTTACTCAATGTTGTTTATGAGCACGGCAATCTACCGATTGATTAACATGAAATTTCTTCAGAACTCTAACAATCTTAATAGAATGAATATTGTTAAATTCATATTCGTATATATAGTAGTAATGCAATCAGAATAGAATAATTCCGACCATTCACTGTTTTCTAACGATTCAAGAGAATGTTAGACAGCTAAGAAGAATTTTTTGCAAAACAAACAAATTGCTTCACGAACAAAATACACAGTATTTACCAATGTATGCATTGTATTTTAGAACACAATCAATATAGTATGATTGATAGGATTAGTTCGCAATAACCGATAAAAACTCTGTTCGAATAGAAGAAGTTTGCCTATTTCATGTGAATCAGAGCTGCCGATCTGGTCAATTTCCTAGTATGTGGCGTATTTGAAAGTATTTCAACAAAATGATTGATAGAAGTGCGTTGTTTCAATTCAAGATAACAATATTCTTGCTGCTTCAAACATTGAATGTACGCTATTAGAAGTATTACTTACATCATGCATTTACTTTTGCATCTTCGTTGTATGTCTAATCAGATGATGTTTTTTTTTCGTTAATGATCTTTTTTGTATGCAAAATATTTATGATATTTGTCTATTTCTTTCAATTTGTCATGTCATGCAAGTTCTAACTATAATCTTATATTTACATAAATTACATGAACAGCTGAAATTAGGACGATACATTGATGGAAAATTGTAAGTATTCGATGCATTAACACAATCAGCAGCATAATTCAGTTTAGTTTGGTCTACAAGGATTTGAATGTAGACCGGACTAGTCGAACGATAAGCGGCTGTTTCACAGTTCTAATATGAATTACAGCTGTAAAATATATGATGAGAATGAAAAATAAATCAATTAGAATTTTACTTAGAATAATTCTTGATAAAGTATTTCGAACGATGTTGAACAGAAACTTCTGCTTAAAAGAAAGCAGCTTTTTAATATTTAAATTTTATTTTTTTTAAAATATTAAAATATATTTTCATTAAAATTCTAAACATAACAAATAATGAGCCTGTCTTTTAAATTCCTTCTGATAGATTCAATAGTTTGATATTTTCCCTTGAAATAATGCAAATGAGGTCTCCTCTGAATAACAAGTCAATCTGATAGAGAGACTGGTTTAACTCTCTGTATATTTATTAACTCATCCCAACAGTAAGTTAATGTCATAATTTATCGATTGAACTACGGTATCCTGGAATTCTAAACAGACAAAATTATTGACCTTTCACGGTCAATATCAAGTTAGAAGACAAAATCCCCATAGGTATTATGTAAAAAAACAAAGTAGATAAATTTGATTATAACAAATAATTTTTTTTTGATAGATTGATATTTTATCGTGAGCTTTCCTTTTTTATTGAATGTTACAGATGACCTTTTACTTTGAGTTCAGTCCTGTTTTTACAATCTTTTAATTAACTCGCTGATATGAAAAAAGCCATCTGGTAAATTTAATTAATTATCTATGTTTGTACGAATTACATTCTTTCTCAATGATACGATATTCAAAATATCATATTCTTCTGCAGATTGGAGTAATTCGTTATCAAATGAAAGATGTAAAAAATGGATAAGTAAATCAAAATGAAATTTATATTTGCTAAACTTCTTATTTGCATTCTTTATTTTTTCTTGCTTAGAGAAGTTTACCCTTAATTAATTATTACTCTATAGGAGTAATGAATTGTCGTTTTTATTAAATAATTAATACAATAAATTCATTTTGTTTGATGTCATATGTCAAATAGTAAAGCAAAGCTCTACATTGTCATGATGAATTAGTATGAAGTCAATCGCCATCTGCTTGCCTACTTCTTTAGTCTGTTAGAAAAAGCAGAAGAAAAAAAAATGCACATATGCACTTCGTTATCGCCAATGGTGATCTCATTTTTTTTTCTTTTATTTTCGGAAGCCAGATGATGATGGAAAAGTGATCCCGCATTGAAATTCTACCTATGTATAATATAAAGAGAATACAACATGACCATGCTGAGAAAAATCACTTCTATAAATGGTCCAATGATTCAAATATTGATCAAGTAAGAAGAATAAGAAGAACTACTAATTGATGGAATTATTCGAATGTATTTGTTTGTTCGAAGGACAGTTGACACCTTTATGAATAGGTCACAAATGTTCAGAGCGATACACAGCAGGATACTTGTTTCTCTAATGACTATCAATTAGTGTGCGACACTTTAGAATGAACCAAATGCCAGCCAAGCAATACTCTACGCACGAGTGATTGAATACATAGACTATATTCTATAGGTTTTTATCTATGTGAATGCTCATATGTGTTTATGCGGGTGAGACACTCCCACCAAAGTGCCATCCGTGACAAACTCAGTGAATAAGATCAAAAGGACTTTGATGGGGCAGATGTGTGTGTGTGTGTGCCGTTGACTTACTATTCTAATTAAAACAAAATTGCTCAATGAATAACTATGCGAATATTTATCTCTTTAAAGTTGTTCGACTCATCATCATCATCATCATTATTATTTTCATTGTCGGCTGATTTATGATCACATTTAAATACAAAAAAAAGGAAGAAAGAAAGAAAGAAAGAAAGAAAGAGAAAAAGATCTTATGCATGCGTGTAATTGAATGAACATACGTTGCTTTCCGTTCACACTTTTAGAACGTGTCAATTCAGCCACCTACTGTGCATGAGAATAATGTACCTAAAGGCATCAAGCAGTGTGTAAATCCGGCACGGTACATTAGAATTCTTTTAATTAGAATAAGACTAAAAAAAAGTCATGGGTCATATCTCTAATTGTTGACCTTTTCCGTATTGATCTTGCTTCTTGTACACAATGTTTATTTTGACTCAATGAATTGTTTTGCTATACTGTTACATCATCGATGAACTATTTTTTTCTCTTTTCTACTTCTTTCTACATAATGAAATCAAAGTATGGATTAATGTAACCTTTTATTTCTTTGTCTTTTATTTTTTGTTAAGATACACACACTCACACATACATACACAGATATAGATACAATCACAACAATAACAACACAGACGAACTATACACACACATATCCTATTATGTAGATGTATTCTATACATTCTCTCACTGTCTAATACTGTCATACAGATGAAAAATGTTTTTCTAGTCTTTATTATACGACAACTTCGTAGACAGTTTTTTTATTGTGATGATTCATTTTTGACGGCGTCGAGTAGCCACTTTCGGCACTATCTTCTTTAGTTGTGTTTTTATTTGATACTATTTCATGTACAGTATTGGCTGTGGTATAAAATGGAAAACCATAACTGCCATATTGAGATTGTGACCAAAGTAAATCATTTTGCACTGATGACAATGGTAAATCGCTTTGAGTGTTATATGATTTATATGATAAATCCGTTGGATTTGTTGTTGATAGTGGATAAAAGTCTGTAACTGTTAATTGATCACTACCTGATAGTGATGATGAATTTGGATTCGATATTATCGGGTCACTTGAACCACTAGTACTATTTGCGAAATTTCCATTGGCACCAGTTGTTGTTACTATTAAACGATTTGTTTGTTTATCTTTAAATTGATCAATTTTTTGTATTTCAGCTAGTTTTGAAAATGATGATTGAAGTTGCTGTTCGGAAAAGGAAAATAATTTATTTGGACTAAAGAGAGAAAAAAAAAGCATGACGAGATCTTCTTCTGCTGTTGTATATTTCTTTCACTAATCTTACCTATGAATAGGTTCAATGACTATTGGATGTTGTATAGACGATTTTTTAATTGATGATGTAACTAAAAATAATACATAGAGAAAAAAGTCAAAGAACCAATTGAAATTCTTACTTATGTTATGATTAATATGTCGTTGTCGTTTACGATTTCGTATAACATTAAATATACAAAGGCCCACAAGAATCAAAAAGAAAACGATAATAACCGAAGCAATTAATACATTTATAAAATTAAATACAAGTTCACGTTCTAAAAGAAAATTGGTAAGACTATAAAAAAAATCTGTTCATACAATCCTTGTGGGATTAAAAAACACTCTTGCTAATCATAAGGATATGCTTTTTCTTCTTCTTGGGATACAGACACACACACACTTTACTTAATCCTTCAGAAAATGAAATGAGCTGTAGGGTTTACCTCAATGCTTCAACCCCCTTCCTTTGTTTCAAACAAAATACTAATTTAAATTCTTACTTATTTCAACTGATCGTGTTTGACCACAATAATCTTCGTATTGATCAAGACAAATAGATACATTAACAATATTTAATAAATATTGTTCATTTAATCGTATTCGTCCACTTGATGTTACAATACGTTCGCATAGATTTGAATGATTATAAATATCAATACGTAAACAAAGAGGAACTTTTAATGTGTTAAAACTAAAATTATTTAATCGATAATCAATGATTTTTTCTGTAAAATCTATTGTAGAATATTCAATTTCGGGTAAATCTATATGAAAGCAAAAGAAAATGAATTAATGAGAAGAAACAGTTCTTTTTCGTTCTTTCAATCGAACCTTCTCTTTTTATTGGTACATTTTCTGTTCGAACATTGATTGATGCTGTACTATGACTTTGACCCAAATGATTTCGTGCTCGAATCGTAATATTATAAAATTGCGAATGTCTTAGATCTATTCAAGCAATGTTTTATTGTATTCGAAATTAGAAAAAATGAAGCTCCTCTTTCTTATTTATTTACTTGTAAACGTATAATGACTTTGATTTGTTTCTTTCGAAAATGAGTTATCGAGTGAAACCCAATAAGATTGTGGCCAACCTCCATCGAAACCTGGTTGCCATTTTAAACTAATCGATGAATATGTTAAACTTGTTGTATTAACATTCGTTGGCGTTTCAGGTACGTCTAAATGCGAATATAGAAGTTAAAAGGTTTCTCATTAATGCATATGAATAAAACGACGATAGGCAACAACTGGTTTCAATCATTACATTTGATTGATGATCAAATCTTTGAAGTTCATGATCAATATTATTTTAAGCGAACAATTTACATGTGTTCTTATTGGCATCATATGAATTGACTACTGTTTAATAACCATATCACAGAAAGAAGGAAGAAAAGAGAAATGTCTCAATCCGTATTGAGTAGCCTTCTTACCTTTTGATCTCAATTGTATTAGTGTAGAATTTTTTCCTAATTTATTTGATGCATTGCATGAATAAAAACCAAAATCGAAATTTGATTGTAGCTGTTGGATAATTAAATATGATGATGTTGTGTTTTTTATAATAGAATATTTATGTGAAAGAACTATTTGCCGATCATTGAATGTCCAAATAATTGTTGATTCAGGATACGAATCAACATCACATTGAAGTTTTATATTTAGTGTAAATAGATCCATGGCAAGGATTGGTGTTAATGAAGTAACAATAGGTGCGTCTAAATTGTGTTAAATTAATGAATAAGAAAATTAAGTAGGGAAAATGCTTACATTCAACTGTGACACGTGTTTGACTTTTATCGAATTTTTCCATTGAACTTCCATTCAAAAATTTTAAAGTATTTCTAGCTGAGCAGGCATAAATTCCTGCGTCATCTTTTGATACTTTTTCAATTATGAACGATGATGTCAATGGACTGATGTTTAATTTTCCATCATTTTTATACCATTCATAAGAATCAACTGTTGGATATGCATCAACAATGCATGCTAATATTAAACGCTTATTTTCCGATATAATACCACCACCAGTTAATCGAATAATTGGTGCATCTAAAAACATAGTATTTTTTTTTTTTTGAGAACTAAGTCTTCAGAAAATTAATCTGACAAAAAGTGTAACTTTCGAACAATTTTTTGGTCAGTAGTTTGTTTGTTTTTACTTACATTGCACGCGAATATTGACTGATGATTGTCCACGACCAATTGAATTCGATGTCATACATGTATATTCACCTTCATCACTTCGTTTAATTGTTTGTAATGTAAGTGATGGTGAATTGATACCTATAAATTAAAGATATTGATTTAAAACACGAAGACGAAGAAGAAGAAAAACAAACCTGTCATCAATTGACCATTTTTGAGCCATGTTATTGGTTCAATCGTTGATGGGTTTGATTGAATTTGACAATCGAGTGCCAAACGATCATTTTCAACGACAAATAAATGAAGATTTGTGACTAATGTTTGACCATGACGAAGATTTATTTCAGGTTTATCTATTCAGAAACCAAGCAACAAGAAAGGTTGATTTACTCACGAAGAAAAAAAAGGAATTCTATTGCACTTACATTGAATATTTAATGTACGTGAAGTACTTAATGGATTATCTAACGCTTTATTATTAACTTGACATACTAATTGTTCATTATGAAAACGTTTTTCTAATGGTAAACGTAGTTCACTTGTATTTGGTGATACAGTAATATAAGATGCATTGATAGGCATTTGATTGATCAGCCATGTAAATGTTGGTAATGGATTTCCGCCTTGTGTTGAACAAATAAATAATGCTGAACTGTCTTCTATTAAAGTCTCGTTTGATTGATATAATTCTGGTTTTGTTGGCCGTGCTAACAATAATAAAGCAGCATGATAGCAAGATCATTATTCATAGATATACATATAGGATTAGCCTTATCTACGTGTCTATACATGTTCATCATCTTTCTTCTTTACCCTCTTCATCAATCGATTATTTTTATTTCTTTCTCTATTTCCTATGTTCCCAAGATAATGATGTACATGAGGACTTCAAAGAATCGAAAAAAAAATGTTACATCAACAGTTCAATATGTACATGAATATTTTGACCTTCATGTCATTGATTAAAGTCAGAAATAGCAACATACAAAAAAAGGAAAAGAAACTACGAAGTGCGATCAGACATCAATCATTAATTTGACCTTCACCTACATGTATGGTGTATCCCCCAAAGAAGAGAATAGAGCATCCAACTGTTTCACTGCCGCCGTGTACGTAGAAGAATTCCATTAAAATGTTTTTTAGACACGGAAACGTATTCCGGATATTGTCGTACGCTTTTTTCTCTCTTTGTTAATTCAGTACGAAAATAACGAGTTTAATTTTCTTTTTTGATGTTGTTCTTCCAGAACACAAGACAAACAAAATATATACATCTACTAATAATAATGTTTCTTTTCTTTTGAATACAAAAGAAATAAAACAAAAAAAAAGAGAAAACGACAATGTGTATATGATTAGTCTTCATGTTCGTGCTTGATCGGCTTCAATTTCACTATCATTCTATACGCCGATATATGGCCTTGTTCTTTTGTGTCTCACAATTGAGTTGAACATATATATGCTTAAATTGAAAAATGAAAGTGCTCATTGCCTTAGGCTTATATACATGTAGGCGCGTTAAAATCAAAGTCTACTCTATACGTAGTATGTAGGCATACACATACATACACGGGGCCGAGATCGAATTTCGTCTGATCCCAAGAAGACATGTGTGGGATCAAGGTTGTTGTCTTTTTTTCTTGTTACACGATATTCATTTTTGTTTCGTACTTACTTAAAACGGATAAGAGCATCGTCATCGATAAACGTTGATCAAAATTTTGACATAAATATTGTCCACTATCATGGCCAGTAATATTTTTAATAATTAAATCATATTTACCAATAATTTCATATTTATGTTTGTCACCTGAGATTTCCTGATTAACAGAAAGAACAACACCATCTTTTGACCTAATTATTTATGAATAAAAATAAAGTCTTTTTGCTTTTTCTTGTTTCTATTTTATTTTCTTACCACATAACTCGGTCGCGTTCGGTAAGACGTTCAAATCGACACGATAGAACAACATCACGACCTTGCTTTTCAGTAATTGTTCTTGTACTGAGGATAATCGATGCCTCAAGCCAACTAATAGCAATAGCCAATAATAATACCCCTATTTATAACAAAACAAAATGAAGATAATAGTACAATCTTAATTGTATGGCTTCTACTAGTTTCTTTTTATCAAAAAGATCCATCATAGGACGTGTCATTTTAATTCTTTTGCGTCCATATCGAAACATGGCTGATAGTTATCAATGAAAGTCTTGACTTCACACACATTGTAAGTGCTTTTTTCACTCATCAATTATTCAAGCGTAACCACTTTCATTCTTATTCTTTTTTGTTTTTTTCCTATCGACAAAATGTCAATCATCTTTGTCTGTGTGTCCCTTTCTCTTTCTCTCCACCTACCGCGTTTTTGAAATCAAATGGATCATCATTATCTGCCCTATCGCCTAGACGCGTCAAAAGGGAAATGAAAACGAGATTGATCGCATTTTATGCCTGTCAACTGAACGCATATTTTATTAATCTTGACTAGCGAAAGAATGAAATAAAATGAAGGAAAGGCTTGAACGGGAAATCAGTCTTTTGTTCTATGTACAAAAACCAGAAGTTCTTAATCAAATGAGAGTATTGGTCAAGACAGATGTGTTTGATTCAAGCAAACTTTTAGTCACTCTTCTTAATTAACAATTGAGAAGGAGACAAACAACATACGAACGTCAGCAGATGAGTAAATGTTGATTCTCAAGAAAAGGAAATTCAATGCGCTTGCTTTTTTTTTCTTGACACAATATGATATTGATATCAATCAGACGAACAAGAGACAAGGGGGACAGACTTGAAACTAATTCAAATTGCATTGAATAACAATAGATAGACCAATAACCCGTGTTTCTTCGCAGTAATCCAATCCAACTATTCGCACTTCTCGAATTGCAGGCACACACACATATCACCACTATAGAACAACAAGCGAAATAATGAATTAAATCGATAGATCTTCGATCACACGGATTGTCTAGTTGCCGCAGGGAGTTATCTCATATACATGCATGCTGTAAGACGAAGTATTATTGTTATTAACGCCCTTATCTGATTATTTTTGTTTCTACACGTTCAAGCTTGTCTATCGTTTTCCTTTCCTTAAGTAGGGCAGATTTGTTACAAAGATCGACACGAGCTCCTGTCATCATCATCATCATCAACAATGTCCAGCTAATACCCGCAAAGAATAATTCTAGATGTGTATATATATATATATATACATATACGCGAGACGTAACACACTCATCATCATTGCCGCCATCCATAATCAACATAGAAATAAAGAGAAAACAATGGCCTGTTACAGAAGCAATTTTTTCAAATACGAAGTCAAGTAGAAGATTGTTGTGCAATTGCCATGCGTGCACAACATAAGAAATAATCTTAATTGACACGTAAAAGAAATTGTTAGTTGTCAATTTAAATCAAGGATGGATATGTGCCTGCTGTTGTGGTCAATATGGCACTTGAGTAGTTTTAGTTGGCGAGAACGGAGAAAAGAAATAAAAAGAGAAACAACTTACCGATGATTATTGTTGAATTCATTTGTTAGTTTGTAAATGAACTGTTCGTGAATGGATGCTTGAACGAAACCACTAATCTGTATACAAGGGCGTAGGTGAATCTTTCTTTTTTTGTTACGTCAAGTTAAAGTTCAACATAAGAATGTATATGTCTTCTTCTCAATCCGGGTTGAAACGAATTTATAAATAAACTGTACAACGACAAGCCAGCCAAAGAGAAACGAGAGGATCAATTCAATTGTATGGATAGAATAGGATAGAGAAAGAGAGTAATGATTATTATACTGACTGATTTTTCTTCTTCTTCTTCTTCTTCTTCTCTTCGTCTCCGTATTCTCTCTTGTAGAGCAATGATGATGATGATGATGGGCAAATACGCGTTCGCACAGCAAGAGAAATGAATGAATGAATGAATGAATGAATGACCACTGCCTACCTCCTCTTCTCTTTCTCTCTCGCTCTCTTCCTATGTGTATGTATATGTGCATAGCAAAAATGTCCAGAGGAAAGACAAAAAACAAAGAAGAAAGAGAAAGACATGTCAAAATAAAACTAGAAAAAAAGTACAGATCTCTTCTAATTCCATTTTGAAGTTACACATATGACACCAAACGACAGTAACCACATCAGAATAAAAATCCCTCGAGCTTTCGTTTTGGATGGATGCAAAAAAAAAGTGGCAGCAGACAATTGAACGTTCGTTTTCTCAAGATGTTCATTGTATATTTGTCTCCTTTGGCAATGTTTCACTTGACTTATGGAATCTTTTTCTTTTCTTTTCTATTTTTAAATTTCGTTCTTTTCTTTTACTTTTAATTTACGCATATTACATGAACAAATGTTTCCGGTCTCATTAGAAAATGAAGCTTCTTTCAATTGTTCATTTGAACCAAACATCCTGTTAAAACATGAACATTATGCTTTTCTATTGTATTTAGTAAAGAGTTTTCTAAATGAATGGACACACACACACATACACACCTGTGAGATAATCCCAGGTGTTGCATGGACTGTTTTACGCTTTTCTACACTTTTCGTTCGAATTGATTGCATAAGCTACAATACTATATAGCGTATCTCATCGATGAATGATCGAAAAATTCATCATTACATATCACCTTGGAAGAAAATTATTTGTTACGGACATTGAGGGAGTGATTAACTTTCTATGGCTATATGTATGGAACAGCATGTGGCATCATAATCATTTCCATAAAAAAAAAAAAAAAAAAAAAAAAAAANTTATTACAAGACCTTCGTGTAATTCTTCCCCCTCTCCCAACCAGTCCAATTTACACCTAACACAGATCTATCCAAAATAACAACAATTTAAAAAAAAAAAAAAAAAAAAAAAAAAAAAAGAAAAGAAAAGTCATCCTAGGCACGTCGTTTTAATTATAGACTGCACAGTTTTTTCATCATCATTTCCGGATTCGGTTTGTTTCTTATGTCTAGTGACGCCGCCGCCAACTGAGCGACTAAGATGGTGTCATTTCCTCGTGCAAATTATTACTCATATATTTGTATAGCATTTGAGTCTATTGAATAAAAGATTAAACTTCTCTATTCCGTCATCACCAAACAGAAAATTGGATGAGATCAAACGTTTATATGATGAGGATATACATTAACAATATACAGAGAAATAGGAAAAAAAGAGGAGGAGCAATAGTGAGAAAAGGATCATATGGATAAAGATGTTTATTTATGTTCATCAAGGGCATTTCTCTCTCATCAAACTAAATACAATTGCATCAATTTTTTCCTTTGTTTATTTCTTTGTTAATATATATCGCCACACACTAGGCATCGGATTATGTGAAGGGCAGAATTGTATCTGGCGAAAAAGAAAAAAAGAAGAAGAAATAAATTCTACTGTATTACATGAATACAATTAGTTAACAATGTACATGGTCTAATTTCATCAATGATTTCCGACAATGATCCGCCTTTCACATTGGTATTCAACTCAGGAGATTCGCCTGACTGTCTGGTATTCAATTTATTCGATTAACAGCATTGCATTTGTATGTTTGACACAATATTATATTTGATGGAAGTTTCCGTTGTCCAATGTCCGAATATGTTGCTTTTTTTTTATTATTCAAAGCAATTCTACTGAGATTTTCTATCAATGCAATATGAACAAATCTGCATAATATTGAATAGATAAAAGAAGATGACATGGACAGACATAGACGATGGTCATCAGCATGATGAGGATGATGACAAATTTAGTAGAAGTCGTCATGAAATGGATCAATGATTGAACATGCGACGTGTAAACTTATTTGCTATGCACTAAAAGCATCTTTTTTTAATGAGATAAAATTTTGAATTAATCTGATAAAAATCTATATTTGATTTTTCTTAATAAAAATGCACACGGGAATGACTTTGGAAAAAAAACAAATAGAAAAATTTTAAAATCTCGAATTTCATTTCGAACGGTCATATCACAATAAGAAAATAAAATGCAAATCATTAAAACACATTTCCATTGCAAAACAAACTCATTGATTATTGTAACGACTAGTCAAAAAACCTATGAAAATAAAATGTTTTATAAATTATGGTTTGGTTGTGTATCAACTTGTGTTTTAAATTGAAGAACAAGACGACCTAATAGTTCGTTACGTTCGCGTAAATATCGAATCAAATCAGCTTGTTTTTCGAGAACATTTTCTCGATAAGTTTCATCACTAAAAACAAGATTAGATAAGTATCAATGATAAAATTAAATAGAAAATGATCAGAACGTTTTTTTTCGTCTATCAATTTTGTCTTAGTTATTTTTCGAACGTATGAAAATTAGCTTTGATAAATCCGTGAAGAAAATATTTTCAATAGAGATCTGTAGGGCTAAAGTCATTTCAAGTAATACGCGTCTGTTATTTGATAAATTACCTCATGTTTTATTTCTCCTGATAGTTACTATTCTGATAAAAACAAAAAAAAGTAAAATCGAAACTCTTTTCAGATTAAAAGAAGTTTTTGAAATGATGCGTCTAATTTCATTTCAATATCAAGTTGCTTTTTGTTTAGAGGTTGTTGTGACTTCTCGTCTGAAAGATGATATTTCAGTCATTTTTTTAATTCATCAGACATACTTCCTAGTAGGTCTCAAGTGAATCAATATCTTTCGTAAGAAAAACTTTATGTTTACTAATTATACGAACCGAAAACCAATTTCATTAGCTGATGTCTGTGATGTAACAAAACTCGAAAGTAAATCATCATGAGTTGCATCTGGTCGTGCTCGCTTTTGGTTAAATTTAATTGTGAGAACTAAAAATGTATTTGTAACGAGATAAATTTCATATTATCCTATTATTAGTCGTACCAAGATACCATAGAAGTGCAATTAATATAATGAGTACTTCGATAGACGACAGCATAACAAGAAAATGCCATGGATACAGTTTCACACTTAGTTTTACTAAATCATTTCGAAAATTTTCAAGCAATTCAATTAACGCAACAAGAATTGCATTTCCTTAATATGAAAGAAGAATTAAAAACTCGCATCCAAATCAATGATAGTTACCTGTTGAAATAATAAATAATGGTGTACGTCGTAGATTTCTTGTCTGACGATAGAATTCCAGGTAACCATCTAGTCGAGATAAATCTTGATAATGATGATATAATCTAAGATTATCAAATTGTTCTTTTTAAATGTTACAAAGAAAAATCGATTTTAAGACTGCAGCAACGAAAACATACCGATCAAAACCAAGATTAATCATGTAAGCGCCAGCATGAATATATAACGCGATATTGTAACCAGAATGATGATTACATTTGACCGTCGTGTTATTATAGGAATTATCAACGCATATCGTAGATGGAAAGAGCACAATACTCGCCATAAAAGCCATCTGGACAGATAAAATGAAAAATAAAATAAAACTGTTTTGTTGTCTCTGTCAATTTACCGTAAGAAGAATATGTATCACAATGAAGCCAGTTGTTCGAATGGGTCGATACGGTTGATCTATACTATCAATAAGAGGCGTATTTTCTTGAGTAACTTCATCAGCACCAGTAAATGACCGATCATCGAAGGAGATGCCCTTTTACAAAAATAAAGATATTAAAAATATCGACAGTCTTGCCATTGTATTTCATCTATTGATTAGATATGCAAAAGCGACTGCAAGATACCATGAATAAATACATTCAACGGTTTATTAAATTCGTATACTGCTCTCTCTCGTTCTCTCTAAATATATAATCTAACCGAATTCAACAAACTGAACTATTAAAAACTCAAAAGAACAATTTTCGATCTAGTTCAAGCGAGAGATATTGACATCTTGATAATATTACGATGAAAAAAACTATTGAATTCGAATTTTAGATACATAAATTATGAATGATCAAAAATGGATTTAATCGTATATAAATTTCAAACTCTTAAAGTCGCTTGCAGAAATTAGAAAGCATTCGATTTAAAATAGACTTTGTTTTTAGCAAGATAAACGATGAGATCACTCTATAAGATTATTTGGAAAAGCAAGAGACTTAATAGCAGGAATCAAGAATGATTGAGTTCATTGCACCGGCTACTTGTCATTTAACTTTATACAATTTCTCACTAGTTCATAAATAGCTTGACGGAAAATAAATTTTTACTAGAGTATTTGACAAAGATATTTTAGCTTATTTATTCATTGTATTCAAAATAGGTTTTGTTTCTACTTGTATTTCTATATAAAGAAAGTAAATTGACATAATAAATTTGGATGACCTTTGATAGAAACCAGAGCTCCGCGTGGGACGAACATTTTTAGAAAATTTTAAGCAGACAAGCAAGAATCAAAATCTCTTTCAATATGACTCTATGATATGCATACAATCGCTATCCATTAAAATTAAGATCGTTGTCTTAGATGACTTTTAAAAGCTTGTATTCGTTTTTTTTTAAATATTTTTGGTAAATTGAACAACACATACCGAAAATGTTTTAAAGTATGAGAATAAAATTTGAAAGCGGTCACTTACGTCAATAAATATAATTTTAATGGATACAGATAGTAAGCATATAATAGAATCGCCTCGAAAGAGGCTTCGATTCTTTCTTGTCTGCTTGAAATTTTCTAAAAATGTTCATCCCATCCCGTCGCACGCGGAGCTCGGATAGAAACTACTATTGTTTCTATCAACGTCTACACAGCGAGTAACTTTTGAAAAGCTCATCGGCCTAGAAAGTCATCAGGAAACAAAACCATGTCTTTGATTCAGCTTTGAAAATATAATCTCGAGCCAGAACCGTTAATTCATCTGATAGATGTGAACATTCTTGAATGTTTTTCAACGAAAAATTGATTTTTTAATCATTTGGATTAGAATACTACGATGTTTCGTCTCAAGAATTTGAAGTGTATATTCATCAAAATAACATTTGAAAATTTATATCGTATTTTGAAGCAATTTTTAAAGCGCTCTTATCTCTTTCTCGATTTTTAATCACTGAATTCTGATAAGTGTTCTTGTTCCGAACAGTTTCATTCAATCTAAAAGCTCTATTTATTTCATTAAGCAAAATATCCACACTCACTCCTCCACTTCGTCCATGTTGTGTATTTAAACTGACCATCTAAAAAGAACTATGGAGTAGTATACAAATAGAAAAAAAATGATTTGTTTTTCTCATCACAATCAAATACATATATACGTATTCATTCGTATATTTAACTCGATACAACAAAAGAGAAGACAACGTAGTTTTTATTTACGTCATTTGTATTATCATCAGAAAAAAAATAATTAATAATAAAGACTAATTGTATACGAATAAATAAATCGCAACAATTTCAATGTGTTTGATTAGTAGTTAAAGCGATGAATAATCAAAAAACAGAAGAAGAAGAAGACAAAAAAATGCTGCTGCTCGAATTCAAAGCAGTCTCACTGTGTGTGTGTTCGATTTGCTTTTTTGTTTGTATCCGAAAAGAAAAACGATAATTATTAATGTGAGGTTCATCAAAGTGAGAAAGCAAAAGAAAGAAGATAATGCTTGAAGCTTATTTCCTCTGAGTTTTGTTCGAAGATTAAAGAAATGGATTTGTTGAGTTTGTACGTGGTTTTCCGAACTGATTTGGTGCTTGTTGGGCTGCTGGCTGTTGAGCAATATTCTAAAAAGAAGACAACAGCAACAATTAACAAGAAGATTAAGATTATAATCTAAAATATATACCAAGAATGGGTTGGGTTTATTAGCAGGCGGCATAGCAAAAAAATTGGATGTATCTATGAATAAAACAAATAATGCGATATTGATTATAGGCGTCATTTTGTGAATAAGTCATACTAGGTCCGAAGGGTTGTTGTTGAAATGGATTTGAATTGGAAGGGAATTGTGTTGGAAATGATTGGGATGAAAACATTGGTGCTTGTGGGTGGACCGGAAACTTTTGTGTTGCATTTGATGATGTTGAATGAGTTTGAGAATTAGATGAAAATGGAGCATTGCCAAATATAGAATTATTTAAACCTGATGCAGATGTTTGATGACCTATTATAAAAAAAAGCCAAAAGCATATGTAGGAACATTTAGAATTTCATTTGATGATTTAAATACCACCATTAACTGAACTTCCAAAAATAGAAGGCTGATGATCTTTGACTGTATTCTGAGAACTGAATAGTTCCGAAAGAGCAGCATATTTATCAGCCTATAAATTTCATATTAGAAAAAAAAATATTTCAAGTAAATAAAAATAAACTTACTGATTCCGGAGGTGGATGAGCGAAATTATTTGTTGGCATCGACATTGTGTTCGTTGCCGATGTATTTGTAAACATAGTTGTTGGATTTTTGGGCGTTTCAACAAATGCTCCCCAATTCGAATCATTGGATGAAGATGTTGTTGTTTGTCCAAATGGTTGATCTAGATAAAGGATACATATTTCGAAAAAGAAAAATGCAATTGATAATATTACCTGAGAAAAAATTTCTAGTCGGTGATGTATTTGTTGGTGACACTGAAGATTGCAAAATATCATCGAGAATTGCTGCAAGGAAAAACCAACATTCATCATTGTATTGATGCATGTGTAGAATTTTTCAATAACAAAAATATAGTTGCAAGCGTACTCTCATTCAGCTAAGTAATTTTGATGGTGAGATTCTTTCACTGTTCATTTCAACTGTTTATTTCCCAAGAAACTATGATTTCAAGTTTATGACACTCATTTTCACACTTTTATATTTCTAAGCGTTATTAGTTGAAGGCACCGTTGTCCCAGATAAATGCCAAAGAATGATTATTCAAAGAAGATAATTTATATACATATATTTATTATAGGATTAGCGTAGGAGAGAATATCTGGTTTTTTTAAAATTATCATGTAATTTCTATTCAGAAACACATATTCAATTTACTAATTGGTTTGATTAATATATTAATCTGTTTTATCTCGGAAAACAGAGTGTTGAATGAGAATGCAAAACTCACTCTTGAAGAAATCATCAATTTAAAAAAAAAGAGTTTCTCTCCATATAGTTTGATAGGAGAAAATCATTCTATACATTTCTAGGGAAATCGAATGATTCTTTAAGTAATATGATTTCGATAAGAGCTGTTTGTTATCGTAAACGACGGTAATATTAAATCGCGTTGTCTCTTCTTCTTCTTTTTCTCTCGTCTTCTATAATGCCAAACTGTCTATAAGCATTAGGGTACAGAAAAAAAGGGTTGTAGATGTGAATAATCAGAAGGATATGTTCGAACATTTAAAGAATTAATAAATTTGTTTTGTTCTTTTACAATGTTTTTTGATCACATTAAATATAGAATTTCAAGCAGAAAACTTACTCGTGTCTCAAGATATTTTACCGATAAGAATATGGGCTTTCACTAATCGTCAAACTGAAGGATAAAAAAAGTGAAACAAAAATTTCGTACTTCTAGATTCGAGTATCCATGAAGTATTCTTATATTTCATTGCAAAACAAGCTGATATTAAATGAACTAGAATAGTTCTAATCGTCATACATGTATGTATTGATGTCAGACTTGAAATATGAAACTTTCACAATAAGGGAACACACATCTTAGACTAAATATAATCGAGTAGTACTGTCACATATTTGAAAAAGAATACTAATACCTTTGGAACGATGTGACTTCTGATATTTTATGGAAAAAAAAAACAGATAAATAAGTCAAATTTTCTATTTATACTCACAAGTTGATGATGTAGTATTTGCCGGAGTAGTTATTGGTGCATCAAAAACAAGCATTGGTGGTTGAGATGATGTGACTGATGGAGTGCGAACCGTCTAATAACGTAATAAATATGTATGAATAAAACTGCATTATTCAACAACAAGAAAAAAAAGGATTCTAATAAACTGACTCGTGCAATATTGGTAGACACAGTTGACGATGGTTCTGGTGGGGATTTGATTGAATTTGATATACTATTTGAATGTGGGACTGTTGATGATGATTTTGCAGTTGCATGAGTTGTTTTCTCAAGACTAGCTTCTATTTCGGCTCTTGCCTTTTGTTTCATTGCTTCGGTTGGTTCAACGTACCATCTATGAAAATATATGTTACTCATTCAAAATCAAAAAGAATAAAGCTGTTTCCTTTTCAAACCTTTTCTTTTCATATTTTTGAGAAAGAAATTCTTTAAATCGTTCCGTATCTTTAGGATCAGGTGAAAATCCAGCATTTGCATCATATAAACCAAGATAAACCATTTTATTTAACTTAAACACAAAAAAATAAATATGACTATTTTTGTGAGAAAGAATTCAATGTGCACCTGATTGCCGCGATTTTTCATTAATTCAATTTCTTCTTGGCTAAATGTTGACATATTAATTGATTTAACACGATGGGGTGGATTTAAACCTCGTCTAAATAAATCAAATTTCATTGGAATTTGTTTATTTATTTTTTAAATATTATCTTATCATTATAAAAACATATCACGTCAATTTTAATCACCAATCAAGAATGTTACGTTGTTATTAACTGGCATTTTTCTTTTCGAAGAAATATTTCATTTCACTCAAATTAGTCTGTGACTTACAATTTTATTTTATGTTAACTCTATTCTATTTTATCGACTACACAGATGAAAACATAACTGCACTTTCAAAAAAAAAAATCATATCAATCTCTTATCTACTTACAGAAGGCCACTACATGCTGTACAGACGAAACTACCGACAGTAACACTAAAGAGAAAAATAGAGATAGAAATGGAAAAAAATCATTTTTTTTGCTTATTTCAATTGTTCACTTACTCAACATATGTTGGTCCTTTTGAATTACAATCAAAACATTGTTTGTTCGTTGGCAATGACGCCAATTCACGTATCATTTGAACATATTTTTCTTCTTGGCGTTTATTTTTTGCTGAGGAATTTCCTGCCATTGGTGGATTGGAAAAAAAAATTGATTTTCGAATGTTAAAAATCTAGAATAGATTAATTGCAGTTGAATTCACAGATGTGAGATAAGTATATTGCAATTATGATAGGTTTTTGCTTCAAAATTAGTATGGAAAATTTTATGATTCTTTAACGAATAAACTAGAAATATGAATGTACAAGATATTATTGTGATTGAATAATAATCAATATCATTGTTTTCGTCTTCGCTAATATAAAAACAGTAAAAGGTTTTTTTTTGAAAAGAACAAAAAGAGAAAAATAGAACGAACGAACTCCTACATCCTTCATACTTTTTTTATTCTATCGAAATAACAAGCAACCAATGCAACAAAGCATAATGATGAGTCATGAGGTAATACTCAAGATTGGTGAACGTTTTCAATCAATAGCGACTACAAAATCAATGATTCAACTGTTTATGTGATAGATTAAGAACAAGTTTTGGCATTTTTCTCATGAACATGATAAGAAAGTTTGTAAGATTATAAATGACAAATATACAGTTTAATAGATGTCACTTCTGAACAAGCTATGGCGATGATTGATAACTATAATTTGAGCTAATCTTATAGTGGTCTTATCGATTATTTATTTTTAGCTCAGCCTATGTCATTATTCAATGGTAGAACATGAATGAATTATATATAACGAAAATGAATCATACTATCAAACATTTCTACTTCTCCTAAAAGACATCTAAGTAATATCATTTGGTTTTGCAATTATATTTGATTTCATAAGACGCCATATAATAGGTTTAAATTACGAGTCTGCTGATTCTCGGCATTGAGTTAATATTAGTTATGAAGAAATTCATAATAAACAACAGTGTGTAAGAAAATAAACTGTTGTAACAGAATTCATTGATCTAGTGACTTTGATAACATCTAAGTTTCTTTTTTTTCATTATTCTTTTTCTATTTATTTGTCAAAAAATTAAGATTAGCAAGGTGATTAACAAAAAAAAGAAACCATATATTTATAGGAAGTAGTGATGAGAATTTTTTTTTACATTTAACAAACATTGATCTGTTTTAGTGGGTTGTGGTATTTTCTTCAAAAGAACATACGAATCTCAAGAGTCGCAATATCAACATGGCATTACAGTCGAATCCGCTTATAAGAGCGCAATCTGGGAATCAAAAAGTAGCTCTTATATCCGGGTCGCTCTTTTATGCGAACTATATGCAAAACAGTGCAAAAAATGATTCTTGTCAACATTTATTAAATAGTACACACACGTACATAAATTTACTTAAAGAAATCCGTGATTTTACGTTGAGTACGATTAATTAAAGCGTTCTTTTCGATCATGTCTTCGACATCATCATATGAATTGTAATCTGTAAAATTCTCGGCGATTTCTTCATTAGGGCTTTCGTGTTTTCGTTTTCGGCTTAAGTTGCCATTGTTCATCACTATTTTTCTGATTTATTCTTCGTTTTGCCTTATCTTCTTCACCGTAGAATAGCCGATGTTGAAATCTTTAGCCACATCGTCTGCCTATTTGGATTTCAGTGCTTCCACGATTTCCAATTTTTGTTCAATCGATAATGTGCAACGTTTACCGCTGGTAGATGCTATGTTTTGAACAATAAAGATCCAACAAAAAAATGAGGAACAATATGTAGAACAAAGGACGAACGAAAGAAAAATCCAACATAGAACAACATGAAAGAAAGAAGAACGAAGAAAAGAAAAAATTCATCACATATATATGACAGGAAAGAAAAAGAAGAAGAACATAAGTGCATATTTATAATGATATAGATAAAAAAAAAGCTCTTTTATGTGGACTAAAATCGCAAAAAATCGCTCTTATAAGCGAATCGCTCCTGTATCCGAAGCTCCTACAAGCGGACTTTGCCACAATGTAAAATACATTTCGAAGAAAACGGGGAATTGAAAAACGGCTCTTAAAAGCGTACCGCTCCTTTATACGGAGCTCTTATAAGCGGCTTCGACTGTATTTTGTGGTTTTAATAATATAAATTAGTTCTTTCTTTTGTATTTTTTGCCACTGCAATTTTTTTCTCTTTATTTATGATACAAAAATGTAGAACAAGGCTGAAAAAGCATTTCTATAGGGTTTCTTTTAAAGTAAAAAACAAAGAATACGTTTTTTTTGCTTATTCGTTCGTACGAAAATGTGCTTGCCTTAGATTTTCACCTTAGTTTGACAAATATAGAGTTCATACAGATCTGAATTCTTCTATATTAAATGGCTCAATATTACAATCATATATCTTGATGAGCAAAGTGTGATAACATAAACTAATGTTTTCTTCTTTTTTTCCTAGAAATATTAGCAGTTTCTCTTATACAGTCCTCAATAACTGCATTAGTCTCACCTGATTTATTTCCTGCGAAATCTTCTGAAATTTGATGGCAGCGATAGTGTGCCGTAGTGTTCCGATTTTGCGTAAAGGCAAAACGTCGTTCATCAAGCAGCCTACAAAAGAAGATGTTCATTGTTGCTTTTTTAAATCAAAAATATTTTTATGATTTTTAGCCGCTGCGATATGCTTGAGGTCACTATTCTGATTTGTATCATGAATGTTTGACGAATTTTTCAAACGCTAACTCTATTCTACAAAGTAGAGAATACACCAATACGATATCCAAAATATTTCAGTTTTTCATATTGGAGTCAAATTAAGAATGGCTTGCAGTCATATTCCGAAAATTTTCAAGAAAATGCTAATACTGTCCTAGCAATGTCTTAAATATTAAAACTTTTGCAAACGTCTCTCATAGGCTAAGTCATGACAATTACAAGGTGGTTGAACAATAACAAGCAATCTCGGCAGCTAAACTTCAATTAAAAATACAAGATGCTTATTTTCTCATGAGCAACCAATCTACAAGAAACTTAAATTACTACAACATAAAATGACAGATATCTGATGATTATGTTTCATATATTTAATTACAGTTAGAGTCGAGCATTAATTTTTATTAGTCAAATTTAGTATCAAAAAATAATATTTTGTTTTTCTTCGTGTACTTCTTGTTTTAAAATTTATGGTCTACTTCCCCGTATTATTTACTGATACGTGAACAGCATTTTACAAATGAGCTGTCTCTCATAATCTTTGAATTGACTGTTTATTTCGCAAGAAATTAGATAAACACCCTGTGTAGACTCTAGGCTATTCATACTAACTCCATTGAAAAAAATTCTCTATTTTCGCTACTCGTTATGGGAAATCGTTTATTTTAGAAAAGCTTAATCCTATTAGGATTTCTATTTTTGTAAAAGTCCTAATTGAACGTTGCAAAAACATGTTTAATCTATTACGAACGGAAAAGATCTACCATAGTATGCAATTTGAAGCGTATCATCAAAACTGAAAAGTTGAAATTAAAATAAATACAGACAAAAAACACAAGGCATGTCTCTATATGCCTCTGCCACGATCAGAAACACTGCCGTTGAGTAATAATAGTATTTCTCTAATTAAATTGCACTGTCAAGTTTGACGTTTCTAAGATTCCTCGAAGACGCTTCAATTTAACGCATTATCTTTGTAGATTTGAAAGAGCATGTGAAGCCGCAGCTTCCGGTTAATCTGTTGTCTAAATTTACTTTCATCGGGATTGCATAAAGATGCAATTCTGTCAATAGATGAGATTTCTTAGAGAACTTATTCAAGAATAGGATTTGTCTCCTGTTTTTGCCAATAAAATATGGATTTTTGAGAACTATTTTAACACCTCATTTAGTTCAGTGAAATAAAACATACAACTGAATGAATTTACTATTCATCAGATCTTCATTTATTACACTAGAAACAATAGCAATTTGATTTCTTGAAATACTGACAAAACGAATCACGGCGGTTTCTCCAATTTACTTTCGATTCGACTGAATTATCAAGATTTTCTATTTTTTATCGTTTATTTCACAAATAATTCATGAGAATATCAAACATACTCCAGTGTACCATCTGTTTTACAAAACGAAAGTTTTTCTTAATAAACAACGATGTAAATTCTATATTGATTTCGTTAAATATTAGGCTTCGTAGTCGTCCTATATTTCGCGAGATCCTCCCATAATTTCCTATTTACGAGTCATTTTTCCTATAAATCTGAAAAAAGTTAAAAAATTTCACTAAAAAATCGTTTTGAACACTATACTGATAATTCAGAGTAGTACAAACGCATATATATGCTACAGGAGAAATTAGAGTTCAAGAAAACTTAAAATTTTAACATCGATATTTTAAATTTTCCTGAATATTAATTTGTCCGGCGGCATATACGTGTTGTCGGTACTTCCATAAAAGAAAAGAATGTGAGCTAATGGCACTATAATTTATATTTAATATCTATCGCGACATTTTCACTATGGGATTGTTCCTTTTGTTTGTACTGTCATTCATCAATGATTGATGAATATATTTTGTGTGCAATTTTGCACAAGACTATGAAATCTTATCATAAATCAGGTGAGAATTTCGTTTTGCACAGGGTAAAATAATGTTTTTCTCTAGATTCATTTTTTTATTTTCTTTACTGTGCAATATCAATTCATGTCAAAAGATACTAAAAGCAATTAACAAGCAGGATAGTGTTGTTATTGAGAAGACTTCTATAATATTGATTGATGGTGATAATAATAGAAGTAAGGCTACCATTGAGTAACTATTGAAAATTACACAGGACTCGATTGATATTGACATGAAAATAAAATCTGCATTTAATAAGCAACAAAAAACTACAGCTGATGCAAATGCTAATCTTAAGTAAAACAAATTTCCTATTTGTAATTTATGTATTTGCAAGTATTGTTTATGCAGTTTTTTTTATTTATATAAAGAGAATAATCGCAGAACAAACTAATGCATATTGTTTATATAAAACATTTCAAATGCGTTTTTATATACTTTTTTCTTATGTTTCTATTTTATATTATTTTCATATAAAGATAAAAGTTATTGTATTTTTGTTAACAAACGAAGCACATACATTATTTGGTTGTTTGTAATTAGGTGTTTTTAGCATCAAATTTCCTTATCTTGAATATCCCAACATAATTAAATTAAGATCGTCTCGCAAAAAACGTTTTCAATATTAACCGATCGGCCAAATTGTTTGTATATATATATATATATAATGAACAAAAGTATTACCGACAGTTATTATCATTATAATTTTCATAAATGTTACCTCTATTCAATTCATGGTTCGATCTAATTATTTTATTCATGAATAAATTGAACGCCTGACCTACTGCAATACGATATGCAGTAGAATTCACATGAAAAGTTATATTTTTCATAATGATATCGAATTTCAATGAATTTATTCGAAGTGAAGATGTGTATAAATGAACAGGAAAAAAATTAATCCTGATCGAAAAAACAACATCGTTCACGACAACATACGCCCAAATATGCTGAACCTACATATACCACGTGTAATTATTTCCAGTCGCATAAGAGATATTTGTTATTCGTTGACCATTCTATGGTACAACGACAGCATTTGAATTTGAAACTATGAAGAGCTCTTATGGAAACTCTAGGACAAACTATTTTCTTCATTTTCAATTTGAAGTATTCAGAGAGATTTATTGTCATATTAACAAACATTACAATTCCTGTCTCAATATGTATCAAATAAGAACATGGCAATATACTGGCTTGACCCCTACCCATAAGATAACAGTAACTATAATCAATGGAAAATTCAAGAATATCATATTTTTTCTTTGACCAATCAATCTATTATAAAGGGAATATCGATTTAACTTAAGATTATTAGAAAATTCTAGATTTTGAACATCTCTTTAGAATCTATTTCATCGGTAGAGTTTGAAGGCACGAAGAATTTTTGAATTGGAAAAAGTTTCTTCGTGAGTTGGTGGCCAACTAGAGCATAAAATATACAGTTCAATATCATAGATAGTTATGTCAATTGAGAATAGTGTCTGAGATAGATTATCATTTCATTTCAAATTTAGTTCATGAAAAATTATAGAAAATTCTACTCATATTGGACGATTTATCATTGCTCGAATCCAATTAATATAAGCCGATGTCTTCGTAAACACTGTCGGATATTCTGGTTGTCCACATCCTATCGCATAACTAACGACACCAGCAGCATACCAACGACCATTTTTTAAATAAAACAAACCGCCACCACTATCACCTTGGCATGATCTAAATAATAGTGTAACATCTATGTTCATTAATATAGTAAATAAAATATTAGTCAATACAAACCCATGATTTTGACCTGTAGAAGCACCATTCGGGTAAGCACAAATTTGTTTTTCATATTCATAAGCAAAATACATTGAACAATCGACAACAACACGAAGTCGAGCTTGGCGTAGAACTAAACTTGAACTATTCCACATTCCAGGTACAGTATTACCCCAACCAGCAACATAAACTGTGGTATCGAGTGGTGGTTCAATAATCTAAATATACAGCAAAAAGGTTAATTTTATACTGAAAATTTTCTATTTATTTGACAGACTTTATCAATAAGACAAATTGGTTGAATTTCTCTTGAAAATGTGATGGGTTTTACTAGTTTTATAATTCCAATATCATTGGTTGATCGAACTTCATCATAGTCAGGATGTAAAATAAGTTGTGCAATAGGCATAAGTTCACCAGATGAAGATCGATTATGTGCACCAATACGAGCAAAATAATTACCAAGATCATTAGAATAATCTAGACAATGAGCTGCTGTTAAAATATGCCATTGATCGATGATCACTCCACCACAATCGTGAATATTATTATATTGTAATGAAACAGCCCAGGGAAATGAATGTGGCCTAGCTTCAAGACCATTAACTATACGAATAGATGCATCTAAAATGGGTTGTGTAAATGTTTGACCACACTGATTAAATGAACTTTGGTTACTATTAAGCGAACAACAGAAACGAATTTTATAATTAGGACAAGGTGATGCGCGAGAACCCATACAAAATAGACCATTCTGATTGATTAATGTTCGATACTGCATGTATTTATCATTTGGTTTTTCTAATATGAAATATTCAACATTGGATACACTTTGACATTGATCAAAGTCTTCATGTAACACTCGAATTTGTGCTATATCTTCAATATCATTGCCATTATTTATCATTGGATCTTGTGTATTAAACCATACAGACCATGCTGACGATTTTGGATCGCATTCATCATTATTAAATATTGAAAACTCGTGCATTCCAAATACATGTGAGGACAATAACAAAATGTAGATGATAATTGAAATTAATACCAACGTTTTAGTCATTCTTTAGAAGCAATATCACATACAAAATGATAAGTTTGTTTTTTAATAGTAAACTCAACTACGTATGTACATCATATTTTTCTTCTTTTTTTCTTGCCAATCCATGTTTAGGAGATTAGATTTTTTTCACTGCAAACACTAGCGAAATATGATGCCATAAACAATAAATTGCCACTGTGTAGAGAATACATCCATAAAATCATGCAAGAAATTATCGATATTTTGATTGAGTTTTTTCAAAACAAAGCGAGAAATTGAAAGTATGAATTGATTCATTCCAGATTTAAAGTGAAAATTTACAAAGGATAAATTGATTGCATGTTTGCTACGAACACACCATTGTAGTTGCGAGAAGCACAATAAGGATAGATATATCCGACATAAAAGAATATTCCTATGCGAATCGTTGAAAAACATATTTAAAACACAGCTGTATCCTTATCAGTTGCATTTTAATATACTTTTAATACAGAAACAAATCGAATACTATTTATTATTTACAAAGTTCGAGTTACAAGAACAAAATAGAACCGTATTTTACGTATACAAATGATATTATCAAACAAATATACTTGGAAAAATTCAAAAGTAATCTTCTCCATTCACTTTCATAGATTTCCTATATGTAACAGCAAATCAATTGAGAAGCATTATGTGTCAAGATTTCAGTGTTTATACTAAGATCTAATCAGAATAGTGAAGCGTAGTTTTCGAGAGAAAAATAGACTAGCACGTTTCTACGTGATATATTATAAATATGAAGTTTTCAATTAGAATGCCTCCAGTACAAAATTTGATCAATCAAGCATATATTAATGCTAAGATAAACATTTTTCAATATATCTATATTTTTTGTTGTTTTTTAGTTCTGTAAAAGTCAGCGATTAATAAAGAAATTCATATTTTGGTTGTTTGATATCGAAAACTGATGAAACTTTATACACCAGATAGCCAAACAGACAACCTTAGATGTATTGAGTTGGAGAACGAAATTTCCAAGATTATTTTTCTTTCTTGAAAACCTTCAGTATCTTTAAGGGTTACTTTCCAGATTAAATCTAATCATTAAGTAGAATATATCTGAAGATTAGATTATCGTAATGACACTTACAATGTAGGTGCTTGTACTGTCCGTGAGAAAAACGGGATATTTTCGGATCAAATGAAACCTCTCATAGCCAAACTAACAAGCCCAGGACAATGATTCCTGAAGCAGTATTCCGTGAATTTACGGCGAAAACCTGCAAGAAACTCGCTGTTTCCGACCGGAACCCACCGGGAATTGTCCGGAATTTGATGCAAGAATCCGGAAACCGTATCCGGCTACCAGTTTTGACAGGTTCCTGTCGATTCCGGGCGGAACCGGATAAATCCGGTCACCGGATCCTTTCACCGGAATACTGCTTCCATGAAATCTCCGGAATATCACAGAACCAGCCGTTTCCGGAACCGGAATGTTCGACCTGGGGAGGTTAAAATATTAGCTGCAATTGACTTGCCTAGACTGAGATATTCGATTTTTCAGTGAATTTTCTCTACAGGACCGGCTTTCTCAGCAATATCATATTNTTCCAAAACTTCTGATTTTTTTTCTATGAGCTAGTCTCCTTGAGATCTTCATGCATACAAAGTTTCAGGTTCAAATTCGAGAATATGATATTGCTGAGAAAGCCGGTCCTGTAGAGAAAATTCACTGAAAAATCGAATATCTCAGTCTAGGCAAGTCAATAGCAGCTAATATTTTAACCTTGTTAGTTTGGTTATGAGAGCTTTCATTTGATCCAAAAATATCCCGTTTTCCTCACGGACAGTACAAACACCTCCATTATTAGTACTAATTGCAAAAACGTAGGAGACAACAAAGTGGATCGCATGGTATTTTTTCACTCCTACGTTAAATGCTATTGAAGATACCTTTACATGTTTTTTTTTGCAATTAGACGACTCATAGATCTAATTAATAAATGATTCATAATCAAAAACATTTTGTAATTTTCATCAACTACTGATAAAGAAAACGCTTCGAATATAATGCATATTTAAATTAACAAGAAAACTTCAGTTGTTTCTAATATAGGATAATAGAATTTGTGTCCTAGGGTTCATCTATTCATAATCATTATGAAATGAAAATGATTAACACGTTAAAACACATAGTAATGATTAATATCGATGATTGTATTGTTTTGTAATTGATCTTTCTATATTTCATACAAGATATAAGACTATGGTCGAAAAATAAATTAAAAGCAGTGGCTATAATTTATTTTGTCATTGGAGCTGCCTTCGAAGTTCTGTGAATTATTTTTTCGAATTTCTATTCTTTTCTTGCGAAATTTTTCAAGAGGTATTAAAGATAAAGAAATCTACACAATTGTGGAGAGACACATAATTATTCATACGGAAAATTCACGAACTAAAAATTTAGAATTTATTTCTCTATTCTTCGCTCTGCTCATTACCTCAGCTCTTTTTATCATATAGTTTTTTGAAGTCGATACAAACAGCAGATTTTGACGTATTAAAAAACTATCAAAGCGAGTAATATTTTTCCAATTAAAAAAAATCAAAGTACATTAACGAGTACAGCCTGCTTTTGGCCTCCACGAAGAGAATGATCCATTTCTAAATTGAGTGAGTACTCTAGGGTTTGTCTGGTTTATGCCGAATTCATAATCTGTTTGTTTTTTTCCTTCTAATCTCTAATGTATGTTACATGAGTCAAGATTTTGTTTTCATGCGTTGTTTCACGACATCAACATAAATGACATGGAAATAAGCAGGTATGAGTGTTTCTTTTTAATATTGCGAGCATGAGTCAGTTTTTTGTAGCGTTTTCTTTCTTTTTCATTCTTCAAGTCTCTTTTTTTAAAAGCGTGGTAATTACAAATACCGAAAACAAATAGGTAGTAGGGACATTTTTTCGTTGTCAATGAGTGATGTAACCTTTTCGACGTATTCTATGACTCATCGATTATTACTACAAAAAAAGACGTGCAAATATAAGAAAACCAAAAAAAAAAGGACAGAACAGACTAAAAGGGAAAATATATGAGTCTCTGCTTTTGTAGTCTTCTGACTCATTACATGTAGACTGATTCGTATGTGTGAGCAAGATCGCACTGAATAATAAATTCTGACTGATATTCTTTCATCTACAGAAAGTTCAGTTTTTGAATGTATTCATAATGATTTGATTCTAGCGGGCAAAGGTCAACTATGTCCATAGTATCTATCGATTGATTATTTCTTTTTTCTGTTTCTATGTTATAGATCACCCTCCTTTTTTCTTCTCTTTCCTATTCGTTCATGGCCGCATGTGTTGTTGAAGAGGCATCAGTGGCAACACCAATCTATTGTCAGACAACACATACAATGGAACGATCACCATCATCATCACCATCGTCATTGGAAGCGAGTGCTAAAACAACGCCGAAGTCTGAAAAGCATCTATGTTTGTTTAATTTTCATACGAATAATGTTCATATTGAATCAGCATTAATGATAAATCAAGAATCAACTAGAAAAAGACGATTGAGCCAAACTGATATGTGCAATAAAGTTTGTGAAGCGCCAAGAACAGTAACGGATAATAGTTGTCGACCAAAAAATGATTTAAGAGATAAAAATCTTGAAAGTAAGAGTAGATGATTTTTATTTTTGTTTTGTGAATCCTTTTATAAAGTTATTTCTATGCTTCTTATTTGTTAACAAAAACTTGATCATTATCATTTCTTTTTCTTAAGGTCCGATAACACCCACTCGACCAAAATCTTTATTTTTAACAAATACTACAATCGATCGTCCATTTTCACATTTACGCACATGTCTTAGTAATTCATTGGCAACATCTGATACTTTGTCTCCAACAAATGAGAGTACATTTTCACCATTAACCTTGAGATCATTGCCAGAAATTTTTTCTCCACCGACAAAACGTCTCCGCCCACAAACATTAACTTTTACATCAATATCTCCTTCTATTATTGCAAGTCCCATAAAACCCATTTCTGTAGCACCAAAATTATCATCAATTAATTTTATAAGTCCAACTGAATTAGCTGATAAATTGAAAGAAAAGATTCCATTAACAATATTTGATTGTGGTTCGCCATTTCGTCATAGTGAACATCGTATTCGTAATTCGATTCTTCTTCGTGTTGCTAATAGAATTTCTCGTAAACGTTTAAAAGCAAATGTAAATCAACAATCAACTATCGATATAAAACAATTAAATGAAAGTCAATGCATTATATTATACGATGATAATGCAAATATTCGTCGTCAAATTTCAACTACATCAGCTGATAATCATAATGACGATGAGCAATTATCATCAGCATTGAAATGTGCATGTGAAGAAGTTCAACGTTATCTTCGAAATAGTTTACCTCCAATTCTTATTCTAAATAGTCCATTTAATCAATTTTTTGATTTGTATCCAAATCTATGTGAATCTTTACAACCACGTTCGTGCCCATCGTCGCCAATTAATCATATTGATGAATCATCAATTCCGCAAACAGCTCCACCTGTACACAATTCATTTTTACTGCCAACAACAACAACAGCAACAATAACACCAAGTCAAAATGATATTGATAATTTTCCTATGACACATATTATCGACGGTTTATACATTGGCAGTGAATCAAATGCAAGAAATCTCGAAGAATTATCTCAAGAACAAATTCGATGTATAATCAATGTAACATCTCATGTACCATTGTATCATTCTGAACATTTTCAATATTGTCATTTACCTGCTGATGATACGCAGAAACAAAATTTATTAGAACATTTCGATCAAGCCTATTCATTTATTCATGACGCAATGGAAAAGAATGAAAAAATTCTTGTCCATTGCGTTGCTGGCATAAGCCGTTCACCGGCTATCGTTATCGGATTTTTAATGCGTTATGCCAAAATGAATATGAATGATGCATACGATTTCGTGAAAAGAAAACGTTCAATTGTTTCGCCGAATCTCAATTTTATGGGGCAATTATTAGAATATGAAAAAAAACTTAAACAAGAAAAATAAGTTTATTTTTTCTTTATTTGCATGAATCTTCTGAACATATTTTATTGTTATAATTGTCTTTCTGTGTTTTTCTTGCTATCTGTTATAAACTTAGATAATTCATATCTTTTCTATGAATTAAGATGGCTGACAAGAAGAAAGCAACCATCTTTTTTTGTTTGTAAGTGATGAGTAAGCAAAAAAGAATCTGACGCAATCGTTCCCCATATAATTCTGCTTACTCGCCATCCAATGAATTATGTAAGAAAATGAAAGACTCTGATGACTCGTCGATATAAAAAAATACAACTGGCTCAGTTTACATTTATTGTTTTATGTGTCTATTGCATCACAGATCGTAATCTGATAAGTAGAGGAAACAACTGAATAGTGTCAGCAAATGGAGAAGTTAATTGAGTTTGACAAGTGAACAGAATAAAGAAGCGTGCATGATTTGTCGAATGATGAAAGAGAATATAAAAGAATAAGCTGAGTATAAATAATTAAGATATGTTGCATGCTGATAATAAACAAAAATAGCATCAAAAGTCTATGAATCATATTTCTAATTATGTGAAGTAGCTAAGAATATTTTGTATACAAGTTAAGTTTCAGGAACAGAGCTTTCATAAATAGTTCGACAGTCAATGTTAGCGGATTTGAAAATAGATAATTAATAAAAAGAAAGTGATGAAAAATTTATTTTCATGCACGTGCCTATTAAAATCAATTCGTATTTCCGATTTGTGTTGAATAGTGAAAAAAATATATGGTTCAAATCCTAGCTACATATTTATCATAAATATAAAATTCAAATTCTATTGAATGACCATGAAAGTATTTCATATACATGATTTCATTTTCTTGAATATTTCATTTAATAATTATTAAAATTGATAGTTTGATTTATGCGTATAACATGTTATTTAAATTCTCACATTTATTTAGTAATATATCCAGTATTTCCATAGTTACTATAATGAGAGGGGTAATAGCCTGGGCTTTTTAAGCAGTCACCAAATGAAGTTTATGATCAATATTTATGATATAACGCTCGAAATCAAGAAAAAAGAAATATATATCATCAATGTTATTTGCATTAGTTTGCGTATATGATTCAAGGTGTTATTTCTTTTTTCTATACAATGCAGCAATATCGATATGAAAGTTTGAGCACAACTAATTGAATCGTAACAAATTTATGCTAAAATTAAGAATGAACCCAGAGGTTTCTGTTTAGTGAAGAGTTTTCTTCTAAAGCTAATTACGCATGAACCAAAATGTTGTTTTAATATAAAGAAGATCCGTCACAAGAGGTTGATAGAGTTCGACTGCTGTAATCTAAAATAAGTTTGGACTTAGAAAATGAATTGTTTTTATTTTGAATAAGGATTTACGTAAGAAGAGAATTAAAAAGAAAATATGCTTGAACGCCTACACTATTTCAAGATTCTTTATATTAAGGAGCCTGTGAAGCCATTGAAAATACATTGATAACATGAGTTTTTCTAATTTTGATGGCTCGAGTATGCGTGCGTACCTGCTTTGCTATAGTGAACGTTGCCAAGTATCCAACGGTGTTAAAATATTCTAAAATGGAATGCTTCGATAGAAATTGCATTTTCTAAGGAGCGAGCGAATCTTAGAGGCAAAAGAATATTATAAAATAAAACTTGAAATGCATCTTACGCAAAAAGAAGTATTTTCACTCGATCTCCCATTTTCGAAATAAACTTGAAAAACATATGATGCTCGTTTAAATAATTAATCAAAAGAATTTTCACGAATCACATTCAATTAGTGAAGCTTCATAAATTCAAATCAAACATACATCAACAATATTTGATTACAAGTAAAAAAAACAAAAAAAAAGAACTTTTTTAATATTTTTATTTCACTCATAATAAATTCATTGTTAAATCATTCTTAGTCAAACTCAAACTCAAAATAAAAACAAAAAGAATAAAGAAAAATTCTACCGGCAATGGGCTCAGTTTAACATCAGAAATTTTTCATTTTTAGCTCGTATCCAATTGAAAAAGAAAGAAAAAAACAAAAAAAATCAGACCTATGTCCATGGATGATCAACATTAAGCAATTCATTTATCTGCTTTCATTCTTCAAAACTAATACTTGACCTGCATGTGTAATATTCACAGCAACTGACTCTGGTAAATAAAATGGTTCACCATCCATTTGAGCTGTCATTGGACAACATATTTCAATGCGTAAATTACTGCATTGTGCAATACGAATGCCACGAAAGCCCATATGTATTGTAGCCATATGCGTAGTACTTAAACCAACAACTTCAATTTTTTTGTCATCAATATCTTGCCGATCGAAACGCCCATTGGAATTTGGTACTGTTGTGATTGTTGGTAAATTGATTTGATCGCTTGGACAATCATTTAATGTGACAAGCTCATAGACTTCATGTGTATTTGCTGGTAAATCAATAATTTCAATTGAACTCGTTGAAATTTCTTGATATGAATCATAATCTTTTTGTATAATAATTGTCTGAGAAGATGTTGACGCATTATTTGACGTTTTACCCCATGGATTAGTGCCTGATGCGTAACCAGGAATATTTAACACAAGTAATGTATGACAATTGCGTATGGAATCTGTTAAATCGTCTCCATCACATACCAAACGTATATATGAACTTAAATTCCACAGTTTTGAACGTGCAAAATCATTTAAATATTTTCGACTTTCATTTAAATACATTAATTTATTTTTTAATGGCGATGAAAACTTATTTGGATCACGTTTACGTCTATCATGAAATTCTAATGCTATAGCTGCATCTAGACCAAAACTCATATAATTAATGAATCGTGTATTTGGTAATGTTCGATTATTTTGATATGAAGCACGATTTCTATCACGAACAAATTTTGGGTGATTTATTAAAGATAGAAATGATCGACTAGCTAATAAATCATCTTGACTTGCTATGTTCACTTGTTCGATTGAAACTTGCCAACGATCGAGTGCTATAGATTGTGCACGGGGTATTTGAGTTAATATTGATAATAAACGTTTTGGATCGTATTGTTCACCCCATAGTAATATTCTTGATAAATCATTTCCTGTGCCTAATGGACATATACTTACAGGTGGATTATTTAATGGCGGATATAGTTCAGCTAGGCAACCAAGAATCCAGCCAACTGTACCATCACCACCAAAAACACATATACGAATATTTGATAATGAGGAATAGATTTCTAATGCATGGAGTATAGTTGCATCATTTTCAAGTAAAAATACTTGACGCGGATTAAGCAGATGTAATAATTTACGATAGATTTTTTCACCGCTTTGACCACCAGAACGTTTATTGATGAATAGAAGTAATGGCGTATAATTGTCAATGGATGTTGTAGAATCGTTTGCAGTATGAAAACGATATTGAGCACGAAAATGAGGCGCAGGACCAGGTATACGACGTAACCATTGTGGCCGTACGATTATATTTCTGAAAAGAAATCATAATTAATAGAATTATTGAAAAATTTCAATATCAATACAAAATAAATAAAAAAGAAAAGACCAAATCAAGGCTTGTCATTGACTTTCAACAATAAATTAGCTTCGTTAATTTTTATTATTGTTTTCTTTTTTTCGAGCTACTCATTCATCTACTCAATGTTTTTTTGACTTTATTATATTATGATAATTAGAAGAGAAAAAAAGATTGTACCTCAATATTCCATAATCACACTTATTATATTCATCTTGTTTAGTAATTTGATCCCAGCACCGTCGATGATAACTACGTGAGCACCACAAACATTGAAATCCACTCGATGCTCCACATAGTTTTGGGCTTGAACTATCAGGTAGAGGACTTCTATATGTTGGACTTTTCGTCATTGCGTCTAATGACGGCATTGTTGAAGGTCGACCACTACCAAATAATGAACTTGACATTGACTTTCTTTTACATAGAACACAAGGCTTTGTAAGTACTGGTATATGTAACCAATAATGTCGATCGAACTTATTTTGATTAATCATTTCATTAGCAGTGATACTTTCAGAAAATGATGGTCGACATGCTGGAATTATATTTGATATTATCATTGGTGAATCAATAAGATGATGTGTATGTACAATAAGTAAACATGATTCACATTGAACAAATTCTGATAGATTATTTGATTTCGAATCTTTACAGGAAACAAGTGAACACGGCTGAGATGATGAAAGATCATTTAATTTATACGGAAACCAACAATGAGATGTTGGACATGCACGTTCACTCCAATCGATGCCATATGTAATAGAAATATTTGTTTCCGTTAAATTAGTTAATAATGGAGAATCAGTTGATTGTGGAACACTAAATATGAAAATAATATTTTTTATTTTTAAATGAAATATTTTTCTTGTCTTCATCCGATAAATTTTCCTTTAATATAATCGACATGATATTTACCTTGTTGAATTTAATATTGGTTCATCTGTTATTAGTTGTTGAGGGTCGTGTTCAGGCATAGCAGTCATATAATCGGTTGAAGAACTAAAAAAATATGCTTGTTCATCGTCACTATTGATTTTAGTTTTTAGCGATAATAATTGATTATATTTGTGTTCGTAGGATGAACAAAGTTCTTCCGTAGGTGTTGTTGGTAATGATATAGATTCAGTTCGATCTAGCTTCTTTGGCTTTCTTTTCATTGGATTTGAATTAGTATTGATATCTAATTGACGAAAATTTCGTTCTAATATACTATGATGTGTGCGGTCAGCATCTTGATTCATAGTTATTAATGTATCACAATCACGCGGTTCGCTTATAAAATCAAAACTTGAATGATATGTTGATATATCTGCTGGTGATGTTAATGTTGTACTAATACTTGATGCATATTCAAGTCTATGTGGAGCTCGGGATATAGATGGAGATGTCGATTCTGCCATTCTTTCTTCGGAAAAAAAGAAAGAATCTATTAAAGAAAAAGAATATGTTTAGAATACAATCATAGTGCAAGAATGAAAAGAGAAAAGAGAAAAAAAAGGATGGTTCTTCAACAAGTAGTAGTCTACTCGTCAACAACCTGAACATATTTATCCTATGTGACAGCTATTTCTTTTTTTTTTCTCTCTCTCTCTCTCTCTCTTTCGGCTTTTTTTCTCTCTCTATTACAGCATGATGTCTACCCACGTCGATGATCGATGAAGATAATAATAATGATGATGACGATGATGATATGAGAGACTGACACATCTGTTTTTGTCAAGAAAAAGACAACAATGAAATCGACTTCATTGTCTTAATCTTATTTCCACTCCAACTGTGCATGTCATATGCATATTAGGCATGGCAAACAAAAATAAAATAAGAACAATATGCAATGAATTCTCGAGCTATTAGTTTTCCCTTTTTTTTCTCTATAACACATGCATCTATTCATTCAATCAGACTCTGCGGATGATTGAAGAGAAAGAATGAAATATTTTCTTTTGCCATTCTTTTTTTTTTTGTTGCTAATCGCTGTCTATGATCTTTATTTACGTTATTCAGAGTCTAATGAAGTAGTCCTACCTTTTATACGAAGTTTTCTAGTTTATTCGAATAGGCATTAATTTTCTAGCTGATTACAGTCATATATCCACACAGATGAGAACAAATACAAAGGAGAAGTTTGTTTTTATTTTTCTTTTTATTTTTTGACAGACAGACTAAACACACATGCACTACGGGAAAAAAAAGAGAAAGTATGTTATCAGACGGAATCAGCGAATTTTTTTCTTTTTTTCTTCTCGTTCCCTTTTCTGCTCTCTAATGTTGTCGAGTACGACTAAGAATACGTTCTTGGGTGTGGCCTACACGGCTAAATATGTTGGAGAAATAAAGAAGATGGAAGGTGTGTATATATATATATATATATATATATATATATACGAGTACATAGAAGGTCGAAACGACAAAAAAAACTTACTGTGAACAGTCTTGGAATATTTTTCTTTTTGTCGATGAGTGCGTTTTTAATTTCAATGGCTTATTTCTTGCAAAATACCCCACGAAAATTTTGTCACCTGTCCCATCGCCCACGCGAAAGTTATATCGTTGTACTCGGAATATGATTAGATATTCATTATGATTTACATACGACACGTAAACAAAACAAAGGCAAAATAAAAGAAAATTTGAATAACCAAATACAACTACGCATTCAAAATAATCTTCAGAAGAATTCCATCATGCTAAAAGAAAATCAAATTAAATAAAAATTTGTCTGTTGAGTGCATACTTAAGATATTAATGAATTAAATTAACTTTATTTTCAAGATATATAACAAAAACCAGAGGAAATAATATAGTCTAAATACATGCAGTGCGATTGATCATTCTAATATTATGATTTTTTCCTGTTCAAATAAATAATAAACGGCTTTGCTAATTCAAGGTTTTTTTCTCTTGAATTTTGCCCTATTCAAACTACATAAAGTGCTCTTGAATTTTTTTTCTCACGTTAATCATTCATTTCTACTGAATGCCCTTCAGACACGTTTCCCTTTACTTTTCGATATGCATCATAAACCTAGTTAATGTGGATTCCATCTATTTATTCTATCCTTCAACTATAGCTAATATACATATATTTATATAAAGCCAATGGCAAACTAGAAAGTTCCGAAGATTTCCAATCAAAAAAAAATACTTGAATGAATCTAAAATTTCATAGCTAATAAACTATAAGTAATCTGGAGAAAAAAAAATTCTTTTTCCGATAAGTTTTCTATTGTGAATAATGAATTTCTTTATGTTGAAATACAATAGTTCATGGCGATGCTTTTATCGATTTATATAATTGAATTGGAATTTTCTATTCATGTCACATTGACGAGTTCGTAAATATGACTGCACAATTTATTTTTCATCTAGAAATGATTTTAAAAAATTATTGGTTTCTTTTCGACTCTAGATGCCTATTTCAATGCAAACAATAATTATTAAAATAATATACATCTATATGTCATACGCCATTTTCCTCATTTATTCTGTATGTCTGTAAACAATATCAAAGATTTTGGTTAAATGAAATAAATACTCTAAAATCATGTGAAAATATTATTTGTAGATTAATTTCGTAGATAGATTACGTGACAGAGGTTTCTTACATACAAAGAATCATGCACTATTGAATGGAAAATCTTTAGAGTTTCTATCAAACTTTGATCTTGACGAAGATGATCAAAAGAAAAGGCTTGTTGTTCTGTCATATTGTGTTGGAAAATAATTAGTTATCCGAAATATTAAGAGAAAGAAAAAAGGAAATAGAAGCAGAAAATCAATTCAGAATGTGATCGATTACTTACGTCTGATAAGATCATAATAATAAAGAAAACGTGAACTTTTTAGTTTAAAGAATCGCGTCATTAGTCGGTAAAATATATTTATCGTAAAGGAAAGTTTACATGAAACTTTCAACTATTTTAATTATAGATTTATTGAGAGAAAGACATGATTCGCAATTTCAAATTATTGGTTTTAAAGATCAACTAAAATATATACGTTTAGTTAACAAATATAATTATCATTGAATTGTTGTGGAACTTGAAGACAAACGTTATTAGCTTGTTCTAGTTCCTGACAGCAATCGATCTAACAAAACATATCTTGTTTTCTATATTTTTTTTAACAATGAGATCATATAGAGTTGATATTATTTTTGATGGAAGATTTTTTTTGATTACTGTTGAAGATTATAGCAAGAAAGAAATTTTGACGATTCAACAGATGTCATTTTTATACAAGTCATTATCTTATGCTACTTTATCATTCATTCTAATACGATTATCAAATCTTATAGTTCATTATCTTCAAATTTTATGATTTTACTATTTAATTTTAGTTGAAGAAGGTTAAACGTGGATTAATTCATTGGTCAATTGAATTAACCAATTATATAAAAACAAGATCACTGGGATTTATTCTTATTTGTCCATATATTCAGTCTACGTGTCTGAAAATAATAAATCAGTTTTAATGAATTTCCATCTTTGTTTCAGTTCATAAATTAATCGAAATAGAATTAAAAATATGCCTCAAATTGTATTAATGAAAGCAGAATATTTAATATTACTTAGCTGTTTACTGACATTTGCTGTTGTGACAAATGCTTTTTACGCTAAAAAACAATTTTATCCATCTGTTGTCTACTTGACTAAATCGAGTACAAGTCTCGCAGTAAGTAATATTGAATTTTAAAGTTAAAATTGAATTTATTCAATGAATTATTTTAGGTTCTTTACGTTCAAGGATTTGTATTTGCTATTTTGTTTGGTAAACTTGTGCAAAGAATATTTCTTGGTCAACTGCGAGCAATTGAAACTGAAGTTTGTTACACATGATTAAAATTAAATAAAAACCTAACGAATTTCTTTCACGTTTAGCACCTTTACGATCGTACATGGTTTTCAGTAACTGAAACATGTTTGGCATTTACGGTTTTTCGTGATGATTTTAGTTCACGTTTTGTTGCTTTATTTGCAATTTTACTTTTTCTCAAATGTTTCCATTGGCTATTGGAAGATCGAGTTGACTATGTAAGAAATCCATAATATGTATTTTTTAAATGTAAATAAATAATGATTATTTTGAATTTTTAGATGGAACAAAGTCCTATTCTTGGCCCAATATTTCATGCACGAGTTATTAGTAAGATATAACACGATTTTACTTCTCATATATTAAATTCTTCAGTAACCTTGTTCATGAATGTAAACAGTGAATTGATATAGTGAAATATCTTCAATATTTGCTGGTTAAATTTGTAAAACTTTAAAAAGTAGCCATCACAATCAAAATTATACGTTACAGTTTTCTGGCAAGCATCAAATATCATTCTCGGTCATTGAAAGAAACAATATTCCCTAAATGTTCATCATCTTTTCAATATTTGTTTGAATTTCATTAGTAAACGTAATATTTTAAAGAACCATCTAAATTTTTTTTCTTGATTTTTCTAACTTAATTAGAGACAAAACATTCGCTAGAATTTTAATGGATGGTTTATTTTGTATTTTTCGTCATAGGTCTTTCAAGTGCTTTATTTCTTCTCGATTACTTGTTCATCGTATCGGCTTATTCTCATACAATAGCAAGAGGAGCATCGGTGCAAATTGTTTTTGGTTTTGAAGTAAGACAAATTTTCATTTTGATTGATTATTAATAGGTCTATTTTTCGCTTGTCAGTATTCAATTCTTCTTGTTTCTATTATTTTAACGGTAATCAAATATATTCTGCATACAATAGAAATTCGTACCGGTGAACAATGGGAAAATAAAGGTGTATTCATGCTTTATTCTGATCTTATTCTCGGGTTTATTCGAGTTGTACTCTATATGTTATTTATGATTGTTATGATGAAAATTCATACATTTCCACTATTTTCTATTCGACCAATGTTCATTGCGATGAGGTATTTCAATATAAATTTCGTGTTTCGTTTTTATAAATTTTAAGGTATTTTATTCTTCAAGAGCATTCCGTAAATCGTGCAATGATGTCATAGAATCACGACGTGCAATAAATAACTTGAATACAATGTATCCTGATTTAACAGCAGATGAACTTGTCAATGTTGCTGATACAACGTGTATTATATGTCGGGAAGAAATGCAAGTACAACAAAGTATTAAACGCCTTGGCTGTCAACATATATTTCATAAGAACTGTTTACGTTCTTGGTTTCAACGTCAACAAGCTTGTAAGTTAATACTAGAGGCACGTTTTGTTTTCAATAATAGTTTCACAATAGGTCCTATTTGTCGAACAACTGTTTTAAGATCTAGAGTACCAGGAACTCCTAATGCGCCTGCAGCCGCTGCCCCTGCTGCTGCAGCAGCAGCAGCACCACCACCACCACCACAACAGCAACAACAAACTCAAGCTCCTAATGCTGGAGGTAAAATTATATAGAGGAAACGTGTAATAATTAAACTTTGAATTTTCATTTTAATTCAAGCATCATCTACTAGAACTACCCCACCGTCGTCATCTACTATGCCTCCACCACCTTCAACTTCGACATCACCTATGTTTAATTTTCCACCATTCAATCCAACAACTGCTCAAAATGCATCATCGGTAATGATGTCACAAATGCCATTTAATTCTTTTCCTATGGTATTACCACCTTTTGGTAAGCTTCTTTTACAACATAGATGAAGAATGAATATAATCTGTATTAATTAAGCTTTCCCTCCACCACCGTTACCTCCTCTTAATTTCGCTGGTATGTCGGACGTAGCAATTCGAGCAATGGAAGGAACTGAATTAGCACATGTTCAAACACGTATTCAATGCTTGCGTAATGTAAGAAGTTTACTAGATGCATCAATCATACAAATGGAACAATATATGAATATTGTATCAACACAGAGGTTTTATTTGTTTCATTGTTTTTATTGTCTGTACTTGATTTCTTTTATTTAACAGTAATATGGACAATGGTACGCGCATATTAAGAAATCTTAGTAATGATGTAAATCAAGTCACAAAAACACCATCAAGTTCACTGATCGATGAAAATGATGCAGATCTTATTCGTCGTCGCCGTTTAGAGCACTTATCAAATAAAGTAATATCTTCGACATCAACAGACACACAAGATGATAAAAACAATACTGATACTTAGAATATTCTGTTTTTTCTTCCTTCCATTGAATCAGTTATTAACGATCATAATTACTTTTTTGTCTGCATTAACATACATTCGAAACAGTGCTCTGCCATTTTCGTTTCTTTCTTTTTTTTTATTCTTTAGAGTACTCTTTGACTGTATATATGCATATAGGATAAAGGAGAGATTGTCTTTAAATTATTTTCTTTTTTTTCCGCATGCCTTGTTTTCTTATTGCTCCTAGTCAAACAAGTTGACACTTTTTCTCTTCTTCTATTGTTCTACGGTTCGATTATCATAACTTATCTGTTATATATTGAAAAAAAAAAGGAAATTGTTTATCTCATTTTGAAGCAAATAAACGAGGCTATTGTTTTTTGATTGTGATAGATATCTATTTCAAAAGAAAATGTAATAATTAAATATAGTTTTCGCTTTATCGAAGATTTTCGTTTTAATAGGTTGGTTTACGTAACAAAATAAAACAAGCTCAGGTGGAGAGAAATACTCTACATTTCATGCGACATTGATAATTTATATTGATTAAATATGGTCGCAATAAATGAATTGATTATCTCAAACAATTACCTATCATGAAAAGAATTTCATATTCAAAGGCTTAGATCCCATCAATACCATGTTTCAAATCAGTTGACATTAAAGAAAAAATATGCTCGAGAAAATTCTCTTCGAAATGTCTAAGATCCACCTTAGCTAACAGCATCCATTCTTCGAAAGTTTTCAACAGTAAAGTAGCGTGAGCGTTATTTACTGTAAAGAATAGAAAACAGATTTTCTGATCTATTGAATATAAATTATTAAAGATACGTTACCGATAGTTAGAAAATCTCGTATTTTATTCAGAAGCATTTTCTCTCGATCACAGATAGACTCATTTTTGATAGGATCCTGAATATAGGATTTTCTATTACAAAACTTTTGATAACAATTTTAAAAGTATTTTTTCGAGTAGAAGTGTTCTCAATATTATTCAAACGTGCGTTATGAGAGTCTATATATAAAATTTTCTGTATTGCGTAGCACATAGAAATTTCAATGCATTATATAAAATAATGCAGAGGCGGTTAGGAAATTTCAGATGCAATTCATCCAACACAATTAATTCTTTCCCAGATAATAAGCCAAATAATCTTAACTTATCGATTGCATGACTTATTTCTAGATATAATTAAGTTTGTTTTCGTTAGATTCTAAATGAAAAGAATAAGTCACTGCATGAACCAAAGAAGTTTTTTTATATCCTCTTCTGTTTCTTTAAGCCTTGCAATTAGTTCGACATTTGCCATAGAGATCCTCGTCTAGTTTTCTTTTTGCATTATGTATCCATTATAAAAATATGTATGGGCTAACGCAACAATAAATATGATCCAATTATATTCTCAGTAACACAGCTTCTTTGCACCTGTTCGCTTCTCTTTAAACGAAAACAAAAAAAAAATGCTTTTTTTCTTCATTGCATTCATGTCTTTAAACAAAGAAAATAAATCAAAATTTCTTGTTTTTCTTTTATGAATTTAACGTTCTTCTGAAAGGTATAATTAATGAATATCCTACAAAATGATGAAATCCCTTGAAAAGTTTTTAATGATGCTTTCCATATTAGCATGAGAGAGTGGGTATAGATTTTTCTCATGACCCAGCGCTAAACTCTCATCTAGTCATTCTTGAAATTCACTTGTCGGCAAATAATACGTTTGATTAGCATATTTCAATAATGACAATGATAAGAAACTCATTTATTGCTCTGGACAGTGTATTCTATATATCCGAAATAATTTTTCTATATTGTCAAACTGATACAGTGAGAAATAAGTACATCCTGGCGATCTACAGGAAAATGAAATATTCTGAAAATGATAATCGATTAGAAATGAAATTCGATAGCTATTTTCGAGAAAATGCGTCATTGAAAATTTTCGATTACAACATTGTGACTAACACAACCAATTTTCTCATCTGTTCTCTCACCCAAACACTGAAACTCACATTTACAGCCTTTTTGAATTTAAAAAATTGATTAACATGCAGCTATTTAAATTCCTAATGTATCTAATGATGATCTTAAAACACAGTCGCAATAATCATTATGAATAATTTGAAATTCTAACCCGTTCCTGATAAACAGACACCCACCCTCTCTATGTTTGTCATTTTGTCAATCACATGTATGTCGAGTAGACTTTGGTTTGTTGCGTTTTTTTCTGGAGAATGATTTCAAATGATATTTCACAAAAGTATATATAGATCAAGAGGGAAACGGCGGATTTGGAGTAGAAAAGTACGCCAAAATACTTCAAAGTAGACTACTTGAAGTAGCTCAAAGTACCATCCAAGTAGCCCAAAGTGGGAACAAGTACCTTAAAATAACCTCAAACTTAACTTCAGGAAAATTTGAAGTTGAAAAGTACTTCAAAGTAAGCTACTTCAAATAGCTGAAAGTAACTTCAAGTTCAAAAGTCGAAAAGTCCGCCGCTTCCCCCTTGATATATATATATATATATATATAGAATTGTTGAAATGAAAGAAAAATTGAAAACATTCGAGCAGAAGTCAATTCATGCGGATCACAAAGTATTTTATCTGTATCGCTTTTCAAAAACCAGTTAGAGTATTATGAATTATTGAACTGGTACTGTTTGTGAGAGAGTTAAACCAGGTAACTGTGTCTCTTGATTGAGCTTCATACCCAATGGTTGATGTATAGTCAGCACCAAAATAACTGTACTGTGAATAGTTATAGGCCATACTTAAGATAAGACATCCGAATGCTTGACAGCCGACAATACAATGGGCAGCGAAGAATTTAGCACAGTAGCGGAAACCACAGCCATCGCATTTTCTTATGGCATTTATTACAACAGTGATGAATACCGCATATACAAGAACTAAGGCGCCAAGAATGGATACTAGAAGCCAGCAATATGCAATCAACATGGGTATAGTGTTGCTAATAAAAAATGGAACAAACACCAAACACACCCCTACATTCAAAACGATGGTCGCACCAAGTAATGCCCACTTGAATTTTCTCGAAGAGCGTGCACCAGAATTATTCTTATCTTCTTGCTTATTTGCTCTGTAGTTATTCACAATTTGAATAATGGATTCAACGAGCACCGCTATGACACTCGGCAAAACGTAGTTGTGAAGCTGATAGCCAAAAGCATTGTAGCATCTCCATTCGCTTTGATAGGCACTGGATGAGCAGTCTGTTTGCTTGTAGCATGCGAAAACAAAGTGGCCGACAGAGATAAGAGAAAGAACGAAATCAAGTACACTGTATTTTGGCGGTGAAACTCCTAAAATATGCGTTTAGAATTTTAATGAAAATAATAATTCTAATGAAAAACAAAATTATAAACTCGATGGATCAGATAATCGATCTAAAACTATGTTCAATTTAACTGCGGTACAATTCGTAGAGTCCCTAGTTCAAGCCATTTTTTGAGAAATTGTTAGTATTTTCGGAAATTTAATTTTATGCAGTAATATAAAGGTTTTAAAGCTCTTCAATATGAGTTTAGCACACTTTTGGAGATTCGCCATTTAAAACTATTAGAGTTTTAAAACTAGTAAAAAGCATTGTCATCCTATGCCTAAATTTTTCTTGAATTTTCATTTTCAGTATTGTACAACTGTAAACTTCAATGACCCAGATCGAGAGTTCCGACAAATGAATCTTGTCGAATCTGATACGACCGTACGTCGGATTAGATCGGAATTGGATGGTTTCCGTCTCAATTCGATCGAATTCTATCGGAAAGAGTTCTGAATAGGGGTGTCAGAGTTCCCCGCTCCTGTGAACGAGGAACTCATCTCATATTTCTCTTTAAGTGAGCCTGAACTCAGAAGTCTTATTAAGAACTAGCATACACGCGTCTATATTTCATACGCGATGAACACAATACATTTACAAATTTCTAAATCATTTTTAAAGTGTTCGTGACTTTAACACTGTCTTGAAGACAGTGATTTGAATAAAAAGAGAGTTTCTATATATCGATTGAGCGTGTAAGAGAGTTAATGATATCTATGATTCTAGAATTGCAACGATTACGTTGGGTAATGAGAATGGAAAGTCATAGCATCTGAAGCTTATACAGCACAAAGTGCATATATATCCTATTTACTTATACATGAGTGAATTTCGCTGCCATTGTACGGTTTGCACAAAAAAAAGTGAACAAAAAAAAAAGTGAACAGCTGAATAAATTGATATGTCCATTAGATAGAGCATCATTTGTTGTATGTAAGTCAATTATTTGCCCGACTGTGAGGCTTTCCTTTTAGGAGAAAATCGAGATCTCGAAGTATATGAAGGGTCCGATATTTCTTGGCACAATAAAATTGCTGAGTAAACTTTTTTTTTGTATGGTTATCGTATATGAGACGAATCGTTTTCAAACGAAGAACCCAATAGACAGGTGCATAATTTAATTCGTTTGTATTCATGCATTTCCGGGAGTATATAATACGATTGTTATCATTAAAAACGCGTATGTTTTTAGAAACGCGCTGTATAACTAAGTTCTTTTTTACATTGTTTCGTGATAACAATCAAATGTCTGAAAATGTTTCTCAGCTCAGAGAAGTTGATACAAGTAAAAGAAGGTGAAATAAAATTATGTTTCCTCTTATTATCTATCATTTTATTATGTTGTGACATTTTGATACAAAAAAATCTGTTGTGACATTTTTTGAGTAAAATACTATTTTCTCGTGAACGATAGTTAGTTAAGAGCTCAAATTTTTACAACAGAGCTATCATATAGTCAGTGAAAAACGATAGAAAAACCATTGACTAATCTCGTATAGTTAGCAAGAAATCAAACAATCAAAATAAAAAATCTGTCGTGACATTTAGTGCGACAACAGCCGCCCATCGGTTTTATTTTTATTTTTTTGTTTGATCCTGAACATTTTTGAAAATATTTTTTTTCATCAAAATATTTCGTGCTCTTTGCTCTATCAAACAAAAAAACAAGAAATTTGAG